CAGGATGTGTTTGTATTTCTGCTGCTGAGTGGTGATATGTTGACTGAATGGCGATGGTGTTGCTTTGGTGGACACGAGACAAAATAGGCCTTGGAGACAAGGGAGCATTCGCACCTTGCTCTGTGCCGTGTCTGTACCCAATCTCTCGTATCCTTACAGGCGACATTTCCAGAAACGCACCTCGATAATAACTGAAACCGAGTCTGTGTATTATCTTTTATTATGGCGATGTTCTACTCTGTGGCTGTCCTAATCTAGGCACAGTAAACACGATGCTTTACATTCTTCCTTACATGAATCTCTCGCTTCTTTGGCGGATTCTGTGCACTGCGAGTCGGCGGATGGCAGTGTCTCTGTCTTATGTGTTGCACAGCAGCCGCTCGTCTCAGTGAGTATTGTGTTGTGGCGTCGTAAGTCGTGTCGTCTGTGACTGGAGTCAGTGTCTTGATGTTGATGGCAGCAAAAGCCTGCTCGAGGCGTGGTTGTGGCTGGCCATTGCACTACATTCCCCTCTTTTTCCCGCCTAGAAAAGCGACTATAAGCGCTGGCGGTCTTCCCCACATAGGGGAGCTTGGGCGGATTACAGTGCATTTCAGTGTCTGCCCCAGTCTTTTCGGCCTGGCCAGGCCTAGTCAGGGCAAGGTTGCTCTCGGCGCTCCTTTTCGTCGCTTCCTTGTTCTGTGCCCCTTCTCGCTTCTGCTTGCCGAACAGCCAGCAATGGCGTCGCCTGCATCGTCCGGCATCGCATTTCCACGCCACCCCGAGGTTCGCAATTTGATGCGCTGTGGTGCCAGAGCCTGCAGAGCCTGCCATGGACTAAGGCATTCACTGGCAAGAGAATCCACAGCCATTTTCGCTCACCACCCACGCGCATGCGCGCCCACTCGTTTCGCGTGCCTGGTCTAATTGACAGCTGCGCTTGGCTGTAGGGCGGACGACACGACACAGACGACGTCAACACACTAGACAGCGAGCGTGCTGAATCCAAGGGCCGCAGGGCTTCCCAAGATGGAACGGCCTGGTCTTCTTAGCGCCGGTCCGGGCGAGACCTCGCAGCCTTGGAGCCGCGCGGCCGCACCCGCGTCACGCGCGCTCGGCCGCGGCAATTTTACCGACACATCAGACGAGCCGTCGTCGGCGCAGATGCTGACGCCACGGAGCAGCAGCGGCAGCGGAGAAGAAAAAGATGGAGCACACGGAGAGGCGATTGAGATGCAGCAGTTCGACGGCGGGCCGGGCCGCTCCCGCCAGCGACGCTCGTCGCCGTCATCGTCGTCGTCGTCGTCGTCGTCGTCGTCGCCGGCATTGTCCGTCTTTTCGGACACCGACGCCACGAGATCTCCGTCGCCAGTGGCCGCACGGCGGTGGCCCTACTCAGCCGACGAGGAGCGGGCCGTGGTGCGCAAGTTTGACCGCCGGCTTGTGCTGTTTGTCGCCATGCTCTACATGCTCAGCTTCCTCGACCGCTCCAACATTGGTAACGCCCGGGTGGCCGGCCTGGAGGCCGACCTGCAGACGACGCCGCCCCGCGACGACTGGTACGAGTGGGCCTTGTCTGCGTTTTACGTCACCTACATCTCGTTTGAGTGGATGGCCCTGCTGTGGCACTACATCCCCGCGCACGCCTACGTGGCCGCGCTCGTGGCCGGCTGGGGACTGGCCGCCTCGCTGCAGGCCGTCGCTGGGTCGTACCCGTGGCTCGTGGCGATGCGTGTGCTGCTGGGCATCGGCGAGGCCGGGTTTGCAGGCATCCCGCTGTACCTGGCCCAATTTTTCAAGCGGGACGAGCTGGCCGTGCGCACGGCCATGTTTATTGCGGCCGCGCCACTGGCGACGACGTTTGCGGCGTCGCTGGCGTGGGCCATCATGGCCCTGGGCCGCCATGCGGCGAGCCCGATTGCGGCATGGCGGCTGCTGTTTCTCGTCGAGGGGTTCCCGTCGATCCTCATGGCTGTTGTGGCGTGGCGTGTGCTCCCAGACGCACCCGACAAAGCGCACTACCTGACGCGGCGGGAGAAGACGCTGGCGCGGCTGCGCCTGGCGAGGGGATCGACTGCACCTCCCGCAACATCAAACGCCGCCTCGTCCTCGCATGGCGGCCTTCTTGGCGTGCTGGTGGACCCGACGACGTGGATCACGGCCGCCATGTTCTTCCTCACCAACATGGCCTACAGCTCGCTGCCCGTGTTCTTGCCCACCATCCTCACCGAAATGGGCCACGATGCCGTGTCGGCCCAGGCACTCGCCGCGCCACCGTACCTCGCCGCCTTCTTGCTTGTCCTCGCCACCGCCCACGTCTCGGACCGCACACGCGCACGCTCGCCGCTGCTCATCGCCCATGCCCTCGCGTCGGCCGTGGGGTACGGCGTGCTCTCTCTCGGCGCGTCCAAGACCCTGCGTCGGACGAGCCTGGTCCGGTACCTCGCCGTCTACCCGGCCGCCATTGGCTTCTTCAATGTCGTCGTCCTCCTCATCGCCTGGAACCTCAACAACCAGCGCGGCGCGCGCCGGCAGGGTGGCGCCTTTGCTCTGTTTCAGGTGGTCGGGCAGTGCGGCCCGCTCGTCGGCACGCGGCTGTACCCCAACGCGGACGCACCGCTGTTCTTGCGGGGGATGCGCACAATGGCGGCGGCGATGCTGGGCGTGGCGGTCTTGGCGGTCGTGCTGACCGTGGTGCTGCGGCGGCGAAATGCACGGCTGAACGCGGCGGAATCGAAGCAGCGGGCCACGGACGAAGACCAGCAAGACGGAGAGAGAGACGATGGAGACGAAGACGACGAAGACGAAGAGGGCGGCGGTGGCCATGACGAAGAAGAAGGGCTCGTGGGCCGGTCCCGGCAGAAAAAGCGACGACAGGCGAACCTTGGAGAAGACGAGGTTCCGTTCCGATATATGCTGTAGACAGGTCTTGTTTCTATCGGTTTGTCGTTTCTTATGCAATTCTAATGAGCACCGGATCGTGTACTCTTTTACGAATGTTCGTACTTTGTTCAAGCGCTGTGATGGTGTTTGGTCTCAATGGCACGAGCTTCAATCGTCGCCGCCATACTCTGGGGTCGCCTTGCATCTTCTCGTTCTTTTCTTCTCGTACGCATGCTCCGTTCTTTATCACCGCTGTGATTGCAGCGTCATTTACGGATTCATTATCGCATTTTCGCAACTGTGTACAACTGCAAGCATCATCCTGTCGTCACTCAATGGAATCACGATGATTGTCGTTTATTCCGTGGAACCAAAATGAGTAGCCATCCTTGGCAGATCTCAACCTCAGTCTTTTTAATCTCATCCCCTTGTCTGCTCGTTTCCTCTATCACGTTAGAGCCGCCAGAGCATATGTGGTGCCTAATGCGTCCGACGGGTGGAGAGATGGGCCCATGGAGTCGTAGACGGCTTGGAAAGAGAGCGACTCGACGTTGTTTTCGACGTCGTTGCTTGATAATAAAGAAGACGAAAAAGTCCCGACTCTGGGGATATCTGCTTTCCCCGTCCAAATAACACGCTCTCTGCGAGTCGGTGATTCGCGCGCCGACTGTGGGCCGACGTTTGCTGACCGAAGCCCCTGATTGGCCAGATAGGTGTCGACCACTCGCGTGTACTCCCTCCGGCGAGTCCACACCAAAAGGGACTTTCCCGTCGCTCGCGCCATTGCCAACTCCGCCCTCAGCCAAAGGGTCGGCGCTTCGACCCAACGCGGGCCCGGCCTTCCTGCTTCACAGCTGTTTTGTTCGGGCAAGGCTGTGGCTGGCAACCAGAGCTCACAGCTTGTCGCCCCCCAAATGTACCCAGCTCGAGCACAGAGGATCCGAAAACATGGCAGAAAAGCTGAGAATTGTCGCATGCCAAGACCGTTTGGTCACCCATTCCACTCGCGCTGCATCGTTACCTCTGTGAGCTCACTTTTGTCTATCATGCGGAGGCGTCGCCATGCCGAGCCTGTTTCAAGTGCGCCATTTCATGAACAACATAACGAAGGAAGGATTCCTCACGAGCTCCCTCCCATTCGATGCTGTTCTGCCGTGACCGTAAGCCTCGCAACACGGAGCAATTCGAGCATGGACTTTTGAAAAACCCGAGCCCGTCAGTGGGACCGATTCTTTCCCCTTCGTCGCCGGCCACGCGCACGGGAATCGGGCAGACACAGTGGCACACGTGTTTTTATTTGTTTTTGTCTGTGTAAATGAGATCTCCTTTCTAGCATGACGCTGTTAAACTACAATAAACGTTATGCCAAGAAAGCCACTGAATGGCCCAAAGTCCGACCGTTCGCACCTGCTAACTTCCGATCTAACGAACGAGACTACTGTGGGGTGGAGGATTGTACGAATTAGCGTTTCGCGCTTTCCTGCGAGGATCCGTTGACGTACCTTCCTCTTCGATGTCCGTCATTCTTTCATTTCTTACTCGACCTATTTTTTTACTTTTTTTTCTTTTTCTTTTTTCTTGTTTTGGCCGGCCTGGTTGTCCTAACGTTCTTTTGCTTCCGTCGACGATCCCTCTCGCTCGTTTTATATAATATCCTTGTTGGTCCATTTCATGTCTCGTCCACCATTCCTCTTCTCTATCTCACCCTGCCTACCGTCGCTCATTCCCGTTGTCTAAGACCACGCCGCAACACTTTCCGTTATTTTCAATATTTACACTAACCACAACATCGCCCCCTTTTCAAGTCTCCTCCGTGGAAAGTCTCCTCCGTCCATCTGCACGCAAAACGCCACATAAAACAAACAACGTGGTCAACCCCGAACGCACACGCATGCGCCTGCATCATCCGGAACGCCGTCGCACAACATACAGACATACACAAACGCACGTTTTGGCGTCTGGTGTGTGTTGTCGACCGACATCTCGGCTCTTTCTGACATTTGAGCTTCGAGCCGGACACGGCACCTGGTATATCTATTGATCTTTTTCGGGCCTCGACTTTTTTGTGCCTCAACTTTTCTGCCTCAACTTTTCGTTCCTCAACCTTTGTCGTATCGTTTTATCAAGCACTCTTCGCAATGGCTTCTGCACCAGTAAGCATTGAAACTTCCCAGTCATCCCAGTAATCCCAGTCATCCGGCTTTGCCATCGGCCGATTACACAGACGATTAACAAGTTGTACCCCCATCAACAGCCAGTCTCCGGTCCGCCCTATCCCCCGACCGCTGCCGGTCTGGGCGGTTCTCCCGTCCCAGGCGTCGACGACCCAGTCTGTGCCGTGCTCCTCGTCTTCTTCATTGCCGCTGCCGCCACCAACATGACCATCCTGCAGGTCAATATGCGTCGAGGCCACAAGTTTATCATTTCTGGCATGACCTTTGGCTTCTGCATGGCCCGCACCACGGCCCTCGTCATTCGCATCGTCTGGGCGTCGCGTCCCCACAACATTTCCGTCGCCATTGCCTCCAACGTTCTCACCGTGGCCGGTGTCGTCCTCCTCTTTCTGATCAACCTCATCTTTGCCCAGCGCATCGTCCGTGCCCACAGGCCAAGGCTTGGCTGGAGTCGCCCTGTCACCTATGCCTTCCGCGCCCTCTTCTATTCTGTCCTCGTCGTGCTCGTCATGGTCATCCCCGTCGCCATTGACACCTTCTACACGCTGGATCCCAGCACCCGTGGCGTCCTGCGCCGCGTCCAGCTCGTTGGCACCGTCTACATGGCCGTCCTCTCCTTCCTGCCCATCCCCATCACACTCCTCACCCTGTTTGCGCCGCCCCGCCCCCCCTACCACGGTGCCGTCGAGAACTTTGGCCAGGGCCACATGCGCACCAAGATTGCGCTGCTCCTCTTCACCAGCACCCTTCTGTGCCTCGGCGCCTCCTTCCGTGCCGCCGTCAACTTCATGCCCCGTCCCCTGAGCGACCCGGCCTGGTTCGACAGCAAGCCCGCGTACTACGTCTTCAACTTTGGCGTTGAGCTGATTGTCGTCTACACCTACACAATCGTGCGCTTCGACCGCCGCTTCTTCGTTCCCAACGGCTCGTCTGCGCCCGGTCACTACGCCGCTGGTGGTGCCGTTGCCGACACGAGCGTGGGTGCAGCGGCAGGCGATGCGGCCGATTCGGCGGAGCGTGGCGAGACCGCCGAGGTCAACAACGGTGGCAGCCCTGTCCTGGCACGCAAGCCGACGCTGGCGGACCGCACCAACTACGGAAACGACGTCTTTGGCTCAGACGAGGAGCCGACGCTGGGTAGCATCAACGGCAACGAGGGCAAGCCGGAGCACTGAAACAGACGGCTCTGCGCCTGTTGATTTCTTATATCCCAATCTCCTTTGTCAAAGATCTTTTCACAGGAATAATCTGGTGGGAGGGGACGTGCATTTTGTATGATATGTTGCCTTGCATGGCCTCGGAGCATTTGGAGTATAATATGGATTTGCAAAGCATGGCTTTTTCTTTACATTTCATTAGATTCTTGGACAGAGACACTGTCTCTCTGCATATCGTATAGACAGGGCACGTAACATAGCCGCCCGACCTAGCAATTAACCTCTAGACACGACATAAAAGACTGAAATAAAACCGAAAAAAATCTTGTGCATCGCAACTAACATTATGTCTATGGAGCACCTGAAAGTAGTGCATGCAAGATGTATGAATGAAGAGCGCCGCCAAGCTGTGCGTTCTTCCAACTCTCCTATCCCCTTCGTCTCTTGCTCGACATCAGCTGTGCCTTGTTGCCACCCAGCTCCAACATCGGTTCTTCTTCCTGTCCAGATGTCTCGTCTAAAACTCTCTGTTCCTACAATGATACATCCAACGACAAAAGGAATACCAGGAAAAGACGGCGAAAGACAGGCAACAATAGGGGCAAGAAATAACGGGCGACAGGCGACAAGACGACATCGGGGCGTAGGAGCACAGGTTGTACAAGCGGGTTTCGAACACCAATAACACTGCATGCGCACGCTTCCAACTGCTCCTGTTATGCCGGCATAGACTCCCCGCAAAAACCCCAACGGTTTCTTTCTTCTTTCTTCGTTTTGTTTACAAGAAGTAGTCTGGGGTGCGTCTGGAGACCATTGGCTCACCTGCTCTCGGGCAAGGGTCAAATTGCAGGCTAATATGATGTTAGTTGCGTGTCTACACAAACAAACGCAAAAGGAGTACGGTGGTACTAACAATGTGTATTTCAGATGCTCGTCGATCTCCATGATCGCAGCCTGGTTACCGCAGCGGTAGCAGTAGTTTGGTGCTTGTTGATGTCAGCATCTTGCGTAGCAAGAAAAGCAGAAAAAGAAAGGTTGAAATCCCATCAGAAAACATACCGGAGAATATGGTCACGACGTTTCTATCTTGAGACCAGTTGTAGCCTTCCATCACAAGCTGGTGTGCACGAGCGATAAGCGTCAAGCCATTGTTATGGTTGAAGGCTTCGGAAATGTCCTGGCCGAACGTGTAACCGGCGCCGCGAGGCGATATGCCCCAGCCACAGCGGTCATCGGGGTCAGACCACAGAAGGTCGCACATGGGGCCTTCGTGGGGCACCTCCTGGATGCGGTCCAGCGCGCGAATGTTGTCCAGCGTGTCAATGCTAGGGGACAGACCACCGTGAAGGCAGAAGATCTGGTTGTCGATGAGGGCGGTGAGGGGGAGGTAGTCGAAGAGGTCGGTAAAGTACTTCCACACACTGGCGTTTCCGTACTTACGCAGGCACTCGTCGTAGAAGCCGTACACCTGCGTGATCTGGCGCGACTCGTGGTTTCCGCGCAAGATGGTGATCCTTTGCGGGTACCGGATCTTGAGAGCTACCAGCAACGTCACCGTCTCGACGGAGTAGTAGCCACGGTCGACGTAGTCGCCTGTGGTGGGTATTAGAGATCTGGAACTGACCTAAAAAAAAGAAGACCTAAAAAAAGAGAGAGGGCAGATAGCAGGAAGCCTTACCCATAAAGAGGTAGTTGGTATCGGGGTTCGGGCCGCCAATCTTGAACAGCTCCATCAGATCGTGAAACTGGCCGTGGATATCACCGCACACCGTGACCGGGCACTTGACCGGCTGAACATTGGACTCGTCTTGAAGGACCTCCCGAGCCTGGTTGCCGCGTCGTTATTAGTATCATGTATAATCTGCACGAGGGGTTTGCTTCCGCGTTCGTTGGGACACACCTTCTCGCACAGTCTCTGGACATCAAGCTCGCTCAGCTGCTTGCAGTTCATCAGGTTCTCGATCCAGCCGTCCACCGTGGGGACCGTCGTTGGCTCCAGGGCCGGAGGCGGCGTAAGGTCTACGGGACCGCGTCCGACGTCTTCCATATTCGTGTCCATGATGTTTTTTAGGCAAACGGTTGACAGAAGGGTATCGATTTGGGGCGAAGCAGCGACTCTTGAGAGCGATGCGCGTGTCTTAACAAATCAAGCGCGGATCGTCGAGTCTGCGCGGTCGCGTGCGAAGATGAGAAAATCGTTCTTGTTTTTGTCGTATCGTCGATCGTGATTAGGCGTAGCGTCAGGGTCGTTCGTAGAGCGTCAAGCGATGCGATATGAATACAATGCAATGGACGTCCGCAGGTCCTGGAATGCTGTTCGGATGCGAGAGCCAGTTAGAGGGGTAGAAAGGTCGATTGGTGATCAAAAGGGGGCTGAGAGGGGGGTTTGCCACTGGGAACCATCCAGAGTGCGATGGCGTTTCGTAGGACTTTGGGCCACATACAGAGGACTACAAGCAATGGAGCGAGAGCGTGCCGGCGGACAATGAGCGCAGTGAGGCTGTCGCGGTGGAGATGAGCGTGGTCGGCTTCGTCGTGGGGTTGTGGTTGTCGTCTGAACGTGATGAGGGTCGATGGCGAGGGGTGGGGGAGGCTTGTATGGATGCTGTCGGTGAGATTGCGAGCTTTGTTTTGTGTTTTCCGACTTCATAGTTTCCTAGGGATTGTTCGTCCCCATCCTGGAGGCGGGTGGCGCACGTGACGAGGCCCGTGCTTTGGCAGCGTATGTGCTCTTACACGCATATTGTTTGCGGAGGTACCTCACACTATGACAAGCTCAGTTGGTGGCGGTGGTGGGGCGAAAGCTGTCAGGAACATGAGCATCATAGCAGAAGCAGTTGCCACCAACTACGGGGTACTATTGCGCCATATTTGTACTCCGTAAAGCGCACACTAAATCTGGTTTACGACGTAGAGCCTCTGACATCTGCTTCCACGATGGTGATAGAAATGGATCATGGTTTCATACACTGATAAAACAGATATAACTGCTCTGAAAATGACGCCAAAATGTACAAAGGACGTAGGCCCAAAAAAGAAAATAAAGAGACAAAGGAAGAAATTCCGGAGAAAAGAAACGACCAAATACACGGAATTGAAAGAGAAATATGTGGTATCACGACAAGCCAAGACCAACTGGTCCGCTTGGTACTTTGGGAGCGGCAGGTGTCCGTGTGGGTGGCTCATGACCAACGAGGTTGCGGAAGTCAAGGCCGACGTCGGACAGCATGCGGGCGTGCTCGTGTGCCTGGTCCATACACCTCCGCCAGGCCTCGCCTTCACGCTCTGTGCTGCTCAGCTGCCGCGCCAGTATGCGGTTGAAGGCCTCGACCTCCTCCTTGGCCCACTTGACGCACGCACTCATCATCGGCGGTGGGAAGCAGCTCTGGAAGCAGCTGACGGTGTTGCGAATAATGGAAAAGTACACAAACGAGAGCTCCCAGATGTAGAGGTGGAGGTCGCCTTGGAAGATGCATTGCCTGGAAGGTTAGTAGAGAGATTCGACAGGCATTTGGAAGCAATGCGAAGGTGAAGAGGCTTACCTGGAACGCTTCTGGATCATGCTGCTGCGGGCCTCGAGGTAGGCTTCGCGCGCCCGGTCTTCAAACCCCAGGCGCGTCAACCACGAGACGTTGCGGCGCATCTTGCGCTGTTCGTTGTGTGTGTCAATCAACTCGCGAATGATGAGCGCTGCAAGGCGAGCCGAGCGCTCTTCAACCTTGAACTCGATAAAGTCCTGCGCCACGGCGTTGTTCTTCAACCCGCGCGCCAGCCCCTGCATCTTCTCGACGCGCGCGACAGAAGGCTCAAACTGCTGCAGGGCAATGTCAATGTCCAGCTCATCCATCTGGCTCTCGACCCACCGCAGATTCTGCTGCTTGCCGTCGACTTCAATGAGCATGTCTTTGATGTCGGACAGCGTCTCGAGAAGGTCCGTCTTTTGCAACAGTCCCGGATCACGCGACGCAAAGTAGTTGATTGTCTCCTTGGCCTTGTTGTTGGCCTCCATTTCCGATTGGATGCCGCGCCGCAGGTCTTCAACCACCTTGCGTATGTTGAGCATCAGTGCGGACTTCTCGGGGTCGTCTGGCTTTTCGGTCCGGTAGAGCACTGTTTCTTGGCCGACGCCACGCACCATAATGGCATCCGTCAGTTTGGACCGCACGGAGCCGGGGCCACTGCTGCTTCCAAGCGACGGCGACGTCACAGACTCGCCCGAGCCAGCCATGTCAATGACTTCAATGTCCAGCAGGGGCCAGCAGCGGTCGGCTACGAGCTTTAGCACCGGCCCACCACTGCTGCCCGGCCCGTCGGCTTTGCGCTTCTTACGCGAGGCCACCAGCAGATGGTCGTTGAGCAAGAAGATTTGCATGGCGCGTCGTGATTTGTAGGTGGCATTGTCCAACTCAATCCACTGGCCGGCGTTCTGCACCACGTGGCGGCCAAGCGTCATGGGCAGAAACCGCTGTGAGCCCTCGACGTTCTTGTACAGGGCTTGCATCTGCGAGTTCCACAGTGCCGTCCGATCTGCCACCGAGCTGCGCTTGTCGCGCTTGCTGAGGCCCGTGGAAAAACCAACGCCACCGAGACCACTTGCATCGGCACCACCACGACCGCCGTCACCGCCAGACGAGGACTGGTTGGATATGGATGTCGACGAGGCGGAGCGCAGAGCGGTCGTGTTGGACTTGAGCTCAGCCATCAGGTTGCGCAGCGAGCGCATCTCGCCCTTGAGCTTCTCAGCCTCTTTGCTAATCTTGATGAACTGGGCCCGGTTCTGGTAGATGTTTTGTTGCAAATCGCCGGCCGCCCGTGACCGCAAATCTCGTAGTGCCTCCTCATAGCGAGCGATATCCTCGTCGGACGCATCGCTCAGCATCGACGCCACATACTGGTCTGGGCTGAGCTTGGGGTCACGCAGCGCTTTGACGTCCACGGGTATCGGTGCTCCTGAGCCACCGCCTCCACTACCGCCCCGGCCCCCTCGGTCGTCCCCACCGCGCTGAATCGGCATGTTGGCACCACCCGCTCCTGGCCGTCTGGCGGCCGACTCATACTGGTTGAAGGATGGCAAGGACGGTACTGGGGGTGCGAACTCGTTCTTGGGCAAGTCGTTAAAGCGTGCGGAGTAGCGTCGCTTGATATAGTCTGACGTCTAAAGCGGACAAAAGAGAGAAAGAGAGCGTTAGAACCAGCATCACAGGGCCATCAGATTGTGGAAACGGGCGCTGCATACCTTTCCTCCGGGCTGCTGGGGAAGCTTTGGCCGTGATATCGGGGCGTCGCCGCCACCGGTCGGCCGCGGGCCATCATTGCGTGGCAGGGGTAGGCTGTTCTGGGTGGCAGGCCCAATTGGTGCTGAGATCTGCCTCGGCGCGCTGATGACAGGGCGGGCGCTTTTGTTCCGCTTGGGGCCGCTGCGCAGCGAGATCTTGAGCCTGTCTTCCGACATGGCTGCGGATTCTGTTTGCGAAAGCTGCGTAGTCTGTGTGTATCTGGCGTATTGTCTGGGCACCCCCACAGTGTGTGCGCGAGAGTCGTTGATCTCGTCACGTCTCGATGTTGGCCATCAGGGAGGCGTCGTCTGAAACGGGGCCAAGCCTCTGATATCTCTGCGTCTCGAATACACGCAACTGTAGTCCAGCTACAGTAACTTTGTGTAAATCGGTAGTGGCAGACTTTCGGATACGGGCGTGCTGTTGAAGATAGTAACGAAGCCTTGAGGTCGGGCGTGTGTTTCGTAAACCGGTTGTTGTGGCTTGCATGTGCCTTCAAGTCCTGATGTTTCGAGTTACGTCGACAGCTCCAGTTCCTTCCGTAAGGAGACAGCCCGCGTTTACGGTGGAGACTTTAGTGAGGATCACGTGCACATTCCCACTATTGGCGGGCTGTGGTTCGTGCTCCATGTGATTGGCCAATCAGCAGCCTGGGAGCTGCTTCTTGCGCGCTGTATTACGACGAATTTACAGTGGGTAATAGCGGGAAGAAGCCCCCCAAAAGGATACCACCACCTGCGCAAAGGGCACGGCCAACCAGGCTCGAGGCTAGGACGATTTTCAGGGAACCACTAAAAAAGCAGGTGGGAGGTGGTGGAAAGATCGAAAAAAAAAAAGAAAAAAAAAATCAGGAACCTCATCATTACGATAGCCACCGAAACGGCAGTCTGAGCAACAATCATAGGTAGCCGCACGAGGCCCTGACGACACAACCCATAAAGCAGCACACACGCGACGCATTCAAACCAGTCTTCAGACGGAAACCAACGTACGTCGCCTGCTCTCCACCACACGGCTATCGAACTCGGAAGATTCAGGACAACCGCCGACGCCCCCGAATCAATTTTTCGTTGCTTCTCTATTTTTCTTGAACGGCACGTCACGACACATATAGCTGCACTCGGGCGCGCCCAGACTTTCCTCCTCTTCCACATACACACACGCCACAATGTCGCAGCAATCAATTATTGCAACGGCCTCTGTCGCCGCAGTAGCGACGGGTCTTGTTGGTGCGTTGGACCCCCCTCGCTTCCTCACGGCCATGCGACTGCTTTGTCCCCTGACTCCGGCATTGGCCACCGTACTTTGACCCGTGGCTAACGTTTTCCAGCCTACGCAATCTACTTCGACCACCGCAGACGCACGCAGCCCGAGTTCCGTCGCGATCTCCGGAGAAACGAGCGGCGGCAGGCCCGTGCCGAGAAGGAGCTCGCCCAGCAGGAGACCGTCAAGCAGCGCGAGGTGATCAAGCTGGCTGTTGGGATGGCCAAGGCTGAAGGCTTCCCGACAAGTGTGGAGGAGAAGGAGGCGTTCTTCCTGGACCAGGTGTCCAAGGGCGAGGCCCTGGGCAGCGATCGTAAGTCTTCTCCTCCTTTTTTTTTTTTTTTTTGTAGAACAGGATGAACGACCTCGCTCGCATGTGATAGACACAGTACAGCTGACACGCTCTTCTAGCTTCGCAAGCCGTTGAGTCAGCCCTCCACTTCTACAAGGCACTCAAAGTGTACCCGACGCCCGGCGACCTGATTCGCATCTACGACCAGACAGTGTCCAAGGTACGAAGACCCCCCTTGGTTTGTATGGAAGAAGGGCTTTGCCAACTAACAACACCCCTCTCCAGCCCATCCTCGACGTCCTTGCCGAGATGATTGCCGTTGACTCCGAACTGAACATCCGCGACATGGCGCCGGCGAACCCGGCGGACCTTTTCCCCCCGACCGTCGGCCTCGATTAAGTGTGTTCTTGAGAGAACGTAGCTCCCTTCCATACCACTCTGCGTGACCGTCATCTAGCATGCCAGATATACACGCCATCTGCATATACACGGTTTTATCAACACGAACATTTCATCATGGTCCATCGACCAACCTGCTCCACTCATTATATACACCACGCAAAGCATATGTCAAGGAGGCATTTTGTCCTTGCTGGCAACCACCTCGTTGTTATGGACGACGACAAAAAAAAGAAGAAGCAAGAAACACGAATTTACGGTAGGAGGCGTCTCTTTCTTTTATTGGTTTGTTGAAAGAAGGACGGCATTGAATGGTATGACGAGTCTGTTGCATCAAAACGGACGGTTCTGCTGTGTCGATGTCATTTGTTCCCGTTGATGATCTGCTGTTTTTATGGAATTTGGTGTCTTTTGGTATTTTTTTCATCTGTTCAACTCCCTATTTATTTTGGTACATCGTCCGTTCCTCCTTTTTTGATTCGGACATTATTACTGCGCCCTTGTCTTTCAAGTCTTGGGGGCACACTTTGGGTTGCATGGAAGCGGTCACTATTTAGATAGGAGATATCCAAATAAAATTCATTCATAAAACGCGAGTGCCAAAGTGTCACACTGAGAGAGAGAGACAGAGAAGTTGATATATGAATAGAACGGGACGTTCAAGTTTTCTGTTGTTTGCTAAATGACGACACAGCCTAATGGATCCCAAGTTCCAAAATTCAGCACGTGCTGCACCACGTCTTCTACCGCTCAATGGGCCGTCCCTTGCGGTCGACACGCTGGTCGCGTGGGTCAAAGCCGCCCCGGCCCCAGGTGGCCCACTCGGCCGTCGGCGGGCCCATGTAGTCCTCGGGTGTAAAGTCGCCCTGGGGGCCCTTTTCGCGCAGCAGCGCAAAGAACTTGTCGTAGTCAATGACGGTGTGCCACTTGCCGTCGCGCTTGAAACGCTCGCTCGCCAGCAGCACGCAGCAGCTGTGGGCGTGCTCGGCAGCCAGGCCGTAGGCGAGGCCGCGGCTCTGCAGCTCCTTCTCGAGGGCCGTCACAAACTCGCACACCTCGTCGTAGAAGGGCACGTTGGCCATGGTGAGGCCGACGCCGGCGGACGTCGAGGTGCCGCAGAAGGTGACGCCCTTGACCTCGACAAAACAGGGCAGCGCCTGCTCGACCAGGTCGGCGTAGCCCTGCACCTCGTCGTCAATGTTGAACCCCTTGACGAGGGTCAGGCGGAACACGGTCCGCTGGCGGAAGCGGACCTCGCGCAGGATGGCGAGGCAGCGCTGGAAGCGTTCCCAAAAGTCGCGGTGCAGCGGACGGTCGATCTTGCGCAGCGTCTCGCGGTTGGAGGCGTCAATGGACACGTAGAGCTGGGTGACGTGGTGGAGGGCGGCGAGCTGGTCCGGATGTTGGGCGTTGCAGACGAGAAACGACGAGATGTTTTCGCCGTGCAGCATGCCCAGGAACTCGTTAATGTGCGGGTAGAAGATGGGCTCGCCAACGAGCGACAGCGCACAGTGGCGGATGCGCATGGCCTCGGCAAACCGCTCGGCACGCACGCCAGGCACGCCGCGCATCATCTTGATCTTTTGGTAGTGATTGGCCTTGACGCCGTCAAAGATGAGGTCGGGCGGGTCGACGACCCAGCGCCAGGTGGTGCCGACGGGGTTGGTGCCGTGGCGCCAGCAGAAGACGCACTTGTTGGAGCACGAGAGCGAGGGGGTGGTCTCCATGCACTGGTGAGAGTTGATGCCGTAGAAGGAGTACTTGTAGCAGGAGCCGCGGCCACGGAGGGCGGACTTGGTCCAGCGGCAGATCTTGACGCCCGAGTGCGAGCCGACAATGGCGTAACCCTGTTTGGTAAGGGACTTGTATGTCGGTGTATCCTTGGCGACCATTTCCTTTGGTGCAGGGGCGGCCGCTCTCCGGCCGGTGCGACGCGGACTACCGTTGGTGGTGCTGCTGTCATTTGCGCCGTATGTCGTAAAGTCGACGGCGATGGGTGCCTTGTTGACGTTGGTGCCGGGCGCCTCGGCGACGTCGTCGACCGCAGTGTCTTCAACAGCAGCGTCGTCCTCTTTGGAGCTCCGCAGCAGGCGGCCCAGGTCCTCGACGTCGTCGATGACGCCGGCCTTCTTCAGCCGTTTGACGTTGGCATTGCGCGCCGCATTGCCGCCAAACAGGACGTCGTCGTTGTCGTAGGCCGCGCCGTTGGCGTCAGCAGCGCCGTCATCGTCGTTGCTGCCGTCGTCGTAGGCATCGCTATCGTCGTCGCTCGCCTCATCCTCGTCCTCATCGTCCGTCTCGACGGCATCGCCCGATCCCCGGACACCAGTGCCGAGACTGCCCGTGCGGGCGACAAGGCCCAGGACGTCGACAACGCCCTCGGACCACTCGGCCAGCCGCAGCATGGCGTCCGTCTTCGTGTTTCCGACGCCCATGGGGAAGGCACGCTTGCGGCCCGTCAGCTTGGCCATCCACTTGTCGACCTCCTTGGCCTGGAAGCAAAAGCCCTCGTCCTCGGTGGGCCAGCCTTCGCGGTCGCCAAAGCCAAATACGGAGTAGCCCAGGAGGGGCGCGAGCGGTGCAGTGTCGATGCGGAAGTCATGGTGTGTCTCCTTGAGGTGCTCAAGGAAGGTGTCGTTGATGGAGTCGATGTTGTAGCTGGGGAGGAGGAAGAGGTACAGGTAGTCGGTGGTTCGGCCAGAGGCGGCGTCGGAGGCATCCTTGGGCGGCGAGATAAAGTATTCGTCCAGGTCTACCTCGGCAATGTCCAGAACCTCAACGGGCGCAAAGACGTTGCCCTTGCTGTCGCTGCCACCATCCGGCTTCAGTTCGCCCAGCGTGGTGCTCAGCTCGGCAGCATAGTCACGCACAATCTTGGCCGTGGCACCCGTTATGGACGAGTAAAAGACGATTGTCTGGATGCGCGTGGGCACGCGAGCGACAGCAGCGGCACCGCTGCCTTTTGGAAGCTCGCCCTTGATACGGCGCGGGCCAGCCGCAGCCTTGGTGGTCGTGGAGGAAGGAGTGGTCGCATTCGCCGTCTTGGCAGTTGAGGATTTCTTGGTCGCGGTCGGGGTGATCGTCTTCTTGTCGCTCGTGGAGCCGGGGTAGGAGATGGTCTTGGTCTGCTGGAGCACGGCGATTTTGACGTCTTCTTGGACCGACGGCGGCTGTTCTTGTTGCTGCAGCTTCTTGTTCTCGTCGACGACGGTCGTGCCGTCGTAGATCTTGGGGAAGACGAGCAGACCTTCCCTGTCGTCACCTGAGCCGGCCACATGCAGGTAGATGCGCAGCGAGACGAGGGTAGCAAACGTGGCAAGAAGAATGGGAATGCGGTAGGTGTGCCATGCGTCGACGACCACTAAAAACAATATTTGTCAGTTTGTGTCCTTGGAGAAAGCCGTGATAATAGGAATAGCCACGTGCTTACCAATGAGCAAATCTCGTATGAACGGGCTGCTCGCCCAGGAAGTCGAGGCCATGGTGCGTTGGGAGGAGCGCAAAAGCGTCTCAGGTCGGCGCGATTTGCGGTGTTCGCAGTCTGGCTCAAACTGGCGTGAAGCGAGACGTTGGCAATGTCCACGGCTTCTTTTTTGAGTTGACACTTTTTTTCGGTGAGAGGCTAAATGCGGAGGAAATTTTGTAGTGCAACACCGATTGCCATTGAACCCCTCACAACTCGCCAAACCCGTCAAAAGTTAGTCATTCAAGGGCCCTGTAGACCGCACCCCACATATATTGGGGCCACTATATCCGCTATGTAAAGCGCCAAACTTCCGTGTAAGTCAAATGCGGCAAGTCTCTCCAGGTGGTATATTCATTGCATCGACAGAGCTCTGCGCATTTATGCGTGGTGTAATGTCGGATCATTAAATATTAACGTAAAAAATGGCCAAGGCTATCAGGTCTATCATGGTATAAAAATGCACTTTTCAACGACAATGCTCCTCATGCAAGTGTCAAATCATGAAAAGAAAACCGAAGCAGAAAACAAAAAAGAACGAAAGGAAAAGAAAACGCTGTCTGCCTTAAAGGCTGCTGGCAAAATGTGTTTTAAATGCGCGAACAATAAATCCATGAAAACTGTTGATGAACGGCAGGGCGAGTCGGGCCTACACCGTTCGTTTGCCGCCCGGCTGCTCCTCCTTGGGGTGCAGATCGCGCAGGCACGGCGCATAAAACATGTTGCCGCGGTAGACCATGATGGTGGTTTTGACGGCCACGAGAATCCATAGGCAAAACACCAGGGCTGAGAAGATCATGGTGATGACCTTGAAAAAGGTGCTCGACAGCTCTACGGCCAGCACACCTGTGCAGCTCGTAAAGACGCCGAGCGGGAAGACGAAGCCCCACCAGCCCATGTTGAAGGGGAACGACTTGGTGGTCATGATGGAGATGATGGCAAACGCCAGCCAGCCGAGAGCGGCGCCCCACAAGAAGAACCCGGCGAGGATTCCAATCATGTAGAGCACGGTGGGGCCGTACAGGGCGGTGGCATCGAGGGCATTGGGGCTGGTGCCGTCGGGGATGGCGCCGTTGAACGCGCCGGTGGCGGGCAGAACCTGCATGGCGAGCTTGCCGAGCTGCTGGATCGCAAAGCCGCCCTGGCCTAGCGGGCCGATGGGTAGGAAGACGGACACAATGACTTCGCGCGGCGGCAGGTCGTGGATTTGCAGGCGCAGAAAGTACACCGTCATGATAAAGAAGGAGAAGGTCTCGCCGAGGCCCCAGATGATGTAGGAGAGGACCAGGGTGGTGAGTTGGTGCGAGCGGTTGGGCAGGGCCTCGGCGATCACGCTGCCAGAGGCAGCCGCGACAATGACGGGCACGACAGGCAGGAGTAAGGCAGCGGTCATGTGAGAGAGCTGATTGCGATGATGGTGGATACTGGCGCGCTGTCAGAAGCGAGAAGACAGACGACAAGACATGGCAACGGCTGATGGGACGGGCAACTCACATCACAAAAGGAATAATCAGGCTGCAGGCGCAGGAGCCAAAGACGTCGACCCACCAAAACGCCCAGATCAGATAGATTGCCCAGTTGCCCCATGTTGTGCAGACGAGGGCCATCATTGTGACAATGGCTGTGATTGTTAGCAGGTGGTGTGTGACAGCACAGACAGAAGCGTCAAGGGCATACGCACTCGAAAAGGCCATGGGAATGCACCCCAGGAAGAGCGACTGGGACGGATGCTTAATCATGACATTCCAAATCTCCGGATACACGACGTAGCGCGTAATCGTGATGAGCGAAAAGGTGATGAACAGCAGAATGTTGAGGCAGAAGACGGCAACGGACAGGTACCACACCCCGTGGGCGTTGTAGGGCAGGTTGTGCAGCAAGATGGCGACGACGCCCGTGCCCATGCACACAGAGAACCACGACGGCGTAAAGTTGCGCACAATTTTGCGCCAGCCACGATTTTCCCTCTCGCTGGTGGCGACGACGGCGCCGCAGGGCAGGATCCGAATGTCGCTGCCGCCGGCGCCGGCGCAAGGCGTGTTTGCTGTCGGCGGTTCTGCCACGGCATTGCTGTGGCTGCGGCTGACGGGGTGGGAGCCATTCTCGGCGCTGGCATTGATCGTGTTGTGGGAGGAGATGTTACTGACGACCGGAACGGCTGGGCTGCTTTCGGCGTCCTTCTCGGGGTCTATCTCGTGCAAGGTGGGTGCAGCACCTGCAGTGGTGCCTGCAGAGCACGATGTGTTGTTCACATGGTCGGAGGTGTCCACGTTCTCCTCGCTGGCGTTGGCCTGGCGTAGAGTGTGGAAGAAAATGCCACTGCCATCAGGGGAGGAGGCCGTCGAGAACTCCGGTATTAATGCAGACATGTCGATATATCGATGTCGGCAGGGATTGAATGAGACGGAGACAGGGCCAAGAGTCCCACGGATGGTCGAAGTACGAGCACCACTAGTCACGATAATGGGTAGATTGGATAGAAAATACCGCCAGATGGCATCGAGGGAGGTCAAGCCCAAGAGCATGAGAAGCACATATACGGGGTTCGCCTCCTCTTATTCAACCGCAGAAACAGGAAATCGGCATCAAGGGAGCAAAACAAGAACCATTGCTGCAGGCAAGCCGCTCTTTCCGCCAATCACGGCTGGCGCTGTTGTGCTTAAGCAGGCCGCATAGCTCTTTCCCCAACCCATTTTCGTGTTCTCGATAAATTTTTGGCCTTATTTTTTTTCTAGCGTGATCGGCACGCAGCAAAGTTGAAATAGTCGGGGAAGGAACGAGCATACTCCGTCTGGTTTCTTTCGCCGCCCATGTTGCCGAGATTTCTCCCTCCAAACGGTCTGGTCTCACTGCGACTTAAATCGCACCTTCGTTAATCGCACCTTCCTGGCAAGATTGAACAGGCGGTTCTCGGTGCCGTTGGTAGACGGCCCGGTAACATGCCAAAACTGTCCAAAATTTGAGTATGACTAATGGCAAGCCTAAAACACGAGACGAGAACGCCCCGGTCCAACAGTACATGACTCAAACGAGCCTCGACCGTCGGCCGATGCCGACAGATGGACTGTTTCGAAGGTTTTTTATTTTTATTTTTTATATCAACGGGAGTCGCATGTTCCTTCCTGGCATAGACCGTGCCTTATTCTGCTGCAGCACGGCACGGTTTGAATACAACCCTGGCCCGGCAAGGCTCTGCTGTGGGCAGGGCTGAGTGCGATCGTGGCCTGATTGTCGGATTCTGGCGTCTCTCGTATTGGCCTTGGCTTCATTTCAGGCCACTCGCCGAAAACGGAGAGCCTCGTTTGCTTTCGCGTAATATAAAAGAGCCGTCTCCCCATTTTGGTCGACAACACGACGTCCAGCCCCCAACTATGCATCTTCTTGTTACGTCACGAGAAGCTAGGGACCGTGATGCATCGTGGCAGGTGACCAAAGCTATAACAATGGCAATCTTTGGGGGCGTCAAAAGCCGGTACTCGCATTCGTGAGTTGTCGCCGTCCATTGGATCGTTGGGCCATGGGGGCATCTCTTGGGGTCCACCATGCAGTGCCGCACAGTGCCCGCGCCCTGTGGTTGGCCGTAATTCACACTTTTTGGCCCTCCGGTACTAGCCGTCAGCGCTCACTCGCTGAGACTCTGACTGCATTTTTCACTCTTTACGTATTCGTACGTACGCTCGGCCATACCGTACCAGGACCCCGCCAGCCCGCTCCCTAGCACCGGTGTGCTGCCGGTGCGTGACTTCATTCTTCACCTTTGTCTGCCGCCGACGCTACCGCCTTCCCACAGCGGCCAAAAATGAGAAACAAATACGAAGCACTGTTCTGTCTTATCTTTGCACATAACTTGCTCAAGGCCACTAAATTCTTAGCGGCCTCCCCACTCACAGAGGTTCCCAAACGGCCCAAAAATGGCCACTGAAAAAGCACCAATGCGCCCCAGGGCCAGTCTCTTCCGACTTTTCCACGACAACTTGCCTCGCAGAAGTGCCACTAAAGTACGCAGAACAATGACATAGAATCACCTGGAAAAAAGGACAGTTTTACTTTTCAATTCTGTGCTCTCGAGTATCCTGCCGCTTCCTCTATCATGCTGCACGACCTGCACAAACTGCACAATCTGCACGACGCATCCATACCCCCCGTTCGCATCCAGAGCCCACCGCCATTGGCGAACCAGGAGAACATCCGAGGAGAAGATCCACTCGTCGCCCAATATCCCACGCCGACACCCACGCTCGCCCACGTCGGACCGCCCAATAGCAACGGCAACACGACGCACCGAGCCTGAGTGAAGCCGATGCTGCAGTCGGCCCCTCCAACCGCCACTGCGCCTTGCAACCCGCGTCTCTCCCATCCACGGCCGGCAGTCGGCGAAGCCCCCCAAACCCGACGTCGGCTTTTCGTTTCCTTGTTTTCGTTTTCGTCCCTTCGTTGTCTTTGATTGACGACGGTTTCATTCCTTTGATCTTTGAGAACGAACGACACAGTCTGCTGTCTGTCGTCGTTGCCGGCCATCATCCAACACGAGGAAAGGCCAAAAGAAGAAGGAGCCAGCGAGTTGCACCACAACAGCAAGAGCGAACTAGAGCCAGGTCGTTCGACAAGTCGTTCGGTCAAGTCATCTGACGCCGCCTCTTTCTCTCACTCCTTTTCTTATTCCTTCTGTCGTTGCTTTCGATTTCCGTCTCACGCGGACATCCTTTTCCCCATCCACCCTCTTCCCACCTTCCCTGTCCCTGCTGTACGCTTGTACTTTCCGGCACCACCCATTCCGTATCAGGCGACGACCATTTCCCCCTCACTTGAGCGAGACTTTGTCGACATAAAAGAGGCCTTGTCCAGCCCTCATCCAACCCTCGTCTTTCCCACTCCATCGTCCTGTCGACGTGTCCTATTCATCTTTCATCCTCCAATTCCCTAGAGCCCACCCATCCTAAGACGCATCCTAGCATCCCAACGCCCCATCTCTTTCATCCCCTGAAGAACATCCCTTGTCGTCGTCGACATCGCACATCGTCGTTCTTTGTCGTCATCGTTTGTATCGCTTGCATCGACTGTTGTCATTGTCGTTTCGCATTATCGTCGCGATGGCCATTAGTGTTCTGCCCGTCAATGCCGGTGCATCCGCATCGCTCGATCGTGCTGACGATCGCGTCGAGGATGTGTCCCGCTTCGAGCTGCTCGTTAAGGCCCTCAAGCAGGCGCTGGGGCCCTCGTCTGGCCTGACGTCTGACGACGTCGACGTCAACCACCTTAGACGCCTCATGGAGGAGTACGATGCCAGCGACGAAGGCTGGATGCCGTACAACTTTGGCGACGCCAGCCGCGGCTACACCCGTAACCTGGTTGACGAGGGCAACGGCAAGAGCAATCTGCTCGTGCTGGTCTGGTCCCCGGGCAAGGGCAGCCCCATCCACGACCACGGCAACGCCCACTGCCTCATGAAGATCCTGCGCGGTGACCTGACCGAGACGCGCTATGCGTTCCCAGAGGACAACGCGGCCGGTACCAGCGAGCCCAAGCCGATGACTGTCACGTCCGAGAAGACGTACCACGAGAACGCCGTCGCCTACATGGCCGACGAGCTGGGCGTCCACAAGATCTGGAACAAGGGCAGCGACTTTGCTGTGTCCTTGCACTGTAGGTCCCTCCCCTCCGTCTTTTTTCGTTTCCATGTACACCGACGCTGACCCGTCCCTCTTCTCCAGTGTACACGCCTCCCAACGTGGCCAAAGGCGGCTGCAACGTCTTCAACGAGAAGACGGGCAAATGCTCACACGTCAGCAAATGCGGCTACTACAGCGCATATGGCAAGCTGCTCAAGGACTCTGACTCTTGAACGGCAACACCAACCGCCCATGTTTTTTTTTTTTTGGTTTTTGGATTTCTTTTTTGTCCATGATATGACTGATGAGAGAAGAGACGGAGAAGAGAAGGGATGTGACCACATCTTGGAATAATAATGGACGAGGGACGAGAGAGGCAGAAGACAGAAGGAGATGTGTTGACTTAGCTGTTTTTGATCTTCATCGTTGGCAACATGCAATATATTTTTTCATTCTCCCAACTCATGCCATGTCGTCTGCTGCCACCAATGACCGTGCACGATTCGCCTGGCAAGACCTCGTCGCTTTCCACGTTTCCCATCTCGCTGGTCGCTGGCGTCGTCTTGTCGTCTCCACAGTGTCCAGCAGGCTGGGACTGTTCTGTTGATGGGGTGCAAGGGTTTGGTCAGTACAAAATCTTCGTAGGGGCCAAAATGATGAAATGAGGTCCAAAATGTCGAAACAGGTAAAAAGAGGAGAACAGAGAAAGAAGAGAGTTGAAATGAGAACCACAGGAAAATCTGGGGGAGAAACAAGCATAAAAGTATGCCGGAGAGCGAGCTTGATGCTGGAAAACGGCAGAGGTCGGTCCGTCGCGCGCTGCGATTGGTCCGTTGGCGATTGCGTGATTGACTAGTTTCGCTCGTCGGTGCTACGAAGCGTCATTTGGAGGAGACGAGATGCCGCACCGACGGTCACATGACCGTACTAAACGACAGAGCTATGTTCTCCTCGCCATGACGTCCCACCCAAAACGCCAAACGACGGAGACGACACTGGCTGTAGTATGGACCGAGAGTATCGAGCGACCGGAAGATGTGTAAAGGATCGGGTGCCCTGCATGATTCGCCGATCGTGCTTTCATATTGACAGCAAAATTTCACGAACGAGACCGCCGCGAATGCTCTGCAAGGCGAGAGAGATCACGAGCGCGACGACGAGACGGGTTCGGTCCCGGGATGCACGGGCGCAGGATGAACAAGTTACGACATTGTTTACTATTCGACAAGGAGCTCGACTGTTTGTATCTGACGCGTCTTACATATATATTTGACATTTACGCATGAAGCATACTCTGGCCAAAGGTTATGATATCCACACCCTCCTCACACGATTCAACCACTCCCAGGCCACGACCCGTTACCGTCTCTTCCGCCGCTCTGCCCCTGGGATCGGACCAGGCACGGCCGCCTCCACTTGCTGCAACGGTTGGCCGGCATTCGGCGGGCCGACAAAGCTACCCGCACCGCATGCCGCCTGGATCGCCGTGCATTTCTTGTCCCACACGTCGCAGTTGGCGTCGCCCGACGGCGGGGCGCTGCTGTAGCACGCGGCCTCCTGGTGGAAGCAGTTCTCAGAGGCATCCCAGCATCCGGCCTCGGTCGTGTAACTCGGCACCTCGACGCCGCACCAGTTGGCATTCTTGATGAGGCACGCGCTTGGCACAAAAGCGACGCCGGCATGCTGGGCTACCACGGCCAATTTGTTGGGCTTGGACGATGCTGAGCAAGAGGACGAGGACGAGGACCAGGACGGCGATGGCGATGGCGACGGCGCGGTCGAGGGCGAGGCATCGATCCGGTTGTTGCCGGCTGCGTTGGCCTTCGAGCCGGACGTGTCGTCGGCCGTCGGGAAAAACACCGGCGGGCCAGGCATCGGGTACGGGAAGACAGGCGTGTAAATGTTGAACGTGACGGACGGGTCGCCCGCCTTGACATGGCCAGGAATGGTGGCCTCGTGGCCCTCGGGGATCGTGAGCAGCTGCCCGCTGCTTGTCCCCCCCACAAAGATCTGGGCGCACCCGACATAAAACTGCGGATCGCCCTTTTGTGCCTCGTGCAGTGCCAGCAGCTCCGGCCGAGCAAGGTACGCACCCGCAGGCAGGCCGCTTGGGAGCGCCACCGAGAGAAGGCCGTTGGTGGCTATGAGCTTCTCGGTGCACCACTGGTCCGTGCTGTTGTCGTAGCCGTCCTCGTAAATCTTGAACCAGCCAGTCGAGGAGGCGGGCGTCTCGGACGCCATGTCGGACACCTGCCGGAGGTAGACAGCACAGGGACCTTTGTGTGACTTGTCGATGGCACCCGGAACAGAGCCGTCTGGGTTTTCACGGAACTCAAATGTCAGCGTCGAGCCGGCGCCGACGGGGCAGGTAAACGCGACGGAAGCGAGCCCATTTCGGCCTGTAGGAAGACACACACGTTAGCTTTTGTTGATTCATCGTCCATAATTTATCGCAAATGCCAAAGGTATACTTGCCACATATCATGTCTGAGCTGGCCAGGTCCTCGACGGGGAACGTTGAGGTCTGGGGGTCAGTCGGCTGACGGACACAGGTGCCGTCGCCCTGGTCGACACCGTTGACAAAGAGTGTCGTGAACGAAGTGTGTGCCGTGGCGGCCGTGGCGAAAGCTACGGCCACGGCCAAGACAAGGGTGTTGAGTCTGGGCATTGCGGCGACGTGTTTTGGGGGGGTCCTATTGAAGCTATGTTGATGTCGTGGTGATGAAGGGCTTTGAGAGGGGTTTTCGGTTGTTTCTATTGTTTGTTTATTTCGTTTGCTCACCAGGTCTCGTGATTTCGAGATTCAACAACGTGACTGAGCCTGAGACTTTGGTAGAAAGTCGGACTACTTCGAGAAAATGACAAATGAATGACAGAAAATGGAGAGGTAGGAAGACGTTTATAAATAAGAGTGAGTGTTGTGAACAAAGTCAAAGTGAGTGAACAAGTGTATGAATGAAATAATGCGTGAATAAAGGAATGAAGATAAGCGCTGCTCTGAGCCGGCCACAATCAAAGGGAGAAAAAGGAACGAAACTGAAGAAAGAACATCAAAGAAAATTTATCTGAGAGTTTCCAGACTCAAAGCGATGATAAGGGCGACTAAACGAACCGAAAGGGGGCGGAAACGACTTGTTATATGACCCTTTGAACCATCTCCTATATTATGTTGGTTGCTTCGTAGACGCCCGCGATCCACGGCTGACGACTTTGGCCAACCGTCTGCACACTCGCACCTGTAGCACCCATGCACCAAATTTCCGAATCGTCACGACGGCCGCTTTCGTGTCAAATAAAATATTCTGCTCCTTTGTGCGCCAAATCGCGTTGACCTGCATCCTTCTGTAGACCGTTGATCCATGTTTTTGCGAATTCCTGGTTACCCGCAGCTGTTACTTGAGAGGGGAGGGGATACGATCGATTACGCCTTTTGTGGAACAGGTACATGGATTGTGACAGAAAGTCCATCAGTTCTCGTCGGCTGGGATGTAAAAGCATAGGCAAGAAAAAGTATGCCAGGCACGCTACATAAAACGTGGCGTGCTTGTACGTCGACATCCTTAAGTGTGTCCCGAGTCTCCTTCTGAGGACAGGAGAGAGCGATGTTCCACAGCCAGGGGTTAAGAGCACAAAAATATACACGATTCTGACTACCACAGATGCTCCACCATGGGAAGAAGACACCACAGACAGTATTAGTACGGAGACACAGGATGCACAACACGGCCCACGTATGTGGCGAGAAAAGACTGGACTGAGATCAACTTCACACACTTTGTCGCAAAATAAACATGGGCGTCGTAACCCCCTTGCATGTTCATATCCGCAAATATAACGCTCATGGTGAAGACCCTCCACGTTGCCTATTTATGAAAAGGGGTGCCAAGATGATGCTATCTGCTTTGGAGCTTGTGAACATAAATGAGCTGAGGATGTCTGTGTAGGGGCACGGCAGTTAAGTCGAAACGACAATTATACTCGTCGACAACATGGAAGTAGCGGATAAAGTAAGCCAACCGCCGGAGAAGACTCAATGCTGGTAAACGGGTTAAAAGGGATGACGACGGAAACCAGGGAGCGCATACCAATACAGCCCATGTCGGAATACAGCGGACGATCTACGTTGGGATTTTACCTTTCAAGTGCCGCTTTCAAGAGACAGGATAAAATCATTACTAGAAAAATAAGAAGCGCCCAGGTCCCGGCAAAATCAAATAGAGTTTTTCTCACTCCAGGATAACCGAGCACCAGATTTAAGATGTAAACGTCGAGGAAAAACGAACTTGGACATGGATAATCACCATGCAGGTACCTCACATATAGTGAGGAAGGCAAAGTCGAGCGGCAGGCATAAATATTGCTGGTTTACATCTACCGAGAGACCCATTTCGTCTGTAGGTTTCGCCGAATTGTATACATACAGGGACGGCAGGGTCGTCTCTTCTGGGTACCGCTAGCCATGGGCGAAACGCTGTAGCTGAATGTCAGGTTGTCTTCATCTATTCGAAACGGCAGGTCGCATTTGGTTGGTTGGCAGGGATTGTAAAATAGACGCGCCCAGAAAGGATGCTGACGTGCCTCGGGTCGGACAGAAACTACCTTTTTAAAACCTTCCAGTCTAATCGATGCATCCTCAGAGACAGTCATTTGGTTGCTATGCTCGAATGTATGAGTGGAGATGGATTTGTTTTCTATCTAAAATTCGTCCCCGTCTTTGAAACTGGGCTTGTTCGCTTTTCGTCCCCTCTTCCCTGCGCTTCTATTCAATACATGATATGGTTGTACAAAAAGCAGGCAAAAAAGGTGGGCATAAATCTTTCATTCACATCATGTTCCCTCCCTATTCGCTGTCCTTTTTGTGTAGTCCTTTGGGTAGAGAGGGTCCGTATTTTGTAATGTTTTTTATATGTTGGTACAAATGGTGTTCAAGCGAGAGTGGAAGCAGGGCCATGCACAAGAAGAGACAAAGCAGGGCGGACAAAAGGGGCTGAGGAGATCCAGACCACATAAGGGTGGACCGTCTCTCCCTCGACCGTTCTTCCCGCCTTGGTCCTTTCATGATACAACACCCTCATCACTCCAACTCCCGAAGCGCTCATGTCCGTGAGCATGCAGAACCGTTTTTTTTTCTCTAATTTTTTTGGCTTCGAAAATAGGGCGAGCGTGCACACTACCCAAGTCTTCTTTCTTTGGCCATTTTTTTTTTTTTTTTTTTTTTTTTTTGAATTTGTATTTCTATATGGTGTCGGTCTCGGGCTCGAAGAACGTGTTTTTACTCGTTGATCTTGGCAAGGATCCTGGAATTGGTCAGCACGCTCTGTCGGTATCCCTCATGTCTTTCTCGTTCGAATCTCCCGGTGTGACTTACTCGCTGTCGCGGAACAGGTGGTACTCCTCGTCGCCCACCTTGATCGGGCTGCCGCCGTACTGCGGGATCAGGACCTTGTCGCCGGCGGCAACGCCCATGGGCGTCCGCTTGCCGTCCTTGTCGAGGTTGCCGGGGCCGACGGCCAGAACGTGCGCCTCGTTGAGGTCCTTGACACTCGACTCGGGCAAGAAGATGCCGCTGGCGGTCTTGGTCTCGGACTTGGCACGCTGCACCAGCACGCGGTCCAGGAGGGGGACGAGGGACTTGATCGAGCGGAGGCCAGACTGGGAGGGGGGAAAGAGGACAACTGTTAGAACTTGCTCTTGTGGAAAGGGGACATGGCCGGTTCGCATGGCTCGGCCTAACAGCACTGCCCGCGAACGAGAGGTTGTGCCGAAGCGGTTGGGAGGTGCTGTTGTTTACTCACCATTGTGGAGGTTTGGGTGTGTCGAAAGAGCTGTGTGAGAGAAAGAAAAAGAAATGCCGGTCCGAGAAGAGGTCCAATTGGCAAGAGGTCTGAATCCGGGGTAGCGGTTGTACGTTACGAATTGGGGGGATGACGGGAGAGAAGAAGTGTTAAAGCTGCTTTTGCGCCAGCCGGCCGGAAGGTTTTTCTGCGGGTTGCCGAAGAAAAATCCAAGAGCTTCTAAGAGCATCTACGCTCTCCATTCGCATAGGCGCGAGCCCAATCCCAGCTACTGGAATAGCCGACTGGCTTGCTGGCCTGACCGTCAGGCGAACTGGAGCAACCCCAAATGTTTTCTGGGGCCCGTTTGGGCCCGGCACAACAGATTTTCCGGCGCCGCCTTAGGCCTAGACCATCGGCTTACAGCGCGTCTACAGCGGTCTTTTTTAGCGGCCTCGACAGGGGCCAGCCATATAGAGCTATGGATATTCAGAAGACCATGATCTCACGATCCAAGCTGCCTGATGCCAGCAGCGTTTGTGTTGCTGGAAATATACTGTATTATATAACTCTAGACATTTTCAATCTATCAGCACGCCATTACCCAAGGACTGGTCCCCATTCAGAAATCTAGCCTATTCCCAGCAACCCTGGCGAAACCCATTCACTGATGGATTCACAGCCATCAAATATATGTATGTGCCTTTTCAACCCGAGCCCTCGACGAATGTTTGATAAGATGATGTTTGAAAAAAGAAGAAAACATGGTAAAAAAACAATGATGCAATAAACATAAACGGCTAGAAATTCAAAACAGACACTCAAAACAGTGTGAATAGGATGTAAACAGAGGGTCAATATAAATGGAGTGCGAAACAGGAAAGGCAAAAGTGCAAACGCAAATAAATCCGGAGTAGAATATAAAACAACACAAGTATATCCAGAAGAACCCAGTAAACCGTTAGAAAAAAGCACGCTCCATAAACTTCCGTTTTTCTTTCGGCCTGAAACATAAGTTGGCCTTGCATTTGCTCAGCGAAGCTCAGGTCGATCGATTAAAATAAAAAGCTTCTACTTCACGACTGGGGTTGGTTGTTCGAGTATATGCGTGTGCGTACTAGAGCGGATGATCCTGCCGGGTTCAATCTGTCGGCAGATCACAGTGTCAGCGACCCACGGGTCCTTGATCAGATCCGCCATCTTGATTCGGTCCTTGGGGTCAATGGCCAGCATGCTGCCGATGACAACACGGCTCTCCCGGGGAAGGAGCCGAAGAATGCGCCACGGGCCGCGAATGACCTCGCGCTTTTCTGCCGGCTTGTCTGCGGCCTTGCCAGACTCTGCCGACTTGTCGACCGCCTCCTTCACATCGTCCTTTTTGTCGGCCTTGTCGGTAAGATCGTCATTGTTGGTCTTTTCGGCGGTCTCGGGTTTGATATTTGTCTCGGTCACGTTAACCTTCTCCTCTGCGACGTCTTTCTTATCACTAATCTCCTTGGCCTGTTGCTCAGGCTGCTCAACCTTTTCCTTCTCTGCAGCCTCCACGAGAGGTTCCTCGTCCGCCCTCGCTGAGCTGCCAAGGCGGCCAGCCATTGCCAGCTTCTTGGGATCGTGGCCCGGGGTGGGCTCGGCTGCAAACAACTTGTAGGAATTGTCGGACAGGCGAGGGACCTTCCACGGAAACCTTCTAAGCGTCATGCAACAGAATATGATGGCAAGAGACCAAATGTCCACCGCCGTAGGGTCGTATTTTCGTTCGTCGTAGACTTCAGGGGCCAGGTACGGGTCGGATCCAACAATACCTAAGCGACAGCATCAGTAAGGTTTCAACAAAGGGGGGAAAGAAGATGTTGACTAGGGAGCTATCACGAACCTGAAGCCATCACGACACCACTCTCGAATGGATACTTGAAGACATGTGCACTACCAAAATCGATAATCTTCATAATGCCGTGTTCACTGACAACGACGTTGTCGAGCTTCAAGTCACGGTGGGCAAGGCCCATGCTGTGCAGGTACGTCACGCCGCTCACAATCTGCAAGAAACAGCAGGCAACCTCAGCCCTTGTCATCTGGCCAGTCATGACGATGGCGAAAAGGTCGTACGGCGCGTACTCCATAACCTCGTACCACTTTTGTTTCTCGCGAATGATGTCGAGTGTCTCAATGATGTTGCCATGATGAAGGGATGAGCCAATGCAATATTCAGCAGTGAGCTTCTTAACGTAGTCCTTTTCGTTCTCATAGGCATGACGAGCGCGGAACTCCTTCACTGCGAAAACAGTGTTGTCCTCACTTCGTTTCATTAGACGAACAGAACCTCCGGCACCGGCTCCCAGCACCTTGCCGAGCTTTCCGTATTTGGATGTCAAGCTGTGCTCGTCTCCAAACGGAATCTGCGTGGACGATTTTGATCCGGGGAGCTTGGCTGAGCGTATAGACATAGCTGGTGACACCGCCCGCTTGATCTTGTGGTGATGGGATGGACCAAGCTTGAAGAAGCGCTTCAAGTCAGACATAGAGCTTTGGCGACTGTGCGTGATCTGGCTGTCCTCCTGAGCGGCGTCATCGTGATTTTTCTTGTGTTGGTGATTCCCGAACAGGCCTGAATGGCGTTTCTCGTCCTTGTGTTTTGGGATTGAAATTGTCGACGCCGTCGGTGAAGGATCCTTCCGTTTCGACAGCCGGGAAAACATGAAGCGCGGCTCGATCTTGTTCTGAGGTTGGCGCTTATTGGCAGCGTACGGGTCATGGGAATCGCCAGCCGGTGTAAACGGCCGAGTGTAGAACTGCGCCGCAGAGTTGTTTCTCGAGGGACTAACTTCACGAGATACCGGGAGCGACTTTCCGCCGCCGACACTGCCACTGGAACCGCTAACGGTGGGGCCGATGCTAAACATGCCCTTCCGGTGGTTGCCGTCGAGGACCTGGTCGTGGATGCCGGATGAAGAGACGGGGCGGCGGGACGTGTCGCCGGACGTTGCAGGTCGATTATCGGCGACTGCTAGGTTGGCCCTGGATGCCGGTGGCGATGCATCTTTCGAGGACTCCTGTGGGGTAATAACACCATGGCGCGGGATTTGTGAAGAAGCGACGTCGGTCGGCACAAGGGGTGATTTCCTCTCGGCGTCAAGGTAGGGCGTACCGGATGGCGTCAATGGCGGAGACTGTATCTCGTGGGCTCCTGCACTGAGCATGGGAGAGCCGCCCGAAGCGGGCGTCTGCTGGCCACTAGCGTGACGGGAATCGTCGTCGTGGGATACAGTCTAGACAATGAGTTAGAAACGTCCGATTGCGGATGCACCGGTGACACAGGGGCCACTGGAGGAAAGCGAATGCGGAAAAGCATGAAAACATACTCTAGAAGCTGGCAACGACATGGGCTCATAGGCGAAATTGGCGACACGCAGTCCTTGTAAGCGTGCGGCACCGAGCGAGGTTGTGAGGTCCCTCAACTGCTCCGGGGTGACGTTAGCATCGACGACGCCTGGCTGGGAGCCTGCCGCCGGCTGGCCCTTCGTTGCGAAATCTGTGTCCTCGATCTGGTGCTGGAAACGGATAGATGACCCGGGCCGTCCATCGCTGGTCGAGCCGGGCGTTCCGGCCGCTTTGGGCGCATCGCGGACCTGCTTCTGCGCCGGGGCGAGACCTGTCATGGCGGCAATCTTGCGTTAGCAAACGATGCTATGCGACTTGTATTTTGCCGAGGGTCCTGGGGCCTCGCCGGTTGCGAAGCTCCTGCGTCCGTCAAAAGAAAGAGATGGAGGACAATAGGAGGTGCAAGACGGTAAATAGGAAGAAATGGTATCTCGTCCGACTGCCAATGCTTTCGTTGCGTTGCGGTGCTGGCCGAGGAGTTCTGGTTTTGTGACGTTCGGCGGGGTAAGTCAAATCGTAATCACAATCTTACCTTCGGGCAGTGAATCCTCCGCACCAGCCATTTTCACGCTCGCTAAATGATCGTCAAGCTCTTGCCAATTGACAGGAAATAATTCGCCGCGTTTTCTGTGATGGGGCAATCCACAGAAGTCGCGACAGTGGCGAAAGGTGATCAGCAAGTTGTGAAAGGAGGAACAAAGACAAAAAAACCGAAACCAAAGAGGGCGTCAGATGCTGGCGTGGGACGAATGAGATTTGGAGAAACAGGCAAACGACAACTGGCGATAAGGACTGCTAGGAGGGCCGAGGCGTAGAGACGACGTAGGGTAGGGCCCGCTCGGCGGAGGACGAATAAGGAATATAAAGGAAGAATGGACGTTCAAACGAGGCGGAAAAGAATGTCAGTTTGATCGCAACGGTATAGACGAAGACGCGCCAAAGGGAAACGAGCAAAAAAGTAAGAGAAAGTAAAAATCATGCAAGGGCGCGGAGAGCGCGAGGAAAGTGGCCAACACTCAGCAGAGCCGATGGCCGCCACTCAAACAGAAGGAGCGAAACGAAGCGCGAGAAAATTTGAGAGAGGAAAGAGGGACCATTGTTTCCTGTCAGAAACGACAGGACATGTGCTAGCACCACTGAGCAGTCTGGCGGGGCAGTCGCGACCCACGGGTACAAAGCAGAAGCGGCGGTTTGCTCGGCTTTACATGTACACCATGCCTGCCATAGACCTTCTAATACGCATCCAGTTCCTTCCCGCCCGACTGTGTGGGGCAGGAAGGAACGGGCGTGAACAGACAACTTACAGAGCAAACGGGACTCATCGCCGTTTCATTTTAAAAAGTTTGCAACAAGAATTTATGTCAGGTCTCGTACGAGTTCTGGCAGGTATATTTCTAAAACCTTCACATATGTCCAGGTACGGTGCTCCTACGTGACGCCAATCTGTTAGGCCAACGGTAGCTAACAACACCCCGCGGAAGGAGTGATGTAAGGGGAAATGGGAGGCGGTTTGTAAAAATAAAACAGCCCTTTCACAGCGCCCAAAATAACCACTTGAAACTGAATCTTACAGAGGATAGGAATGGGTTTTGGGCCTGATGTAAGGAGCTTGGACCCCGAAACAGTTGCCTCGTTTGCGGTTGAAGTCCTGAAATAGAAAGAGAGAGATGGTTAAGAAAATGCGAAAAGAGCCGCTGCATTTTCGAGAAGGAAGCAGCCAAGAACGGTGATGAGTTTGTTGTCACCGAATCTCCATAGGGTTAACGGCTGTATTGTCCCTGTCCTGCCCGACCGTGCGGCTCTTGATAGTGGGTCTCACCGTTGCGCCGAGCACCTGGCTCACAGCAGCCCTCTCACGACTGAGCTTCGATATTAGTGGTTCGTTCTGGAAGCTCTACTGGGATTCATTGGGTCGAAGCTGTATTTGAGCAAGGGGACACAACAACCATCCAGTTCCTCCTTTGCCGTCATTTTATAAAATTCGCTTCTTATTAAATAATCTCTGTGGTGTAAGGATAAATAGCAACGGCATTGAATACCCCACGTCCAAGATCCGAATTACGTCGCCCGGTACCAATCGTTAAAAATCGTTTGTGTCGGCACCTGATGATACTCTCGGAACCTGACTTCTATCTAGATGGCGTGCGAGGAAGATCTGTTATTCATTTTGGTCACAATAAACATACGGTGCAGTCTTACCATAGTAATCTGAAAATGAAAGATTGTATCCCCTCGTATGAGCGTGAGAAGGAGAGGTTCATGAAACCAAACACTGCTCACGTCTATCTTCTTCAAGAGCTCTTTAGCCCAATTCATATCCATGAAGGAGAGCTGTTTCTATGCCAATGCTTCTCAGACCACAACACGGAAGTTTCCACTTCCGTTACTCTGGCAGTTTGAGGAAGCAGGGTGACCATCGCTCTCTTGGTTTGTAGAGTCAGTATGATTGGGTTTCCTCAATCCAGATTGTATGTAGCCAATTAGCGATCACATGCAAGGTGTAGAGAAAGTCGTTTCCCAGCTTTGTACCGCACTCAGATTCAACAAAACTAATTTTAAAAAGGACCAAAACTGTTCTCCATCAATTAATGTAATTGTAAGTCTTTGTTCTTTTTTTAAGCAGCTGTTTTGAATTGCTTGTTTGCTGCGCGTTGAGTTGCATCGCATTGGCGAATGGTCTACGTCATGTTGATGATTGGCTAGAAAAGTGCGCCCATTGGGTACGATCCAAATAGATGACATCATGGCCAACAGGAGTGGGTGACTTTGCCATTGAGCACGCCTCCACACAAGATATAAAAGAACTAGAGCCCGTGAATTAGAGCGAACGAAGGGATTTACTTCAAAAATCACCGTGAAATACAAACTCTACCAAAAAATCTCATCTCTTGTTTTCTTTCACATTCGTCCGCAAATCTTCAACATGTCGTTCCTCACAGAGAGCACTCTCCGCCGTGTGGCAACGGCGGCCCCGAGAATCTCGGCCACCACCTTCGCGCCCCGTGTTGCTACTGCTTCGTTCATCCACAGCCGGCACCTGTCCAGCACCGCGCCTCAGCGCAAGACCGTCACCGAGTCCGCCAAGGACACGCTGAAGTCGGTCGACCGTGCCGTCTCGGACAAACTTGTTGACGGCATCAACATTGGCTGTAAGTGAAAGTCGTGCTACAGTATTTTGAAGATCAAATGGCACAGAGGACTGACAGATTAGCCGCCGTTGCCGACAAGGCCAAGGAGGCCAGCAAGGACATTACCGGCGGCCGGGTTGCGGGTAAGGCCGATGAGCTACGCGACGACCTTGCGTCCAAGGCCAAGCACGCAAAGAACGACGTCGCATACAAAGCCGAGGAGCTGCGCGACGACCTTGCGTCCAAGGCCAAACACGCAAAGAACGACGCCGCATACAAGGCCGATGAGCTGCGCGACGACCTTGCGGCCAAGGCCAAGCACGCCAAGAACGAAGCCGCTTACAAGGCGGACGAGTTTACAAAGGAGAGATGAAGCATCGGGTGAAGAATTCTACATTCCGGAAATATTTCATTTTGATTTGATGGGCGTTCGCATTGCATTTGCGTCGAGGCTTGACTTCCGAGTATGGAGTATACAACAATACAAATGAAAACTTAAATAAAAACCCGAGATATCAAGCAAAGGACTGGAGATCAAGACGGCGAATGCATCTATCATGGTGTCTAGTATTCAGGAGTGCCACTAGCGAAACGTTGGAAGGACGTTGGAAGGTGCGCCCTCCATTTCTGGGAGCGAGGTGTTGCCCCGCGACCCGAAAGTCCGGGCGGCACCTGCGAGTTGCGCCGGACTTGCGCAAAATCAATACATATTCGGAGAACACGGGCTGCCCCTTCCTCGCCAGCTGAGACTGGTAGACTTTGTTTTTCGAAGGGCAGGTGCGAATGACTGTGGCAAATGCAGGGATAAACAAGAAAAAGAGGGTGCTTGGTGGACATTGCCTGGTTTGTTTATGGCCGACTTGAGTCAAGCTGACGACCCGCGCAAGCTTGCTCAAGACACCCCCCTTTGCTTCTACTCCACCCAGCCAACTTCGTTGTCTCCTTCATTCCAAATTCGGGCAGGCATCGGACTCCCTTTGCATACCACTGGACCTTAACTGTTCTGGTTACAGTACTATTACTTTTGGTCCGCCCGCTCAGCTTTTACATTTTCTTTCTTTTCTTTTTTCTTTTTGGACATCACCGTTTATTGCATTGATACTTGACTATCTTGCTGAACAAGAACCCCCTTCCCATCTCCAATTTCCACTCTGCGTCGGACATCATCATCATGCCTGACTCGCTCGTTCTCCGCCTGCAAAACACCTCGCCCGACGAGGTCTATGCCTACGTCACCGGCCTCGACATCAAGAAAAACTCACGCCGCGTCCTCGTCGCGGCTGACGGCCACTCGCTCTACTACCCCGTCGACCCGCCAGCTATTCTGCAGCCCCTCCAGGCCGATGTAGCAATCCCGCTCGGCAAAAACGGCGCTGTGACCGATGTCACCATCCCGCAGATTGCCGGCGGTCGCATCTGGTTCAGCCGCGGGTCCAAAAAGCTGACCTTCTTGCTGAACCCCTCCAACAACCCCGTGGCTGGCCCCGCGCTGGTTGAGCCGTCGGTGCTCAACCCGTCGGACCCCAATGCGGCCGTGGATTTTTCGTTCTGCGAGTTCACCCTCAACTCCGACCAGCTGTTTGCCAACATCTCGTACGTGGACTTTGTCGGCCGCCTGCCTATAGCGCTGACCCTGCAGCGTCAGGGCGGCAGCAAGGAGGTCCAACATGTGTCCGGCATGCGCGCCGAGGCGTTTGCTACCGTCTGCGACCAGCTGCGTGCCCAGGCCAAGCGCGATGGCAAACCATGGGACAAGCTGATTGTCATGCCGCCCAATGCCGGCCCCAACGACCAGCCCCTGCGGGTGCTGAGCCCGACGCACGGTGATGCCGTCGGCGGCAGCTTTGCGGGCTACTACGAGCCGTATGTTGACCAAGTGTGGAAGCAGTATGCTGGCGGTAACAAGCTTAGCATCAACACCCAAACCAACCTCGGCGTCGTCGACGGAACAATTAGTAATGACCAGCTTGTGTTTGATGGGGAAGGGTTTAACAAGCCAACGACCGATGACATTCTGGGCTGCAATTCGGGTCCCTTTACGACAGGGTCGAGCCGAGTCCGCAACGCCATTATTCCCCGTCTGGCGGCTGCCTTCCAGCGTAGTACGCTTCTCACTGACGCGGTCCAGCCCTCCGCCAATCCGCAAGGGTTCTACACGGTCGATCCCACCAACCACTACTGCCGCATTGTGCACGCTGCCAACCTCGATGGGAAGGGCTATACCTTTGCATACGACGATGTCCAGGCAGACGGCGGCGCCGACCAGAGCGGCAAGGTCAATGCTGGCGATCCAGAACTGTTCATGGTGTCTGTTGGTGGCTATAACGTGTACGCCGGCGACCGGTTGCCGTAGGGCTGTGGCCGTTCAATCCGGGTAGTCCCGACCGGCCGTGATGGAGAGAACGAGGCCGCTCGCGCCGACAATTTATTTGAGGATGAGGGTAGGGAGGGCGGTGAAGGTACAAGAGGGGACGGCGGCAACGAACACCCAAATATAAGGGACATCAGCACAGCTGACGATGATTCGGGGGCCAACATAATTGACGATGAGGAGAGAGAAGCTGCCTCCATCGGCCCGGGACATGGATCTCGTGGGGACGATAGTGGTGGTGTGCAGGCTGAGGGACCAGAACACCCAGCCGCAAAGAACAAGGGCCGCAAGTTGGACCGGGGTTGTTTTAAGGCGCTTTATGTCTTTATTTTCGGTAAGAAAACCGGAGGAGGCTGAACTGACTGACGAAGTCCAGTCGATTTTTCTTGTGTATTGAAAGTCGTTGCTGGTATTATTGCCGATACGAGATAGACAACTAGAAATATTAAATATACTATGAAAACAGAATTGAACAACAAAATCAAAAGAACAAGGCAGGCCACGATTTCATAATGTGACTCACACTTCGAGGTATAAAAACTTAGCAGTTGCCACCATTTCCGTCCTTCCCACTCTCACTTCTATTGCTTCTTGCCGCCTCCAAACAGGCCGCCTACGGCACCGCCGACTGACTTCACGCCGCCGCTGACAGCGCCTGCAGCACTCTTGCCGCCGTCCGCCACGGCCTCGGCGCCGCTGCTGATGGGTGCCGGCGTGCCCGACGGCAGGTATCCACCCTTGTCGTCCTTGCCGTTGCGCTCGGCCCTGTTTACGCCCTCCTTGGACGCCCAGTCGCCCACCGGCTGCGCCAACCCGCCCTGGCCCAGCTGACCCGCCACGAGCCCGTTGACGCCGTCCTGCAGCGTGTCCACCTGCTTGATGCCCGTCACCTTGGTCTTGGCCAGCGTGTCTTCGGTCGCGTAGCTGGCCTTGTTGTGGCGTGTAAAGTAACGAAGGTACAGGTCCTCGGCCCAGGGCACCCAGCTCTCGTAGAGTTCGTTGTATTTGCCGTAGGCGGCGCCAGACCAGGTCTGCTGCTTCTGATCTTGGTTATTATTGTCGTTCTGGTTGGCCGAGGCCGACGATTGCGGCGAGGACTGTGTGTCAGACATTGTGGTTTTGGTAAGAGATTTTTGTTTTCTTGAAAGTTGCTTCGATGAATGCGCTCGTCAAAAAGGGGAATTTGTTTGGTAAGAGTAAGACTTTTGTTGAACAAGGAGAAGAACGTGTCGAGGCGATCTGTGCTGTGATCGGCAGCATCACTTCTTTATATTCACAAACCGTAGTAATGACTCCATATCTCCCCTACGTTAACCACGTTTTCTGGGATCCTTCTTCTATTGTTTGCTCGTTCTTACGTCGTTGCACGACAATTGCGTCGTCTTGTGGCGAGTTTTGCTGTAGTTGGCTTGATATCGATATTGGTTGTGGGGATCGCAGACTAGGCGCCTCCGACGTCATTTTTCTGCACCCTGGTTAAAAAGGATGCATCCTGGAAATCGGAGCACACCCAAACCTCATGCACTGATGTAAGAATAGCACATTCATAGGCTATTTCAGATCTCCATCCACACCTTTAATTCCTTAGGAAGGCTTGCCAGCCAGCCATCCAGCGCAGCAAACGTGCGATCTCATTTTCCTTTCCCAATCAAACAAACCTTGGTTTTTGATGTAACCCTCTTTTTCGGCCATCCTTGCGGGGAGGTCCTAGCCACTTGTGCAACGGAGATCTCACAATGCTAGGATAACACTTCTGGAAAGAAGATTGCAACATGCTGCCTCGCTGCATTTGGACCTAAAACTGAAGACTGCTATTTTCTGACTGCGTCATTCTACACTGTCAGATGCACGGCATGAACAGAAGTTAAAAAAATGCACAATGCTAAATACCAAGAAAAGCAAGAAGTCGTTATAGCGCCATTTTCCTTTTAATCCCAGTTTTATCCATGGTGTCATAAATTGCACGTACATGCCAAAATACTCCCATAATGCGAGTAGCGATATCCGAAACGAGGCGTGGTACATAACCACGAGGAATGAAAGAATGGAAGAATGAAAAGAAACAAAACAAAACAAAACAAAAGAAACACAAGAAAACGAAACTGAAAGAAGGAGTGTCGTCGAAGCGTCGGGGTATCCGCGAAAGGTGAAAAATGCTGCAAGGAAATAGAGAAAATATAGAAAGCAAAGCGATGAAACGAATAAAAAGGGCAAGATCATTGCTCATGTCAATGTGGTCTGGCAGAGGAGGGTGCGATGAAGGCGTTGAAAGAGTGACGCGCTCCAGCCGGCCTGGTCGTCGGTCAACGGCGGGGTGGGTGGCCGTGCCGCTGGTGACGTTCGCACATAGATTGCAACACCATCAACAGTGCCAAAGTTGTGAGGGTCGCGAGGAAAGTCAAACTCGGCGTAGTCTGCCTCAATCATCTGCTGGACACGCGACGATGCAGGATCGGCCAAGCCGCCCATGTCATCCACCAAGACGGATGAGGGCCGTGCACCAGCTGCAGCCGCAGCACCTTCGTCCACGATGCGACCCCATATCATTGCGGCTGGGCGCGCAATGTCCGTCACAATTTGGCGCACAGGCACGCTCGGCGCGACGGATATCACAACAGTCGTCTCATCCACTGCTAGGAAGCCGTATGGATCCTCAAGCACGGAAACGCCTTCCATGGCGAGTACGGCCCGGTCGGCCGCATCGTACGCGGGATCTTGCGCAAAACAATCTACAGCAACCGGCTGTGGCGCTTCCCGAGTTGTCGCTGCTTTCACTGCTATTCCGTCTGCTTCCGAATCGGTCTCCGAGTCGCTGTCTAGCTGTGTTTCCGCGCCGCCCTCTGCGTCTGCTTGGATCTGCTCCAACACATCACGCACTGTCAGCATCATGGCATGTTGCACAGCGTGGCGTGCACTGCCGCCCTCTCGCTCTTCGGTCATGGACGAGCACGCAAAGGCCACAATCTTGCGGACAATCGCTCGCCCACGCGGCACAAGTTGCGGTGCAAGGCTCGCAAAGAGTGTTTCGCGAAGCTGGTGGCAGGCGTCGCTTGCTTCCCACGTGTCTCGATGTCGCCGGAACGCAGCCTGCAATTCGTCGACGTTGAGTCGTGCTTGTGGCGCAGGAACCGTTGCTAGAGAGGGCTTTGCTTCTGTAGTCGAGAGAGACACGGACGCAAGGCCGCTCGCCAGTTCTGCCACCGTGCTGCTGCCACTGCTGCTGATGGTGCCGTTCGCATCACGGTACCGGGCCTCCTGGATGTGGCTTATGCGCAGTGGAAGAAAAGCCCTCGTTGGGTCATACCGCCGAATGTGCCACAAGGCGTTGCCCGTAAGCTTTTCAATGTTCCAGTAATCGATCTGGGGTTTTACGCTGCAAAAGACAGGCGTTAGAAAAGAACACGTTCTTAGTGGTCGTACAAGAGCAAGGCGAATGGGGCACGACGACATGCACCTCGTCTTCTCATAGCATGCTGCCGTCGTGGCGGACAACGTACTTTACCAGAACAATGTCAGGGTGCACGGCAGTAGCAGACACGGCGCCCGACTGTGTGGTCAGCCGCACCCGGCGGCCGTCTATGCCGCAAACAGTGACGGTGGCATTCCTGTCGCCGGACCGGACGCCAGCGTTATGGTCAAGCTGCAGCCCCAGTTGGCGAAGCGCGCCACGCGTGAATAAGGGGACGCCAGCGTCGTAGAGGGCCAGGACCCGGCTGGCCATGGCCGCCATTTCGGCACGACGCTGCTTCAATTCGGCAAACTCATCCACGTCTGAGTTGCTGCCGTCGGAGCCAGCGTCGGTCTTGCAGTCCTTGGTGGGCTCGGGTGCATCCGACACGAACGTCGATGCGTTTGTCAAAGTCGTCAAAGCGCCTAATGTCGTCGACGACGTCGAACGCGAGATCGCACGCAACGGCGAGGACAGGCAGTCCGGAGACCGCCGACGCGGTGTGACGCAGCCCATACTTCCCAAGTCGAGCTGAATGTCAAGCCAACATCGAAATCCGTCGACAAGGAGGGCGTTTCGAGGCCGTTTGGATTGGTCTTTTAGAGGTCCATGGACGTGGATGAGGCCATTGTGCACATATCTGGGGTGGGACAAAGAGGAAGAAAGGGTAGAACCAAAATAAAAGAGAAGTACGGAAAGGTAGCGACGACAGCAACCAGGGAGGGGTGTGAGAAGGTTAAAAGGGAGACTCAATGATAAAAGGAAAGGATGTGCAGTGCTGTCGAGCATTTACTACGAAGTAGTGTCCGGGGGCGGATGTGTGTAATCCAAATCCACTTGTCGTACCTCACAGTGGAGGGCTCGGTGGCCCCAACCGAAACAAAAAATCGGCCGAGATCTTGAAGGATCGCCGTTGCAAGGTAAGATTTACGTCCAGCTGGCTAATACACAGCCAGCCGGAGAGGACTTTGGTCCGGATAGTACCTTCCTTCCTTTCACCCACCAATTTGGACCAATTCTGGCCCCTGGCCCAATCACACCAAAACAGGTCGATCTAGGAAGGAGCTCTTGAGAGGGACAAGCAGGTGCGACCGACACACGGAAGGGGAGAAGAAAAAAAAAAAAAACCATTGTCTGTGCTCTTCGTTGGCTTTGCTCCCCGAATACGACAGCAGGGTATTGCGAGGTTGCAGCAGTCCCGCCAGAGAGGCAAGCGCAACGGAGAGAATCGAACGGGACTGGCCAATGCAGAGAAGGCAGGGCAAGGGCGGCTGGAAAGGGGCGCAAAGAAAGTTTGCGTACGAAATAGAAAGTGCACAGTCGATCGATCTTGCCGCGCTTGCTAAGTACTTTGCGCTTTCTCATTTCGGACATTTTCCATCGTTTGTTTTGAAAGCCGTTTCAACTGGGTGGGAGCTTACTTTTTTTTTGGCCCCCTTTTGAAAGGGCGTTCTTGCGTTTTGTCTACCGAGGATTTCGAACGCAATGAGATGCCTCGCATGTCGCACATGTTTGGCCATCCTTGCCTCTCTTTCTTTTACTAATTTGATTTTCTTTCCCGCTCGCCCGTGTCGACCAGGGCGCATCGGCCCCCCTGTTGTACCGGCTCCATCACACCTTCTCGTACGAGAGACTGGCCCCGCCCATTTCGTCCTTAGCTCCGTAGCTTCCGCCATCTGACGAAAAATACAACTTAAATAGCGTTCAATTGTCCATTGCTTTCCCCCCCTATAAGCTCGCAGTGAGAGCAGCATCTTGCTACAGTCAACCCTGTGCGTCATTCTGCTGATCTGGATTCGTTCTGTCTACACAGTAGACAAAATCTTCAACGTTCCTTCCTTTCTTGTCCCTCAGCACTCTCGCCAGGCGCCATACGATGTATGCATTCGTCCCAATTCACGACAGTAAATTCCCAGACGAGACAAGTTGCTCCGTTAGCGGCTCCGGTGGTTGGTTCAAGTTTCCGTTGGTGCATTAGGCCCTTGTAGCTCCCCCGAAGCGCCCTTGTCTAGGGGCTTGCATAAAGATCCAGTAGCTCGCAGGTAGGCAGGCAGGCTAGGTGAGCCTGCAGGAACCGCCAGACATAACGGTGTAGCGGTACATAATCATACACATATCATGCGTGACGATGGAGGTACATGTACATCTTGTTGGTAACTACGCTTCTCACAGGCGCTAGATTGTAGGGGCTGGGTGAGCGCTAAAACGGGGAAGACCTCCGTAACAAGAATGCTGGAAGCGTAAATGACCAGCAAGAGTCCCTGAACCTGCACCCCCACGGAAGACCAAATGGGACATCGCCGTCTCCGACTCGTTTTGCAGCGGAGTAATTATTCGCCAACCCAATTGCAATGGTTCAGACTGTCCCGATGCCGATGGGTCCGCGACAATCGCCGCCACCGTCTGTGCACACTGCCGTAGGCCCTTTGTCTTGGCATGGTGGTCACGAAAGCTTGTCGAAATCCGGGTTCGTGACCGTCAACGTGATCGGACATCTGCTGACATATCTTGGACTTTTGGAAGGTGTAGACAAAGCCATGCTTACATACGCAGTGCATCTGCGATCCATCGGTGACGCTCCACCCAAGAAAAGCTCTCCACTCACGTCCCAAACCTGCTTCGCGGAACCACGGCCAAAACGCGACGGCCATCGGCCGTCTACGGCGTTCACTGGTTCTTTATTCTCGGGAAAACACCGCAAACCGCAGTTTGGGCTCAATTTTCTGCCAAAGCGCAGGAACACTGCGAAATATAAGGGGAAAAACTCCGTATGTTGTACATAGAGGCGGCAATATAGGCTAAATGCGATGGGACTCCCCTCGCCAACGTTAGCCAGGGAAACAGAGGGGTAGCTTCTGGGCACCATGCCGTCCCAAGCCACATAAATTCGGCAGCTTCCTCGTGGTTTTGTTTGTCTGTAAAATATACCAGAAAAGAATATAAACAAGCAAGGCACCTATCGACGACTTTGAGAAAACCGTAGCACGCCCCAACTTTGCTCCAATACACACAGACAACCGCCGTCGACCTACGTCATGGACGGCTCCGCATTTACCTTCCTTGCGCGCGGCGCCATCATCCAGCACTTTGAGATCCACGGCATCGACATTGTCCAGGGATTCCCGACCACCGAGCTATACGCATCGCACAACTCGCCATACTTTGGCGAGACAATCGGCCGTTTTGCCAACCGCATCGGAGGCGCGGCCATCAAGGTTCCAGGCGGCCTCAACGGCAAAGAGTCCTACCCCTTGGCTGCCAATAACGGTGTCAATGCGCTGCACGGCGGAGTCGATGGCTGGGGCAAGCGGACGTGGGATGGCCCCTCACCGGTGGGCGTGAGCCGCGAGGTGCCTGGCCTGAGCCCCTCGACCCTCGACAAGGGCGGCGAGACCGTCCAGTTCACCCTGGTCAGCCCCGACGGCGACGAGGGCTACCCGGGCACGGTCAACGTGTCGGTCAAGTACTCGGTGGGTAAGCAGAAGCTGCCCGAGAAGGACGGCGTTGAGGCCACGGTGCTGGTCATTGAGTATGAGGCTGAGCTGGTGGACGGTGCCGACGAGACGGTCATCAACATGACCAACCACTCCTACTTCAACCTGGGCAACCTGCCCACGATCGAGGGCACCGTTGTCGAACTCGGAAGCACCAAGTACCTGCCCGTCGACGATGGCGGTATTCCCACTGCCGGCCCCTCGACCTTTGAGGGTGTGGACACCGCAAAGCCGTTTACCCTGGGTGCGACGGACCCGGACGTTGACGACTGCTTCATCGTCAACGACAAGCCTACCACGGTCCCTATCGACACGCGCGGCGAGCCGCTCACGCGCCATCTGGCCGCGCACCACCCCAACACGGGCATCCACCTGGAGGTCCTGAGCACGGAGCCAGCCTTCCAGTTTTACACCGGCAAGTACATTGACGTGCCCGCCGTTGGCGGTCTACCCGCCCGAGTTGCACGCAGCGCTTTCTGCCTCGAGCCCAGCCGCTATGTCAACGCCTCCAACGTTGCGGACTGGAAGGACATGGTGCTGCTGAAGAAGGGTGGTCCGAAGTACGGCTCCCGCATCGTCTACCGCGCATGGAAGGAGTAGATGCGGGGAGAACAGCTGAAAACTGATGGACCACAATAGCTTGAATGTGCAAGAATAATGAAAACATAGATGGTCTACTACTTTCTGGAGATCTATTCCTCTTCCTCGGCGTCTTTAAATGTGTCGCCCGCCTTGTCTGGAGCACGAGCATCTTGCTTTCGGTAGAGACCTGCAAGGAACTCGCTGGTGCTCGCTTCATCGATGCCTTTGTCCTCCCGCTTGCGGAGAAATCGCGGGAAGCGAAGGCTGAGTCCACGGCTCTCGTTGACAAGCCCAATGGCCGCTGTGTAGACCGGACTTAGTGTGATATCTGCAAACGCCATCTCCCACACTTCTTGTGGCTCGAACCAGACGTCTGGTTCTGGGCCATAGTATTCGACAAAGCTGGGCTTTTGTGTGCGCGTATTGTTTGTCTTCTTCGTCTCCTGTTCGCCTGTTGATCCGTGCCCCATGCCGTCTTTACCTTCATCCTCATTGTCGTCATCGCCATCATCTGCGTCACCGTCATGCCCATTATCGTAAAACGCCCGGTTAGCTTTATAAAAAGCATCCGTAAATCCCGATATGCATTTTGTGACGGCCTCCAAGGAACCCGTCTCCTCGTTGCGCACGGCCATGAGGATTGGCGACCACCACTTGGCCTTGCGCCCCATGCCATGCCATGCGGCGATCGGAATCAAATCGAGTGTGTCAAACGTCGAGCCGTAATCCTTCTTCACCTTGAGCCACGAGTCGAGCCGCTTGTCCGGCTCGTATGTGGCAAGAAGAGGTTTCCGACGGCTGCTTGTCTTCCTTTCGGCGCCGTTGTCGCCTCCGTTCTGCGCACCATTGACAGTTCCTTTTGATTTTGGCTTTTTCTTCACAGGTGCCACAGGAGGGACCACCCGCGCCATTGCTTCGTCGTCCTCGTCGTTACCGTCGCCGGTATAAGCCAGATCTGGTAAGTTGTCCAGAATCTTGACCATGATACCCTCGCACTTGGCATCGGTGGCGCTCTTGAAAAAGGCTGACACCGCCTCACCATCCTCGGACGTCGCATCCATGCTTTTCACCCACGTAAAATGGTGTGGGATCTCGACAAAGAGTGATCGCAACAACTCCCTCCGTTCACGCAAGGGCCGGTCTAACAGCGGCTGGCCGTTGAGAAACATAAGATCAAAAGCGAACAAGCAAACGTCAATGGTGATGCTACCTATGGCCACATCTTTTCGTGCACGGTTCGTAAGCGCTTGGAAAGTACGCAGCTCACCCGATTCGCGGTCCACAGCGACCACTTCACCCTCGAGAATGAAGCTTTCGACGCCCTCCCCACGGATGCGTGGCACTAATGATACGAGATCAGGATACTTGTCCGTCATCACCTCGAGATGTCGCGAAAAGATGGACACTTTTCCGTCGCGATCACAATGTACCTGTGCGCGTTGACCGTCATATTTGTACTCGCAAGTAAACGCACGCCCCTGAAGTTTGCCAAGCATCTCGCCCAGGTCACGCGTGATGGACCCTAGCATCGGCCGCAGGGGAATGTGCAGCGCCAGGCCGCAGCGCAGCAGCAGTTCGTCCGTGACACCAATCTCCAGCAGGACGGGCACCAAGTCGTTGTAGTTTGGCCGCCGCGCAAAGCATGCCTTGACGGTTTCTTCTGCGCGGGCCCAAACTTCCGCTAGCTCTTCCTTTTTCATTGCGGCGAGCAATTTTGGGTCCTGCAGCGCGGCGTAGGAAAAGCCGTCCACAGCACCATCACGCTGAGGTGGCTTTGAGAGCAAAAAGGCTCGTGAGAGCGCAATCAGCATCGTCGTCTTTACCGCACCAATGCGCAGATGCTGGCACAGTGTCCGCACAATATAGCGGCTCTCGTCGCCGCCTCGTGCGTCCTGCAGCAGCCGGTCGACAATGCGCTGCTTCGCCTCCACGCTGCCGGGGCCCTGGCTATTGGCCACTTTCACCAGGGACAGGTAGACGCCTCGGATCGTCAGCGGTTGAGGCCGTCGTAGGGTGAACGCCTGCTTCTTCTTGGCCTCAAAGGCAACATCGCCGGGGTCACCATATTTATGGAAGAGGGACCTGAGGCTGCGTGCGTCGAGGCCGCACACCTGCTTGAGTGCCTTGCCAATGGCAGAGCCGCCCAGGCCAAGTTCGAGCGATATATATGGTGGACTGATAGCGTTGGTGGCCAGCCACACGGCAGGCAACAAGCTCTCCGGATCCGCCTCGATCAAGAGACGAAGACAGTTGACCAGAGTATCCACAATCTTGATCCGGCTCTGTGTGGCGTTGACGAGGACGAAACAACGCGTCAAAAGTGCATAGGAAGCGTCGCCACTGGTTGCGCCGCCTGGTTTTGCCACCGCCCACTGCCTTTTCAATGCCGGGATGTACTTGGAAGGCTCAAAGACCAACGGACTTTCATCGAGGGGGATCAGGGCCGCAACGGCATCCTCGGCGGTCGTGACGGACTGAAGCGACAGTGTATTCTTTGAGGACGGAGGTGGCGGAGATAGAGGCGACACAGCTTCTTGTTGGGGCCTACCAGGATCAGGTGCATCCGGTACGACCTCCTCTGATGCCGTCAAAAAGGGGAGACCCTGTTGTTCTCGCCTAGTCTCCTCGTCCCATTCTGCTTGGAGCTTTCTGGCGAGCTCCTCGTCGGTCATCTCCGTTCCGGTGAACTCAGCGCCATTGCTGGACGAGGCCGCGACATCGGTTTCATCCTCATTGCGGAAAGTCGCTGGAACGCTTAAGCTCCCCGTCTGTCTCTGCTTGGAAAAGAAATACTCCAGACCCCGATGCTGTGTGCTTTTTGCATTTTCAGCATTGAGCTTCCTCTTCTTTGCTGGGCTCGGCATAGTACCCGTAGGTTCTCCAAAACCGGAGCCACCAGTTCCTCTAGTATGCGTAGTTCATTGTGCAGTCTCTCAAGGGATTGTCTGTCCCATTGCTTGCCCAGTTGGCGTAGTTGAAGGATGCAAAAGGTTGACTAATGAGCAGCATGGTGAGCAAACGCATCGCGGTGGAGAGCTCTGATGTTCAGCGCCTTCTTGAGGTGACCACGGCCACTACAGCATGTGTTGGCTGCCTGAATGGCGGCGACTTCCAGAAACGGGTGAGCACGTGACAGTAACTGGTGGAGAAAGGGGAAGAATTGCCCTGTGGGCCCCTGCTTCTCTCGTGCCAAATGTGGCGCTAGTCCCGTTTCAGCCACCGCTCTTCACAAAAAATGGCATCGCGAAAACTGAACAAATCCTTTTCTGCCCCGCGGCCGCACAAGAAAACGACGACACTGTCCTCGATCGCACCCACCCCCACCAGCCGACCCATCATTGTCTCGTAACACCCGCATCCTTACCGTCTTCTATCGACCATCCACATCGCATTCACGTTGCCCAGCATGAGCAGCGAAGACCCAGCGGAGCGGCCGGAGCAGATCGCTGCCATCATCAACGGTCTCGAGCGTTACAACCCCGAGGCCGTCGGCAGCCTGGAGGCGTACCTGACACAGCAATGCGAGGACCGGTTCACGGACTGCAATGCTAACCGGACACTACTGAAGCTGTATGTTTTTTGATCGTTGCCGGAGGTGTCGTCATTTTTGGCGAACATCCTGGTTGTTCGCATTTTCCCTTCCCAATACCCCCGTCTCCTGTCGTGCGTGGCCTCATCCGCTGCCGACTTTGATGATGACTATATAAACGTTTCCTATTACCTGACAATATTTGCGAATGATGTCAAATTGTGTGAATTTCTGATTTTACGAGACAAAATACCTTTTTGTTACAAATTTTTGAAGAGCGTATACGTCTGCAATGGACTCGGGCTGACTATCAATCTTCTCTTTTTTTTCGTTGCCCTTTAGCTACCAACTCAACCCCGACCGTATCAAGGACGAGGTGATCACCAACATTCTGGTCAAGGCGATGACAGAATTCCCCAGCCCGCAGTTCAACCTGGCCATGCACCTGCTGAGCCCCTCCGTGGCATCACCCTCTGCCGCCGCCGCCTCTAACAACACCGTCTCATCAGAGCTCGCCGAGGCCGTGTCCAAGCTGCGCGCGCTCAACGCCCTGCTGGAGGGTGCACAGTTTGCCCGCTTCTGGGCGACGATGGACTCGGACGACCTGTACGCCGACCTGACGACCGATATTGAAGGCTTCGAGGAGGGCGTGCGCGTGCGCATTGCACAGCTCATCAGCCATGCGTTCCGCGAGATCCAGGTGCCCATCCTGGAGCAATGGCTGGGTCTGAGCGAGGACGCCGTGCGCCAGTTTGTGACGGGAACGTGCGGCTGGAAGGTGGACGGCGCGACGGTGCAGATTCCCAAGAACGCCGAGAACGAGGCCAAGAAGACAGAGATCCGGGAGGATGTCAACATTGAGATGTTTTCGCGTGTCATTCGGAGATCGTGGGAGGAAACTGCATAGAAAGAGACAGAGAGCGCCTGTGCGGTCTGGGTATGATGAAGTCATGGGTTATTTAGGCGACAAAAAATATTTGGGATGCGGGAATCCCTTCTTTTTGTGGTAGAGAAAAAACGAAAAGGAGCGGCTGGCATATCCGTTTTGTTTTGTACAGGCGTTACTTGAGTCCTATTAATACAAATATATTTTTGCGCAATAAAGTAAGAAGTGTCGTAGATTATACCTTTCACCCGAGTGATCTTTATAATGAACTATATGAAAATGAAACGCTTTTAACAAGTAACCTAATGCCCTTCGTTAATTGAATATACACTTTCTACAGCCGTTGGGCCTCCAGATCCTCCCACTGCACACCCGCCCACTCCTCTAGGTAGCTCGCCTCGCCGGCCGGCGTCGCTTGTACCTGGCAGTCTTTCTCGCACACAGCCACTAGGACCGTACCCCAGTCCATGCCCTCCAATCCCAGCTCATCCGCCTCCAGCAGGTCAATGGCGTGCGGCATCAGCTGCACCTCAAACACGCGCCGGCTGCGGCAGTTGGGGCAGGGCGGCAGACGGCCCGATGTCGATGCCAGGACGGTGGATATGTTGCCACCAGCAGGGTTCTGGCCCCAGATGCCGGCGACCGCATCGTCCTTGTTGTAGAAGAGAGGCAGGCCATTGAACTCGTACCGAATTACCTGGTCCGGGTTCTGGGCCACACGGTCGGCGAACTTTTGGAAAGCAGCGTCCATGCTGGACTCAAAGACAAACTTGTCCTCCTTTCCACCACCGCTGCCACCGGCCGACTCGCCCTCCACATCCATCGTCTCCGTAACAACACCAGGAATCGCGGCCGGTGTCGGGTCGAGCGTCTCGTACTCGGCGTCTGCAATCCAGCTGACAGGGTATGCAGCGGGCCAAGAGTCGGCTGGCGGCCAAGGCTCGGGAGGCGTGGCTGTGGTAGCTGCGGTCGTTTCTGACTTGTCGTCGTTGATCGCGAGTGACTCTGCAAAGGTCTTGGGCAGGTCTTTTGCCGCGTCCTCGGTCGACTGTTGTGTCTTTTCGGAAGGGGATGACGGCAGTTTTGACGTTGGGGCCTTGGCTGCCGGTGCGGATGCTGCGCCTCCGAGACTGAAGGGATTCGATGTGCCGCCTATAGACGGAGATCCCGAGCCCCCGAGGGTGAAAGGGTTTGCGTTGCTGCTGCTTGTGCCACCGGCCGAGAACGGGTTCGCCGCACCAAAGAGGGAGTTGCCCAGCATTGGAGCCGCGCCGACGGTCTTATTCGCCTCTGTGGTCTCGGCCTTCTTCACTTTCGCCGCCTTCTCAGCAGCGGCAGCTTCTGCCACCGCGGCATCCACGCGCACACCACGAATCACACGCACACTCCCTGGCTTGCGCCGACATGCCTTGTTACGGCAGGCCAGCACATACAACCGACGCTCGTGGCCTGGAAACCGGTCAGGGAGTTCACCGTTGAGCTGGAGGAGCAGAACGAGTAGCGCCTTGCACACGAGGCAGCGTGCCAGGCCCGCAGAGGGCGGTGCTTTCCCCCCGGCAATCCAGTCCGGGCGGCCACCGAGGCGGCTTACAGTCTCATTGTTTTCGGCTGCATCGTCTTGGGCGTCTTGGTCCTCAGGATCGGCATAGCCGAGAAGCACGTTGGTCTCGGTGTAGTTTCGAGTGCCGACATCCTCGTCGTCGGACGAGTCGCTGTCGTAGGGAGCCATTTTGGTCAAAATCAACTAGCAAATCGAAATTGTTGAAAAAGAACAAATTGGGCTGCGACGGAAGTTAGGAGAGGCCAGATGGACGTCGCGATGTATTCTGCCCCTCTATTGACTTTTTTTGCCTTATCGGCCGATAAGACTTTTTTTGGTAATGACAGGAAACGGGAAGTCGCCTCAAACATTGGGTCACGTGCAATCAATCAACTCTTCACATGGACGACCAATTCCTTTGCTCGAATGTAAGAACCATTGTATTTTTAAAGCCACGTCTACAAAGAGAAACGCCTACCTGTCGTTTTTCGATTTTAGGTATTTGCAGCTATTCATACAGCATCTTTAGATTGTAGCTTTACTCTCCCACCGCTTTTTTTACTAGGTCTCGCCTTCCCCTATTACTCTTGTCCCGTCATTGGACCATCCATGCCGGGTCCAGGACCGCCTTGCCGGCCCATCTGGCGAGCCTTGAGCAGCTCGTCGCAGAGCAACAGGTTGGATGCGATGCCGGCACTCGAAGCAATGCAGTTGCGCAGCACACGGAACGAATCGTAGACACCTTCCAGCTCGGGGTCCATGGGTTCACCAGTTGTCAGGTCGATACCGACGACGTTGCCCTCGGAGAGCTCGTCTTGCAGACCGGCCACTAAATAATTAGCATAAAGTACGCAAAACAAAAAAAGAGAGATGGGGGGGGACATGGCTGGTACTTACAGGCATCCTGGATATCGAGACCAGCGTTGGCAGCCAGAGTCTTGGGAATGATGAGCAGGGCGTCAGCAAAGGCCTCAACACCCCACTTGGCCTTGCCCTTGACCGTCTTGGCAAAGGCGTCCGACTTGAGGTGGGCGGCACAGGCCACCTGGAAGGCACCGGCACCGGGAACAACACTCTTGTCGACAATCATGTTGTAGACACTGCGCAGGCCGTCGCGGACGGCGTCGGTGATCTGCGTAATGGTGTGCTGATTGGGGCCCTTGATCATGAGCGTGACCGACTTGGGGTCCTTGACCTCCTCGACAAACGTGTACTTCTCCTCGCCAAGCTGCTGCTCGTAGACCACGCCCGCCCAGCCCAGAATGTCAGGCGTGAGGTCGTCCACGCTGTTCTGGGAGACGCCGCCGCACACCAGCTGCAGGCGCTCCATGTTGCGGCGCTTGGCGCGGCGCAGCGCAAAGATGCCGTTCTTGGCCAGCACGTCGAGCGACAGCGGGTCAATGCCCTTTTGGTTGATGAGCACAAAGCCCTTGTTGGGGTCGTTGCCGCACACCTGCTTCTTGAGCTCCACAATCTTCTTGAGCTTGGCGTCCACAAAGCGGCGCTCGCTGTCGACCAGCTTGTCGCGCTGCTCGGCGCTCGAGTAGAAGAAGCTCGAGTTGATCTCCGTCTTCTCGTACTCGAGGCTGACGTTGAGCGTCAGGATCGAGGCGTTCTCGACGCGCTTGGGCATATCCGGGTGGCGCGCACCGTGGTCGAGCGCCAGACCGCGAATCAGCTGCGTCTCGGACGCTGTGCGGTGCTGCATCTTCATAATCTCCACCATGTGCAGGTCGGGCTTGGCCGGCGCCTGGTAGATGGCAAGTACGGCGTCGACAATGCCCGGCGTCAGCTTGTTGGCGAGGGTGGCGTTGAGCTTGGTGGCCAGCGACGTCCGGGCGACAGACAGCAGCAGCTCGCGGTCGACCTCCTTGGGCAGCTTGAACTTGTCGAGGAACGCGAGCGCCTCGGCCTTGCCAATCTCAAAGCCGTCGGTGATGATACGCGGGTGCAGGCCCTCGGAGATGTAGCGGTTGGCCTGCTTCAGCAGCTCGCCAACCAGCAGCACGACGGACGTGGTGCCGTCGCCACAGATGTCGTCTTGTGCGGTGGCCGCGCGGGCAATCATGACGGCCGTGGGGTTCTGTATTTGCATCTCGCGGAGCAGAACGTTGCCGTCCTTTGTGAGCTTGATCTGGCCGGAGCCATCGACGAGCCTGTGTGCGAGGCAAACAGATTAGCCTTTGCACATAAAAAAGAACCGAGGTAAAGCGACAAAGGGGGAAAGGTCCTACATCTTGATGGTGCCCAGCGGGCCCAGATTTGACTTGAGCACATCCTGCAGGCCCTCGCCGGCGGCAATGTTCACAGCCAATGCTTCACCGCGCCTCTGTAGTCAATTGTTAGCACTGTCATCAGTCCGAACGAACGGTATTACGATCCGACAAGAGCTTCGTCGAGCTGAAGCCTGGACAAAACGCATTGTCCCCAAAGAAGATAGGGGCAAAGGCGGCGCAAATGGGGAAACAGGGGACGTACTCTCGACTCGGCTTTGGGGTTGAGAAGCTGTGCGGCCGACATGGTCTGGGAAGGATCAGAAGAGGAGTTTCGAGTGGTGGTATAGGAGGGTGGAACGGAGGAGTGTGTCGAAATCGGCCGGTGTGCTGGTATCGACGCGAGTCCAGAGGTCGTGATGCTTTTCACCGAATTTGACCTTGGTGGGGGAGGTTCGAAAGGAGCAAGCCCGTGGCGGCTTTTGGCGGTGCCTGCTACTCCTATTTTTCTGCCTTTCTGGCTGCTTCTTTTATTTTTTCGGTGGTGCTAGCTTTCTTTTACTAATTATTTTTGGAATTCTTTTAATTGCTGCTGCCGTTTCGCCTTTCCAGGTGCCTGCGTGAAGGCTACAGCGGACCCCACGTAGTTGGGCCCTGGTGTGGAGCCTCTTGGCTGACTAACACGGATTTTTGGAGCTCAAACCAACCCACTGAAGTTTGTAACCTCCAGTTGAAAACCGCGTTTGGTTTGTTTACAACTCTGCAACGCTCTCGATATTACCTCTTGGAGGGGAATAACGGTGAACTACGAAAATTGTGAAAATAAAATGTGTCAGTAAATGCCCAGAATCATCTTCACATAGTCGGATTCAATAGTCAGCGTAGCCATTATAGATTCCCTTTGGAGAAGCTCTACTCGACGGCTATCTGTGCTATTTCCATGAAAAGGCAGGAAATCACGACTCTGTTAATGAACCACTGTATCAAGCAGCCTATGATGCAAATTGAACTTATAAGAAATCACGTTACTTTGGTACCGATTTTATTTATTCTTGCTGAGTCGTTTGTGTTGAGTTTCACGATAAGTGCTGCTTTTATAACGAAACACATGTTCAGCGTGATTAAATCTTAGCACGTTATCCCTATGTTAGTTATCTTGAAAGTCGGCTAAAAAAAGGGAAATAACTCAAACATTTACGGCTCGATATCTTACAAAACTGTTATATAACATTTTGCGCCATTGGCACTCCCCCCTCCCCCCTCCACAATAATAATAACTTTTTTTGATCTCATCTTCTATTTCGGTCCTAATATATTACCTACAGCATTTATAAATAAGGCTCTTTCCGAGAGGGACCATGTGCTCGCTTCTTCCCATATTAACTGTTCATGCTTTCCACACATGTGGGATTCGAAATGGAGGCCTACATTGGCCTATTACTTCTTTTTATTTTTTATTTTTTTATCAAAATATTATTTTTCCTGCATAGCGAACAAATGCCTCTGAAAACGGGCTACCGGGCCTGGGCCCGAGTGTGGCTTAGGTTAAAAGAGCCAGATTTGTGATTAGAGGCGGCTCGGTGCCATGACAAAAGGACCGAGGCCCTCGACTCTCGGCGACGATGTGGGAGGAAAATGCACCCAAGAAACGCCACAAACGTTGTCTGCTGTTATGCTTTTCCTGGTTTGTGTGTATTGTGGCTAAAGGAGGGGAACGGCATACGATGCAAGCGAGCCGTGTTGCTTCGACTGGGATGCCGATCTTCTACTTATTTACACTCTCTTTTCTCGACTTTCTTTGGGACAAAATATCGCACTACCATCGACCCAATGATATGCAATGACTGGACGGCACAACCAATCCACCCTCTTCACCCCAACCAGGTCCAAGCGAAGGGATGCCATATGAGCACACACACAAGCAAGTGTCTTCTGACGAGAACCTGGAAATCTGGTCAGGCTTAATCTGTGCGGACATTTTTAATCCTTGGTGCACTGATTCACTCATTCCCATATCACGACCTTTTTTGCTCGGAAGATGAATAAAGTTTCACTTTACTCCAAAAGTGTATGCCCCTTTACTTGTCATTTTGCCTTCCTTGTCCTGCCTCGCTCGTCATTATTTTTGGCTTAGGCGCCCCGCATCCTCAGTTTCCCAAAAGGGTGCGCCCGTTCACCATGCCGTCTTGCTGTATGTCGTACTGGCTGTTTCATGCGAACCAGCTTTTAAATGCATTTGGTACATACATGTGTTGCATATCCAGGTCACATTGGGACAAGCCAAAGGACCCGAGACTCTTTTACCTGTTCAACATCAAGTGCGCTTTGTTCGGGCACCATCTCTGCAGCAGACGTATTCTAGCAGGCAGTTAATTGGTAGACCTCAAAGTCCGCGATACGATGTGAACTGACAATGGACCCCACTTGCTTATACGCACCATCGCCGAAATCCACCTACATGCAGCTTTTTGCAGGAGCCCCTGCTCTGTAAGACAACACATTGCACACTACCTTCTCCCGCTCTTATGTGGCTCCAACTATTGCATATCGTGCTTTGTTGTCGGGTACATGAAGTTGCAAGCGAGAAAACCTTAAAATGTGCGTTGTAGAGTCAGGAGCTCCCTCGTTCTTGACGACTAGCCTCCCTTGGCCTACGTGTGGTCATCCATCATGACCACATGTGCCGCCGTACCATCTGGCCACCTTCTTGACAACCGCTGCCACTGTTTCCATACACTCCACTATTATTGGTGCCTTGCCTGGCGTGTGAGCGAGGAAAACAAGCTATTGCAAGAGACATGCCACACTCCGCAGGACCTGGTATTATGAAACCAAGTGAGATGCAGACGCACGAAGGACTCGGTTTGTTCAATTGGGGGCCGATAGACTTCCATGCTGTTAGCCCTCATATAGGTGAGTGATCGTATTGGTGAGTATAGCGTCGTTTTCAACCGAATCTACAGAATCAAAGGGCCTCAGCTCGCAAGATGAAGATCTTCATACGACGTAGCTTCAGCACGACCAGACAGCTTGGCGAGCTTGGAGAAGTGGAAGAGGCCCATGATGTCAAAAAGAAGAAAAGATGCCTTGATCCTAACCAAACTTCGAGTACCAGTGGCGACTCCACGTGGGAAGAGAGGGGAGAGTGACGACGAGAAAAGGGGAGGGAGGAAGGGACGAGCAAACGACATGGACCAGGATATGGCTCGCCGTCTAATTGTAGGCTGCCTGCTGTCTGCTGGAACTGGCGGATGATGCGGAACAATGAAAAACACAAACGAAAAAAAAGAAAGGAAAACAAGACGGGCCAAAAGAGGATAGTCTGGGGTATCCAAGCAATACGTTCTTTGGTAGACCTGACACCATGCCTTTCCATTGGCAACCATCGTCGACAAACGTGTGCATCACGACTAAGCCTCTTTGACATGCACAGGGCCAAGATGAGGTCAGGAACGAAAACAGGACGAGAAAGAAGGAGGGCGGGTGCAACATCACAGGATCGACGCAAGGCACGCCGTGTAAGCAGGATGCACGTCGTGTTCGTGCATAGGAAAGCGAGGAAATAAAAACAAATAATAGCATTTTGTCAGACAAATGTGAACGGCAGACTCGGAGACGTCTGCTCGAGAAGAGAAACAGCGTTGGAAATGAGAGATTCTGTACGTATATAAAGAGACGGATATCACCACAGACTCCGACGATGTGCTATTGTTATTGCTTGCTTCTTGGAGAGTATCTCATATTTTATCTGCTTCCAATTACCAAGACACCCTCCTCATTGTGACATACAATGGCAGCCCGCTTCTTTCAGCTACTCTTTGTGGCCTTGCTGGCCAGCTTGACTCTGGCCTCGCCTCTTCCGGGTGGCGAACTACAGGTGTTGCAGCCAAGACAGTCGTGCAACACGGTGGCCAACCGGCAGTGCTGGTCGTCTGGGTACAGCATCACCACTGACTATGAGACGAGCACACCCGTGACGGGTCATACACAGACGTATACGTTCACGATAAGTGAAGTGAACAATTATGTCGGCGGCGATGGCGTGGTCAAAGCCAAGGCGATGCTTGTGAATGGAATTTTCCCTGGTACGTGTTCTCCTGTCCACCTTGATACGATACTCTTTTATTTGTCAATACTAACAAGACAAGGCCCAACCATTACTGCCAGTAGGTCAAGCCCCCCCTCTTTTTTCTTGGTGCTGTGCTTTATTTTTTTTTCTGACCTCCAGACTGGGGTGACCGCATCAACGTGACGATCATCAACAACTTGGTGACGAATGGGTAAGCAATTCCTCTCTTCCCGTTATAATTCTCCCTGCTAACCATGTAGCACTTCTATCCATTGGCACGGCATCCGCCAGCTCAATTCCAACCAAAACGACGGCACCAGCGGCATCACCGAGTGTCCCGTGCGGCCTGGAGGGAGCAAGACGTACTCTTTCCTTGCCACGCAGTACGGGACGTCGTGGTACCACTCACACTTCTCGGCCCAGTACGGCAACGGCGTACTGGGCGCCATTGTGATCAACGGGCCGGCGTCGGCCAACTACGACGTCGATCTCGGTCCGCTGCTCATCTCCGACTGGTATTATGCGCCCGTCGACACCACACTGGCCCGCGTCAACAACCCAAACAATCCCTTCATTCCGGGTTTCCCCGGATCCACGCCGCCCAGCGACAATATCCTGTTCAACGGCAAGAACATCAACCCCAAAGGCAGCGGCGGCAGCTACCAGACGATCGCTCTCACGCCCAACAAGGCCCATCTGCTGCGCATCATCAACCCGTCCGTCGAGAACACGTACACCGTCTCGCTCGTCGGCCACTCGTTTACGATTGTGGCCACCGACCTGGTGCCCGTGCAGCCCAAGACCGTGACCAGCCTCTACGTCGCCGTCGGCCAGCGCTACGATGTCATCATCAATGCCACGGCGGCCTCGGGTCTCTACTGGCTCAACGTGACCATGCCCACCGGCCCCTGCGGTATAAGCAACAACCCGCGGCCGGCCGCCATCGTGTCGTACGTGGGCGCGACACCCCCCAAGCCGACACCCACCAGTGCCGGCACAGCGCCACCGGACCCGAGCTGCGCCGACCCGCCGGCGTCCTTCTTCACGCCCATCGTGTCGCGCACGGCCCCCGGCGCATCCACCTTCTCGCCCAACTCGGGCGACACCCTCAACACCAACATGATTCTCAGCCAGAACGGCGTTGCGCGCGTCTTCTGGCCCGTCAACAACTCGCCCATGAACGTCTCGTGGAACCAGCCCACGCTGCAGTACGTCCTGAACGGCACGACCGGCAGCATGCCGACCCCCGAGAACGTCGTGTCCGTGCCCTCCGCGGGCGTCACCACGTACTGGCTCATCCAAAACAACTCGCCCATTCCGCACCCCGTGCACCTGCACGGCCACGACATCATGGTCCTGGGCGCGTCGCCGGCGCTGGCCCAGCCGCTGCGCCCGGGCTACACGCTGCGCCCGTACAACCCGGCCACGGACGCCGTCAACCTGCGCGGAAACAACCCGACGCGGCGGGACACAACGATGCTGCCGGCCTGGGGCTGGCTGGTGGTGGCGTTCCAGACGAACAACCCGGGCGCGTGGCTGTTCCACTGCCATGTGGCCTGGCACGTCTCGCAGGGGCTCAGCGTACAATTCCTGGAACAGCTGGGCGCGATTCCGCAAAAGGTCGACTTGAGCAACATCAACAGCCAGTGCAGCACATGGGGCGCATACTATCCAGCCAACGACCCATTCCATCAGGACGACTCTGGTGTCTAGGCAGGAGCGGGGGAAAGAGTGATGGTGTGCCAATGGCAAGTGAGGAAGGAGCGACTTTTGTCAAATTTGGAAGGAGAGGACTCGGTGTCTCGTGATGCGATTCTTGTGTACAATTTTCCAGATTCAACATATCACAACGCAAATTTAAGTATTCTAACTTTGGTAATCGGGGGTCACATGTCGACAGCGATAATGCTCCATTATAAAATTGTCACAATACAATATGGAAGAAAATAAAAACACCGAGTCCCAAAATCCAAGTCATAAGGATGGAATAACGACAAAATAAATAGCAGATCCGGTCTGCGGCATATGTGTCGTAAAATCGTAACCCACCGCTCGCCTCACGAGAGATGCGCCCTCGGCGGCGGGTGAAGTCCGAGCTCTAGATCATCTTCGCTCCCATGATTATGATTAGTGCTGCTTCCACTCGAGCTGCTCGCATCTGCGTCCCTATTTGTGTCCACGGCCGTTGCTGTAGATGCGTTCGAGACGGTCCGGCCCCGAGAAAGATATGCGGCAGAGGCTTGCGGCGTGGTGTCCTTGCTCTCGTTGCCCGGCTCGGTGTTCTCGGCAGTGTTGTCGGTGCATTCCTTGGAACTTTCGGCAAATGCTTCCTCTTGGTCGTCAAAGTCACCCCGGTCGAGCTCCTCCTCGGAGATCCAGAACTCGGTCCGCTTCTCGATAACACCCACACCGGCTGGCATGCCGCTGTTTTCACCAGCAGACGCCGTCGCTTCCACTTCCACGGTTGAGGGCCATGGTCTTGCAGCAGCTGCGCCGCCGCCGTATGGATGCTGTTTGCTCAGGTGGTGGTGATAGTAGAGACTGCTGCGCCGACGGCTGGCCACCGTGGTGCTGCTGCTGATGCTTCTGCCGTCCCGTGTGTAGCTTCGCGCTTCCCCACGATCGAGCGCACGTCCGCGACCTCTTGTAACGACACCCGCCGAAGAGTCATTCCCGCGCTGGCCAGCACCCTCGCTATTTCGAGCGACGACACCATCTTCCAGGGTGGTTATGCTTCCGCTGTGACTTTGCATTGGCATCACTCCAACGACCATCATTTTCCCCTTGTCGTGGGACATCGAGGGCGTCTCCTTTTCTGTGCCTGGATCGTTCGTAGAGTGTATCGATTGGGGTCTCCAAAACAACACCCTACTACAAACAAACGATCTGAGCCGTCTTGTTATGTGTGAGAGGTGTGCAGCAGACGTACTCCCCTCCGTTGCGGGTGTTGCCTCCGAGGTCGCCGTCTGAGAGCGTGATCCGTTTAAGCCAGGTATTCGACTTGGCGAGTAGGATGACTGGCGACGGAAGATATGGTGTCGTTCCAGGCTGCCTGTGTGGCTGCTGATATTGTTTCGATTCCTTCCATACCGCCAGCTTCGGTGTCTCCGGGACCACGGCAGGTGAAGGTTGCTCAAGATTGCCAGGCCATGAGGAGAGCCGTGCGACTGGGAGCCGTAAAAGCTCCAATGTTGACTCGATGTACCTCGAGGACCACTGCCGCGGCCACTTCCGGCTCTGCCATTGTGTGCCGCATTGCCTCCACCGCTACCTCCACCGCCTCCGCTCCCACTGTGAGCTGAACTGTCGTCTTCGAAAAAATAGATATAGAAGGAGCGAGACAAGGCAAGATTGGCTGCGATGGTGCCAACGAAGAGTTCGCAATTGGCCCAAATCTCTGTTATGCAAAAGGCCCCTGTCGAGGTATTAGCTGGCAGTCGCTTGACGTTCTCAGACAATGAGGGTTTCTGGAAAAACCTAAACCTACAGGTAAAGTCCGTTGTCATGATACTGAGAGAGACGGCTCGTCCAATACCGCAGCCGGTGGCGAGCAGCCCCAGACTCATCAGCCCACAGACGAGCATCTTCGACTTGAGCGGAATGCGAACTCTCCAGATGACCACGAGCGGCAGACAGGAACAAAGCAGGTCCGTCAGGACGGCGTACCCAATCGTCAGGTAGATGCTAAACACACGTACCCGCGGGTCCCAGCATGCGCCCATGTTGTTCCAATACTCGTCGACCGGACGGCACTCGGCGAGCAGGATGATCACCACGCCGCCGTTGGTCGCCAGCAATCCGGCCACCATCCCATAAATCAGCCACCGCAGCCACCGCTCGTTCTTGATCCGCAGAAGCAGCAAGCAGATCGAAATCTTCATAAGGCAAATGGCCACGAAGAAGAGCAGCAGCGCATACCACCCGAATCGGTTGGCTGTTTGGTAGTCACCTGCGTCGATGTAGCTCCGGTGGCGGCCGTCGCCAAAGTGCACCTGCGCAATCTGGCATCCGAGACGCGTGGCGGAGAGGATGGCGACGAGTGCAATTGTCAGATCGTCCCAACCGAGCATGCGGTTTCGGGCTCGGACGAGAAGCCGAAGCGTCGTGGTCACAAAAACGAGAAACATGAGGACGGACGACGTGACGATAAGCGTGGGACCAACGTTTTCGTCTGGGGGACTGATGACGTCCATGGCGGAGAGATCTGGCTCGGTCGCGGCTTGCATAAAGGAAGACCCCATGGAGGCCATGGCCGGAAAAGCGACCATGACGAGATGCCAGAGACGGCTCAACAATGGCAATGGTAACGTGAGCGCCGATGAGCCATCAGTAGTGTAGGACGCTGAACCTGTGTGATCTTGTCGTTGAAATGACTATACGGCTTTTGAAGAGGAGAAATGGTGAACGTGGCGGCTTTCATAGCGATTTTATACGTTGGAGGACCCGGACGACGTTGTAAACAGTATCGCTGGTGGAAGTAAGAAAAAGGTGTCAAGATAATTTGGTTTAGTACTTTACAGAGAATCTCAGGAGAATGGCAAAACATATTATAAATGCAGAATCAAACGAAAGAAAGGTCCGTAAAACACAATCACACGCAAGCAGGTGCGTACGATCAGACCGGTCGGAGAAGGCAGACGCGACAAGCAGAAACATGGTTGGCAAATCCCCCAGAGAGAGAGATGGAACGAATCCCACCGAGTGTGCTTCGAGAAGGGAGAAGGGCGAGAAAAGAGGACGAAATAAGGACGAGACCGAAATAAGTAGATACGGATAGACTTGGCAGGATTTCTTCGATGCCTAGCACATCAATCACGAGAACCAGCAAGCCATCACTTGCATCTTGTATCGCCAAGACATCATGTTCAAGGGCGTTCAGGTTTCACTGATACGTGTCTTCCGTATCTTTGTGTCTCCGTATAGTCGATGTGCATGTGGTGGGGGTCTTCAGTACAATTGCGCAAGAAAATTGCAAGCTGTGAGAAGAAAGGTTGAAAAGGTGCGAAGATCTTGTGAGAACGGATTTATTATGAAACGGGCGAGGCTTCGCATGAATGGTCGATCGCACACGCCAGGACCACATGCCCCCATGGCACGACCAAGAAGCAGAACAATGCACAATCGAAATAAATAACAGAAGACGAAAACAGTAGACCAGAAATACGAAGGGTCAACAAATGGCATAACTTGAACTAATATGCCCAAGCACGCAAGGAATGCCTCCCGGGACTTCCTGCTTGTTGTTTAATCTTCATTGGCGATCAATGTTTGGCTGTATCGGTTCAGCACTGCCGAGCCGACAAAAGGGAAAGGAAAATGTACCACGCAGATGGATGAGGAGAACGAAGCGCAAAAAGGAGCAACCGGTTTTTACGAATAAGAAAAATTCCTTCTTAATGAGAGACGGCAAAGGTTTTCGTCAACGACTGCCGTGCATGCAAAACTGTGAGAAAATCATATGTACTTTCACGTGTCGAGATCTGAACTGGTGTAGACCTTCATAACTGTGTGACATATAAATAGGAATAATGATACATACTTGCCCCAGCCAAACAGGTTGCCATACATTGCCAGCGTAACTCGAGCGGGAGTTGCAGCTCTGGAACTTGCCAAACCGGGACAGCTCTCGAACCACTCCCCGCATGCTCTTTAGAAGATATTTCCGCCGGACAGAGCGGTGCGCGGTGACCACTTGGCCTTCTTCTTTTCGCCAGACTCGAGGGCTTCGTTTGCCCGGTTCCGCTTATCCATGAACCGGTTAATTTCCTCCGAGTTCTCCCACGCCACAATGCCCTCTCGGGCGTCCCGCAGCCGCCGCTTCTGCCCCAGTTCGCCCGCGCGGCCCAAAACACCCGCAATCAGGGCCGCCGACCGCAGACTGTCGTCGTTGGCCGGGATCGGGTACGAAACGCGGCCTGGGTCGGCGTCCGTGTCGATCACGCCAATCGTCGGCACCGTCGCACCCGCACACTCCCGCAGCAGCACAAAGTTCTCCATCGGGTTGAGAACCACCACGAGGTCGGGAATCAGTGGCCGCCGCCGCAACAGGTGCGGCCGGAAGCCCTCGTCCGAGATATCGCGGTCCTGCTCGTCGACGATGCGCTGCTTGCTGCGGAAGAGCATCTGGTCGCGGTTCGTAATCGTGCCGCCCTGCCATCGGTCAAAGACATGGCAGCCGCCCGCCAGCTCGGCCGCGCGCACGACAATGTCGGCCTGGCCCTTGCGGGTGCCGACAAAGAGAATGATGCCGCCATGGTAGGCGACCTCCTCGACGACGCGGGCGGCGCGGCGGAGGTACAGCGCGGTCTGCTCGAGCGAGATAATGTGGATGCCGGTGCGTATGCCGTGGATGTAGCGGGAGTTGGCCGGGTTCCACAGAGATGTGTTGTGGCCGAGGTGTGTCTGGGACGCCATGAGAAGCTCGAGAGTGACGTCCTTGGGGTAGGGCGGGTTACGGATCAGTTCTTCGGGCACGTAGAGACGCTCAATCGAGGAACCGAGGCCCGCCGTTTTGCGCTTCGCCTTTCCCTTGGCGACGAACTTGGCTGCAAAATGGCTGGTCATCTCCGGGCGCAAGGCCAATGGGACGCGTTTTGCGCCATACGGTTGAGGCGCACTGTTCGGCCGTGTCGGTTGCGTACTTGTTGCGGACGCCGCCGGCGGTGTCGTCTGTGATGGTATGGATGTCGCTGTCGAGTCTGTAGAGAGGAAGGCACGGCGGCAGATCTGGCTGATCTGGCTGCTGATCGGGGCCGGCGGTGTGAGGAGCGCTCCCTGGCCTGGGAAAAGAACGTTAGTGAAAGTTTGCAACCGTCGCTGTCCCCCACCGGATGGAGACGTACTCTGCCGGAGCACGGCCCGTCCAATCATGGTTGTCGCAGTGAATGAACCAATTCAGGTGCAATTTTGGTCTGTCGCTGGGTTGAGAGTCAACGCGCAATTTGCCTCCGTCCTAGACGTCTCCTGTTGACTGTCGTGTGGCACGTTTCTGAGGCATCACGAAAATCGAAGCTCAGCCTATTTTTTCGGCGCTAAGGAATTACCAGAAGGGCCCCATATTTATTCGACTGCATTCTGTGATTGGCTAGTGTAGCTACACTCCAAAGCCTCGCCTAACAATCGTCCCCCAACTACGACCAACTTTACAGGCTTTCTTATTTCTGAGTATGTCACACAAAACATTATCGCATAGTGAGCGGCGTAGTGTTTCAAGACATCGCGTGCATTGCTGGTGGCACCCTTTTCTATGAAGAAAAAGGAATACAAAACAGAAAAGTGGAGAAGACTGAGACGACCTTTATTTGCGTAAAAAGAAAAAGGAACAATGAGAAAAGGACACATAACAACAGGAGACGGTAAGTTGACAAAAAGAAGGTTTGACAAGAAATAAAAAACCAACAAGGAAACATGCAAATCATCTCGTCAACCGTGAAATCGTAAAGACGCCCAGGATTACCACCGACAACGTCACAATGGCACCCGGCAACAGCAGGTCGTTGGGCACACCCTGGATCAGCTGCTCGTCGGTGCCGGCACCAAAACTGTTGGCCGCAAACTCGCCAAAAGCCTTGCTGGCGGCGCCAACGCTCTCCGCAGCGCTGCCAATGCTGCCCTTGCTGCGGTTGTTGTTTCGTCGGGCGCGGCGGGCCTTGGTCTTTTGTTTGCGCACGTACGCCGAGTCATCCGAGTCTTCGTCCTCGTCGTCATCCTCGTCGTCATCGTCACCCGACGAGCGGTGGATGCCGCGCCGGCTGCGCACGCCCGACGTGGCACGGTCCGAAGAGGCCGGCGTCGGAAGAGCAGGGGCGGCGGCCGCGGCAACGGGCGGCTTCGACGGGTCGTGCACAAATAGGTCGACCTTCTCCAGGTGGCCGTGGCGGGCCAACAGCACAGCCTCAACCAGGTCCTGGTCAGCCGTGATGGACACCGAATCGCCTTCGTCGTCCAGGTAGCTAATGGCAAACCCGGCGCCGGTGACCTTGCCGTCGGCTACGGCAGGGACGCCGCCAATGGTGTCGGCCTCGGCCCCCAGCTTGGACGCAACATTCTCGACAAAGACGGCAATGCCCTGGGTGGCAATCACCTGGAGGCGGTGCACACGGCCGCTCGGGGCCTTAAACTTGAAGGGGAATGGAACCTCGCTGGGCGGAAGCTCGGGTGTGATGGGCGCCACGGCCGAGTGCGGCGGAGACTCGACGCCGACATGGGAGGCAGAATCGCCCGGCGCGACGCTATCGACGCGGCCGTGGAGGATGTTGCCATGGGCGTCGCGGGACAGCTCGGGCGACATCATGCGCGACGAGGTCATGTGGGTGTGGTGGTGGCTGCCGTCGCCCGAGACCATGGACTCGGTCTCGTGGTCGAGGGAGAGCCAGAACTTGTTCCAGGCGGGGCCTTCGCTGTCGCCGCTGGACATGGTGTTGATTTGCTCAAGGGTGGCGTAGGTCAGCTTGAGGACGTCGACCATACCGACGATCTCACCGCTGTCGTTCATGACGGGGAGGTTGAGGTAGTGGCCGTCTAACGGTATGGCATGTTAGTAAAGGAAGGAAAGGGCAATGGCATATCTGGGGCAACCCAACATACCGTGCATCTTGCGCAGCGCCGCCTGGATGCTCATATCCATCGGCGCAAAGTCGGGGTGCGGCGTCATGACGCGCACAACGCTGCAGTTGGCCGGGTCCAGGCCGGGCGCAATCACGCGCAGGACGACATCCTTGCTCGTGAAAATGCCCGTGATGGCGCCCTGGTCCTGGACCAGCACGGCCGTCGTGTGGTTGTCCTTCATCAGCTGGGCGGCTTCTTTGACCGAGGTGCGCACGCTGACGGTGGTCGGCGGTAGGCCGTTGAGGACAGACTCGAGCGTGGGTCCCGACATCTTGGACCGCAGCGCCTCAACGTACTGGATGATCTGCTGCGGCTGGCTGGCGCCGAGCTCGGACTGCACACCCTCGAGGGCGTCGTAAAGCTTGCGCGACGAGGAGTACGCGCGCTCCAGCTTCTCCATGGCGTCGTAGAAGCACTTTGTGATGTCCAGAATGCCCGAAATATCCTGGTTCTCGTCCATGACGGGGAGATGGCGGAAGCCCTTGCGCACCATGAGATCGAGGGCGTCCGTGGCGCTGGTATCGGTGCGGGCACACAGGGGGTTCTTGGTCATGATCTCGGCAATGGTGGCGGTGTTGGCCTTGAGACCGGCACCGACCACACGGAACGCCAGATCCTTGGCGGTGAAGATGCCGGCAATGCGGTCGTCGTCGTCGGTAACGAGCACGCAGTCCTCACGCTTGGCGGCCATCAGCTGGGCGGCCTCGGCCACTGTGGTGGCGGGCTTGATCTGCAGAGCAGGGCTCGGCTTGAGGGCCAGGACGGTGCCTGGCGGGGCCTTCCGGGAGTGGCGGGCGCGGCCAGGCGCGCTCGGCTTCTTCTTGTTCAGATCGCTTTCGAGTTTGCGGCGGATGGCCTGGAGAGAGACGTGGGGGTTAGTGGGATGTTGACCAATGCTATGATATGCCACGACATATGTTCAGAACAAAATATAAGTTGCTCACCTCGTCCCGCTTTGACTGCTTCTGCCGACTGGCGCTGACCGACGAAGCAGCACCACCACCGCCACCGCCGGCGGCGGCACCACCATCGGAGCCGATGTGGCTGTGGTTGTCGAGTACAGGCCGCGGTATGCTCGAGTTGGCGGCCGGGCTGTTGTTGAACGGAATGGCGCCGCGGGCTTGGCCACGGTTCGGCGTGCCGCGCACAGTATTACCGGACATGGTTACCGAGGTCGTGATCGTACAAGGGTCGAGAGAGGGACGAGAGGGATGAGAGGGGGTGAAGGACGAGACAGGACGGTGTCGTATAGAGCCCCTTGTCAATAGTAGAGAGGAAGAGGTGAGCGGTAGACCAGATCACCAACACGAGAGGCGGGAAGGGGAGGGAGAACACGCAAAAGCACAGGAGCGCAGAAAGGTCGTCCGATGTCCGCTATTTCGCTCTCCTGTTTCTGTCGTTTAATTTGTGGTTTTTTTCTTCTTCCCGAACGTTGCCTTGCGTTTTCTTTGACTGGCTGCAGACTGGCGGCCCAATGAACGTCGCGGGGCAGACAGGGGAGCACACAGGCCACTGGCACGTTTCTGGTAATTGAAGGTGGGTTGATTTCCACTTGCCCTACTCCAGTAGAAATGGAACAGAGGTGGGCAGGGACTTTTCGGTTGACTGTGGCGTGGGGAGACCTGCATGTGTATTTGGCGGTGTCCCAGCGTTTGTTGTCTTGGAGATGCACGGACCAGTTGGAGGAGGGGGAAGATGGCTGCTGCTACATGTTAGGGGACCAAACACAAAATGCCAACTGACGAGCCAGGGGAAAGCGGGGCTCTGGCCGCTAAAACGAAAGGCACAAGGCTTTTAGTGCCCTGTAGCAGGGTAGCCGTACTCAGTTTGGCGTATTTCTTGGTTCGCGTTGGTGATTTTGCACTTAACGGGGCTGTTTACTTACCCCCGCAGTTCTCAACGCGTTTACTTCCTCCTTTTCGTTAACAAAGGCCATGCGATGTTACAAAGCAACAATGACGCGCAGAGCAAGACCAATCTGCATCGTGGTGTTGACATTGCAGTTTTCTTCTGCCAAAGGAGTCCTTTTCTAGTCCAATTAAGCCAACTCAGCTCTCCTCTTGTGGCCACGATCACAGTAAAGTCGAAGTAAATAAACGTTTAATCGACATAATGTTTTTGGATTGTTGACTTTAGCCTCATGGAAGTAGTGGTAAAGCAAATGAGAACTTGGAGAGGGGGGGGGGGGGGGGTTCTAGTTGGTCTTGTATTCTTTTTTCTTTCTTTCTTATTCACCTTTTTGGACAATATCCCAAAAAATAGACTCAGAGAAAGAGAGAAAAATCCAGCACGATGGACTTTGCGCACTGATGAAGAACGTCATATGTCACTACCCTGTCACAACCCCGGACGCGGGTGCCTTGCATGAACACCTAAAGTAATATCGGGGCCGGGCTATTGGGATTCGAGAGTGCACCTCGCCGTGTCGAAGTCTGATGTTCTGCTGTTTGTTTTGTTCTTGTAGCTTCGCGACGACCGTTGCAAAACAAACAATCTTCAAAGTCAACAACGGTGACATCGGCTACGTAGCAGTAAGCCATTCCCGTCTGCATACCCGAGATGTCCAAGTTGTCTCTCGATCTAGCGGCACACCTCGATGCTCCTTCTCTAGGTAGATGTCTAAGTCAACAGTTCCTTGTCTGCATTAGAGTCGGCAGTTGCACTGGGATAGTACGTAGGTCGGAGAACAAACTGCCTTCGTCCTCAATCCATTCGGGTATTACCACAGTTTTCTTCTGTGTTTTCTTTTTCTGTCTATTTACTTTCCTTTCTTTTCCCGCATCCAACGACAGTCACCGAGGACACGCCACCAGAGACATGACACATACAGCGGCCGGCCACGCGGCCTGCAACGGCGACGAGACGAAATCCCCCAAATAAATCACTCGCTCCTGTATCTTGTCCTGTCTTCTGTTGCCCCGGTTGAAGCGAGGGAAGTCGGCACATTCCTGTCGTAGCGGGCAATCGCGAGGCATGTACGACATAGGCTTGTCCGTCATGGCAATCTCATATCGCCCAATTTGGGCAAGATCTGTGCCGAGCAAGGAGCGCACCCATCCGAATGTCCGTGCTGTGTGAGACAAAAGAACAAGAAAAGTCATTATGTCCTGCTTTTGAACCGGGAATAGGAACACATGTTCCGTTTTCCTTCTTCGAGCGTGGTGGGAGAGTGGTGAAATCCCCGATACTGAGGCTTGGCAACTGTCGCCATTCCTGGTCAGTTGATCTGTGACAGGATTATATCTTACTTGACAATCCTCCTGGCTCCAACCGTCACAACTGACGAGTTTGCTAGCTCTTGATGCAGATTGCGATAATGCAGCCCACTCGTGCAGCATTGTCGGGTACACAGCGATGCTACTACCCCCCATCTCCTATGACACCATCTGACAGACTCGGTCCAAGACACACATGAGCAACCGCCTAGCAGTGTCAAATGGATTGTCGAATACCGGGGTGTCCAATGCACTTGTAGCATTGGGCGTATATTGACGTACCGGTCAAATAGTACCACCTAGCCCCAATTGCCGGCATTGTCATGAGCCTAGACCCTCTCTGTGCAGATATACGAGAAAAGGGGCACTGTTTGATGGCAATACGTCGTACGATACGAGGCAATACTTCTTCACGGGCGTAGGTACAACAAAGGCGGAAACTAGCCATGGAGACGTACGGTGAATAGAGATTTTCTCATCTACTAACTGTCTTACGGAAAGTATCAAGCAAATAGAAAAATAACCTGATATGGAAATCTTCCTTGTTGGGGGTGAGGAAACAAACTGGCCACTCTGAAAGAGTCCAGGAAGACGTCACAAAGTGAAACCATTATTCGCCGTCGCCCTGCCAAAGAAGCCTGTATCCAGTACCATCCGAGCCAATCGAGCGCGGTAAATGTGGCGCTGGAAACAAAACACAAGAAAAATAAAGCACAATAGTACTAGAAACGTTGCTGGAAGACGGACAGAGGAGCAATAAAAACAAACGACGACTGAAACGGATTGTTTTATTTCATATTGCTTTTGACGCGGATTTGAACAACGCAGGACATCTGAAATTATAATTTAGACGAGATGCAACGATGCAACAGAAGGTAATTAGACTAACGCAAGGGCGATAAAGAACAAAAAGTAAAAGAGGCAGAGGCAAGGAAATTTCCACAGAAACGAGACGCCGGGGTTTTCTGTACATGTATTTAATGGGTGCTATTTTCAGCTGTTACCGATGAGCATCCCTAGCTGTTGGCTAATTGCTTTGGTGGAGCATCGGCGCCGTCCTTCACAGACGTCGCAGGGAATCAACAGAAGCAACCATTTGACATCGAAAAGCGCACAAACATCGTTTCAACAGATCTTCAGATGTGCCTCCTTCAAAGCAAATTACAGGAATATTTCAATAAAGGCCCCGAACCCAATGCCACCAGTATCTTGTCGCCAGACGATTCTGAAACGTCGTAGTTGCGGTTTCCTGCCTCGGCCGTTCGATAAACGGCGTATTGTCGCTCCTGCCATTTTCGTATTATCATCTCGTCTGCGACCCCCTTTCCTTCCGAAGTGGCAGCCTTCCTTGTGGTGCCAGTCGAATTTGAAGAGCTGAGGGCGTGTGCAACTTCCAATTTGGAAGGCGAAAGGGGGGGGGGGGGGCCTATGTATGGAAACGACAATCAGCGAAAGTAAAGGAAAGAGCGACGGATGACAGTGGATTCGGTCGTAAAACAAGCCCAAAAAGTATGGATTAATTCGCTCCCAGCTTGGCAGGTGCCGCCCAGCCTACCGTCACTCGCGCCTGCCTGCCGTCGCATGAAAACGCCCACAAGCCCACTACGTTCACACCCTAAACGTCGGTTGCTAGGCAACGCCAGTCAACAACCAAAGTCCACGACCTCCCATCGTCAAACACACCTACATCACACGGCTCCATTATTTCCATTGTGCTCTGGCCTGGTTACTCTCGCCGGCATTCCAATAAAACTTCATACGTTTTCTCTACTCTCATCCTTTCATACTCTCTCCCTCCTCCTCATCCACCTCTTTCCCTCCCACTCTTCTCTTTCTGAAATCCAACCCAAACCAAATTGAAATCCAACAAGCATCTAGTACCTTTCTTTGCTTCTCGTCTTCTTTTTCGAAAGAGGATTAGAAAGTAAAGAAAGATCTCAAACAGACCAAACAGCTTTCTTCTTGCCAAAGGACCAAGAGAGCTTACCCAGATCCAGAGAGGACTTCGGTTCTCGCATCTCCATCTCCTTCGAACTCCTTTCAACTTCTCCCGATTTGTGCTATTGACAATCCAGTCGCCCTTGACTGAGCACAACCTCGGGATCCTCCTTTTTGCCTGGCCATCTGGCTTGCCCCCTGCGTGAGGTGAGCTCTCAGGGATCACGATTATGAGAATCAAACGCAAGCAACTAACATCGCGGACAGTTTCGGAACCTACCTGTTCGATATAGGTACGCTTAATTGCGACAACTTTTTCGACAAACGACAACGACAAAAATCGACGACGACGATAGCAACTACGACAACCGACGACAACAATTCGACAAATTTCGACAATATCGACATCGACACGAACGGCCAATTTTCACGACAATTCCGCCGATTTTTACTTTCCGAACTCAATCTCGCAGACTCTTTTGTTCTCAGCCAATATCCCACACAAGAGTTACAACCATGCTGTCCACACCCATCAACAACACACAGAGCAGCGCTCTTCAGACTCGCCAACGGCTCCACCGGAGACAAAAGTCTACCCCGGTAGCCGCGTTCGAGGCGATGAAGATGAGCGGGTCCTCTTCGCCGCCCTCCAAGCAGCAGCAAGCCGCTGCCGCCGCTGCCGCTGCCACCATGCAGCAATCTGCACAAGGACAAGCGTATCCTCAGGCTCAGTCTCAAGCACTTTCACAAGCACATCTGCAGAAGCAGCAAGTATCTCGCCAGGTTGGACACCGCCGGGGTCTGAGCCTCGATACGAGACGGCAGCAGCTGCAGCAGCGCCACCAGAGACAACAGCAGATCCAGCAATTGCAGAACCAGCAGAAGCTAGAGCAGAAGCAGCTGCAGCATCAGCATCAACAGCAGAAGCAGCAGCTCATGGCAGCAGCGGCCGCGGCGGCATCCGCAACCACTAACCAAGGACAATCCACAGCACAGCATGTTATGCAAGATACGCAGCAGCAACGCACAGTACGCCAGGGCATCGAAGCCCAACAATTTGCTAAGCGGTCCCGTGAGCAAGCAATTCTCTTCGCGCAACAGCAACAGCAGCAACAACAACAACGGCAGCACCAGCAGGACTGCGCTGATGCTTCCTTCGACTTCTACAATGGGCCCACTGCCGCCATGATGAGAAAGTCGCTCTCCGGCGGTGGCCTGCCCATGCAACAGCAAGATTTCCAGCTCTTTGCAAACTCCGGCCACCATGGTCTCCAGCCTCCCACAGCATTCATGAACTTCCAAGATGCCAGCAACACTGCAGGCTTCCCCCCGTCAGCTACCTCTCCGCAAGGTTGGGCGTCCGAAGACGATACCTCTAGCACACGCCGTTCTTCGCGGAGAGTCAGCAACGGAATCCTGGATCGGGTGTCCAAATTCGAGGGCATGGCCATGGAGATGCAAAGACCAGCTACGCCTCCCCACCAGAATGAAAATAGTGAGTTGCCATGCTTTCCCCGGAGTCACCAGTGCTGTGGCCCATTGGCTAACATCGACTAGAATATTTCCCGCCGACGCCGACGGAAACTCCCCTCGAAAGAATGGAGAAACATCAGGGCGCTCCTCGTCTCGACCGGTTCGCAGACCACTATGACGAGTCTATGGAGGAGACCCTGAAGCCACAGCGGAACCGAGGGCACCACTCGAACCGTTCGTCTGGTGTCTTTGATGACCTGCGCCAACAAGCCGAGGCCATGGCTTTGGCCACGCCGCCTCGGTCTAACATGATCCGGATGCCCATGACTCCGGCTGACTTCATGGGTATGAACATGCAGAATGGCGGCTTTGTTGCTATGCCCGTTCCGGCGGACATGCAGCACCTGTCCCCACCCCAATCCCAGCACCCAACACCTGCCACGATCCAGGGCGTGTTTGACAGCAACATCGTGGGCAACCCCGATGTCTTTGCAAAGTCCGATCTGTGGGCCACCGAGTACGACTCGCAGTCCACCGTCTCGCCGTTTGGCTCGGGCCGCCCTGCTTCGCCCTCGCAATCCGAGACCCCCGGCCCGTCCCGCCACAGAGCACCCCATAAGCGCAACGAGTCGATAGCCAGCATCGCGAGTGCCGCCAGCATTGCGAGCATCAACATCGACGAGACCCGGACAGAGACTGGTGTTACTCTTGACGACATTGCCATCTACATCGAAGGACCCAACCCTGCCGATGGCAAATGGCGGTGCCTGTACGAGAACTGCGACAAACGCTTTGGTCGCAAGGAGAACATCAAGTCCCACGTTCAGACGCATCTCAATGACCGCCAGTACCAGTGCCCGCACTGCCAGAAGTGCTTTGTTCGCCAGCATGACCTGAAACGCCACGCCAAGATTCACACTGGTGTGAAGCCATACCCATGCGAGTGCGGCAATAATTTTGCCCGCCACGACGCCCTCACGCGCCATCGTCAGCGTGGCATGTGTATTGGTGCTTTCGACGGTGCTGTTCGCAAGATTGGCAAGCGCGGTCGCCCTCGCAAGTCCCGCCCTAGTCTGGATGCGCGCCGCGACAAGTCGTCTCGCACTCGGTCCAAGAACAAGGCTTCTGGCATGGGTGGTTCGGCATCCCCTGATCGCTCGTCGCACTCTGGTTACTCTGACAACTCAGCGGGTAATTCACCTCGAAGCGATGGCTCGGACAGCCCCTTCGACGATGATCTATTTGATGGTATGGACAGCCATACTATGGATATGGGCTTTGCCTCTGGCGTCCCCTCCTTGGGATCTGTTTCGAAAAGCACAATGAACCCCAGTGCTCTCGCAGTGTCCTCGGCTCCCATGCCCGGTTCCGGCATTTCTGCACAGGAAATGGTCAACATTATGCCTGTCGTGTCGCCAGCTGAGCAAGCCGCCGCGATTGCTGCGTCGCCGTCCGCTATGAGCCACTACTCGCACGTGTCCCGCGCATCTCTTCCCGGCAGCAGCAACGACGCAGAGCCTGATGAATTCTTACCGACCAACTTACCGACTTCCCCAACCAAGAGCGTGGCTAGCCACTACTCCCACCATCCCGGAACCCCTCCTGAACTGTCAGCGTCGAGCTCGCCGCCGCAGTCTTCTGCTCGCTTCTTCGAGTTGGACCCCAACTCAAGTTGTGCAGACGAAGACGCGATTGGTCTGAGTGCTCCTTTGACAGGTAGCTGTGGTCCTCTCGAAATGGATGTGGGTAACGTCTCGACCGGCACCATCGATGAAGACATCTTGTTGATGAAGGCCTATAGCGCTGATGACGTGCTCGTTCAACTTGACGACTCCGGTCTCAGCATGCTGAACACGAGCAAATTTGATGACGAGTACGGCATGTTCACCAACAACGATGACGTCTTCTTCGGTAACAACTGAGGGGAAGTATGTTTTGTTGTCTTTGCTTTCCTTTATGCCTTGTTCTTGTGTACTATATCAGATGTCGCCTTTGGATGAGTTCACGACGACAAGGCCACGTTTCGGTTTCTGCTTTAATTTCGCCTCCTTTCTTGTTTTTCGGATTTGCGTACGACATGATCTGTAAATTAGAGGAGGCAGAGCAGAGACGATTGCTTTGGGTTGCTTTGCTTTGGGCTGCCTATTCTGTTCATATAGATATCTGGCCAGGACATTTTCCGATTTGTTATCATGTTTCTTGATTTTTTTCATGCGTTTGATTTCATCGGCGGAACGTTTTTGGGTATTCTGAATTGCGCGGGCACGGATCTGGAGTCAGTCAGGACATTAAGAGCGAAGACGGGGAGACGTCAGTATCGCGCAGGGATGGACGGGCATTATGCGTCCTCAGTCTCTCTTTAATGTTTGCTCTTTTTTGTTTCTTTTTTTTGCATGACGGCTGGCTCGATATCCACCTCGCAATAAGTCTGATTTATTTTTCGGAATACTCGCTCTGCCAGCTTCCATAGTTACCTAATCGAGCAACGTTTGGCGGGATTTGTCTGTAAAGGTAAAAATTGTAAACCGCGCCGTGAGTAGAAGGAAAGCCCCTTTGCCTCTTGAGATTTTTTGTTGGGTGTGTATTTTGCTATGCTGTCGTAAATTTAACCATAGCCGCATCTCTGGGTTCTAAATCGAACGCTGTTTGTATCTCGCTTTATATGAGGCCCCATTCGTATATTTGTCCGACCGTTTAAACCTCACCAATTTGAAATTGTCTCCAATAACTCTTCTCTTCTGAATGAGAGTTTAAGGAGAACCGAATAGAACGCACAACCCGAAAACAAACGATCTAAAACCATCCCATACTCAATCGCTAGCCCTTGCGTATTTCACGACCCATCCATCATGGTATCTACTGTGGTTGGTGCAGAGAGTGTATACGACGACGCTGACGCAGACGCCGACATGCCACGCCGCTGCTGGTCCCATGCTTGCCGGCAAACAGACCGCATCAGTCGCTTCGGCGCGGTTCGGTCCGTCATCAGCTCAAACGCTTCAATGGCCATCTCGCTGACGACCTCGAGGCCGTCCACAATGACCCACGCCGGGTTGACCGTGTCACGGAGGTTTTGTATTTGTGCCACAAGAGGCGTAATAAGTGGTTCATAAGCGAGCTAAAGGGGAGTCGGTGAGTACTAGCACAAAAAAGGAAAATAAATCCAGGAGGGGGGTGACTGCAAAACCTACCTCAACAACGACACCACCTGTCGGGCTGTTGAGCCACTGGCGCGGCATTTCGAACCCAGCTGCTGGACTTCCGTCGGTGTTGACAACCGGCACACACGAGACAATCATAGTCGGCTGTTGGAACTCGGCGGGCCAGGGGTCGGATTTCGAGGTCAGGACATGGCACAGCTTGCTGCTACCGGTACCGGATGTGCCATTCGTGGCGGCTTGTAGCGGCTGGTTCTGGCCCTGGTTCTGCGCCCAGTTGTCAAAGTGCGTGGCCACATCGACCGCGTTTTGGGGCGTCCGGTTGTAAATAAAAATATGCCGGCAGCCAAGCCGGATGAGCGCATAGATGGCGGCACGTGCCATGCCTCCTGCACCAATGACGAGGGCCGTCGTCCGGGACGGTTGTACCACGTTGCGCGGGCTCAGAGCGCGCTGGATGCACTTGTACATGGAGCTCCAGTCGGTGTTGTCGCCGTAAAACTCGTTGCATGCGCCGGCCTTGTTGCGCGCTTTGACGTGATCGATGACGGCGTCGCTGTGGCCACGCATGGGCAGAATGACGTTTACAGCGCCAATGGCGGACGCGTGCTTGCTCTCCAGCTTGAGATACGGCCGAATTGTAATCTTGAACGGCGAGGCCAGTGTTGCACCGCCGAAGGTGCTGTTGCCGCTGCTCGTCATTGACAAAAACAAGTTCTTTAGGTCATCAATCGTGCTACACTCGACAGCTTGAAACTTGTGAGACATGCTCCAGAACGAATACGCCGCAGTGTGTAGTGCCGGTGTGATGGAGTAGGCGATATGAGAGCCGATGGTGTAAAAATTGAGCGCGTCCGCTTTGCCAAGTTGAAACTGCATTAGCATGGCCGACTGGTTGGTTGCGACAGACGCCAAGTGATCGCGGCGGTTCGGCAGATTGGGATGTTTGACCGGGTTAAGAATGCGGCCCTGCAGCGGCAAGCGAACACCAAGCAAGGAGTAGTCGTACGCCACGAGTGGCGGTTTAGGATTGGGCACTGTTTGAGCAATCCGGCTCTTGAATGCGAGGGGTTCGTCCGGCGAGCCGCCGCCCGTACAGAAGCGTACAATGCGCACGACGTTACAGTTCAGACGCTTGGCCCGTTCGTAGTCCTGGACGAGGCTGAACGATGACCATTGTGGGGATGTCAGACCTGGGTACCAGAAGTTGCCGATGATGCTTGTGCGGCCCCGCCGGGCAAGAACGTGTTGTACAAGGTCGTTGTTTCGTTGAAGGTCAAGACTGAGGTACTCGACATTGAGCCGGAGGCCGAGCTCGAGCAGCTCCGTGTCTACACGGTCACGCTCCTCCGGCGGCCTGCTGCGCTCCTCGCGCGGCTTCTCTTCGACATTGTAGATGATAGGAACGGCAAGCTTACGGCGAATCAGAGCGACTTGCCGGGCAATGACACTCAGCAAATCATCTGGCCAATGGTCAATGATCAGCTCCACGCAGTCGCCGCGAGCTTCGAATTCCTCCCATTCCATATCCATGTCGAGTAGGTCGGACAGCCGGAGGCGTAGTGTGTAGGAGTAGGCGCGGAATTCGGGTGGGAGTGCATTAATCGAAAATGGGCTCTCAGCCCATTGTTTTCGCCAGGGCTGCTCCTGGAGCAAGTCGAGGAAGCGCGTGAAGTCTTCCTTGGCGTAGAATAGACGTGACGATGAACCGGCGAGCGGGCTGTTCTTGCCGCTCACAGCACCACTACCGTTGCTGTTTGGCTGATATGGGTCCCAAGGGCTGTTCGTGCCACTGGTGTTCACGGCAGATTCGCCAGATTCGCCATTGCTGCCGGTCGTCGAAGACCGGCCACGGTACGGATCGTAAAGGTTGTAGTACTCGAGGTTGGCGCATTGGCGGTGGCTCTGGTCGGCGCGAAGGAGCTGGTCTGCGTCGGCCGCGTCGAGAAACCGCAGGATCTGTTCGCGCTCCCGGTGCACGTAGATGATGGGATGTGTTTCGCCGTATGCGCGCAATGCGACTTGCGCGTCCTTGGCCAGACTGCTCATACCACACTCGATGATGCATCGTCGGGGGTTGGCGTCGAGCATCTGCCGGAACACCTCTGCATTGCGCTGCGCAAAGGCCTCGCCGCCGTGGCGGGCCAGAAAATGGCCGCGCGAGACACCCGTGACCTGCTCAAAGTAGTGGTCCTCGGTGATGAGCCGTCGCCGCAGGTGCATGGCCCCGATGAAGCCAAGCGTCCGCTTACCAGCACCGCGGCAGCCGACCAGCACAATAGTGGCATCCGGATCGAAAAGCCGCTTATTGGGCGGCGGGGTCGAAAGAGGCACCGCCATGTGGTGGTGAGATGCCTGCGACGTCGCAGAGAACAAATTAAACCTAAAAGTCTCGACAAGTTGGAGCTTGACGCTTGGTATGGAGCCGATATAGGCGGATGGTATATGCCGCCGGCTTTGGCAATCACCACGCTGCCGACAAGAGCTGCCGGTCGGTCGCAGTATGATCACCAGTCGTCTCCAATACCCCCGGGGTGCCTATGCAGCAAGCGACATGAAGTGAGCCAGTTGCTGGGGTTGTGTTGTTCTCAAACAGCTCTTGTGGTCGCCTGCGAGCACACTGGTTTGTGGGGTTGGACGGGGTTCGCGCTGTTAGCTTCCACCGCGTGTTGCGCCTGGATTTCTCAGTGGGAACGAGCGTCGGTATGGTCGGACTTGTTGGTTATGTGTTGTCTTCTTTGTCGCAAGGTTTGTTGATTTTCGTCGACGTGCGTCGACTTGCGTCGAGCTTCTCTCGCCTTCCGTCTCCAGCGTACAAATTGATGGAATGGCACGCGTGTATGTCTTGTGTCGCTGGTGGGTTTTGCGGGGGTGTGCCGTGGCCACAGATTCGCGCAAGCTCGGAGTTGTCTTGGTTGGCATAAGGGTATTGTTTGTGTCCAGGTCCAAAAGCAAAACGCCTTCGAATTTGAGAGATGTCCAGAAAACTGTTTCAAAAATGACAACGAATGCTAGAGTGTAAAGAGGGGAGGCACGACTGGGAGTTTGTCAAAGGCCTTTTTGGGGAGGTACGGAGGGATACAAAAGACCAGTGCCGGCAGGAAGGTCCTTGCGGAATATCTGAAATGCCTTCGGCAGGTGTGATTTTGGTGAATATAGGCAAGACCGCGCACGGCAGTGAGAATGACAGCGCCAACTGCGGCCGTGGTGGAGCAAAACTGGAGCTGGCCGGCTTAACAAATCCCCCATAGCCGCCGCTTCTGCGCACTAATACGCTGGAGTCGCCCCTTCCAAGAGCAGTAATTACGCAGCAGTTTGGACTACATGATAGAAGGCAGCCTCGATGGTGAGGAGCCAATTAGCGGATTGAATCGACCGGTGGAGTAGAGGAGCAGCAAAGAGGAGCGCAAGACCACAGCTGTCAAGAAAGGAAAGTGCAACCAAAAGGAAAGTGCAAACAAGTGAGAGAAAGTGCAGTTGGAAAGAACGAGCTTGTGGAGAAGGCCAGGCACAAGCCAGGAAAGCGCTAGCGACAGACCGTTAGCCCAGCTGCCCAGCTCGCGCTCCAGCAGCCAATGGCAATGCTCCAAAGAGCAATGTGGGGAATAATCCTGTCCGTGGAACAAAGCCGCACACTGAGAACAAGAGCAACGCAGTCCCACCCTTCCATTTTGTACGTCTTGCACGAGGCTGGTCGCGAACCTAACGGGCCTCACGAACACGCAGAAAGGGACTTCAAACGTTTAAAGGCCGTTGACCGCAGACACCATCCGACGAGGCAATTGGCACAAGGGATGCGCAAGACAACCTCACCAGCCTCCAGGTTGCATACGAGTCAGCAATCGCGAACTTGATTGTGCTGCGCGATCTTCAGGGCATGGCATCAGACACATCGCATCTTCGTCGGCGATATCTGCGGTGATAGGCCGGGGACACATTCTCATACTCACTCTCCATGTACGCGGACGCGCGCCTCAGACATCCACTTCTCACCCTGTCCCCGCCCTACATCCGGCTGGGATATGCCGGCGGCTACGCTCATGGACCAAAAAGAGGCGTCCGTCGGGGCGGTGGACGAATCCATCGCTCCCAGTGAGACGACAGAAGGCTCTGCGTCGAATCCCCGCAAAAGGAAGAAGAGCTCCAGAGCGTACGTTCCGTTGTGGAGGCTTCACGACGCTGCGCGGAAGGTGTATCCTCTCGTGCTGCCCTGTGCTGACGAACCTATGTTTAGGTGCGATTTTTGTCACATAAACCACCAGCCTTGCGATGTATGTTGCGGCTACAGCTATGACGCGCCATTTTCGTCACTCTTGCTTCCGCGCAGCTATGCTAACTGCTAACTGCCACGTTTAGAATGCAAAGCCAAGGTGTAGCTACTGCGAGAGGCACGGCAAGTCGTGCTTGTATCTGCGCCCCCAGAAGAAGCGCGGGCCAGCACAGGGCTACCGAAGCGCGCTGCACTCTATGCGCGAGAGCGCTGCGGCATGGGGCGCTGCTCTCAACTTGATACCCAGCCTCGGCCCCGTCATCGAAGGCTACCTTCAAAAAGAGGAGGGCAAACGACTCATCCGAGCGATAAAGGACCCCCAGCAACAGGAGTTCTTCATCCAGTCCTGGCAGCAAAGCTCAGTCTTTAAATCGTTCTTTGGCGACGACGAATCCATAGACAGCGGCGAGGCAGGCGGAGAGGCAGCGGACGCACCTTATGCGCCTCCTGAGCCCTCGTCCAACCCGGCAGAGAGCACTGCCACGAGCAGTGCGGAGACCATCGTGGCCTCAGGCCAACCGCCGTACCACCCAGCGCCGCCGCCCACTGCGACAGGGACAGATGGAAAGCCTCCTCTTGATCTGTTCAATATATCTCTACAACAACCACCACCACCGTTGCCGCACTCCTCCTCTTCCCTCTCATACGCGCCACATCAACATACTCCACAGCAAGCTCATCATCAGCCGACGCCATTATCGTATGATGCAAAACTAGAGTCTTTACTCCATCCTCATTCCGGCGAGCTCTCACAACCACATGACCACTCCATGTTGTCATCTCCAGATGGTATGGGAAGTGGCCTCAACGACATGCACACCTCCTTGTCCGACATTGTGGCCCGAGATGCAGCGAGAGCGTACGTTGAATCCAATATAAGCCGACAGAGCGAAAGCTTCTTGCACACTGCTAACACCAACCTTAGGACAACAAGCTTCTCCCAGACTCTCGGATCGCTTGGCTTTGGCCCGGAAGAAACGTTTAATGACTTCCTGAATATCAGCTACAACCTCGACCCAACAGATACGACAGCAGATCAAGATCCGTTGCTAGGCAGCGAGCTAGACCAGAAAGCATACTATGAGCTTCTCATGGGGCGACAATTCACATAAGGGTAATCGTCTCAAGCATCGTTCCTCACACCAGTCGCCGTAGACCATACTACGATCGAGTTTTAGAACCCGCAGCGACTGTGTAATGGTCAGCTGCGACGAACTTTGTACCTCGCCGAGCACGACTTCATGGTCGAAAATCATAGTCTCCAAGAGCAGGCACCTTGGGAGACGTCATTTTTTGCCGAGGCCGGCCTTGTACCGTTTCGTGACACGAACGTACACCAGTCTAATACAGACATTCGTCAACAGCGACTTTGCGGACAATATGTTGCTGTTGGCGAATTCTGCTTGCTGCAGCCAACGGAAGACAGTTATGGCTTAATTACGGAGTTTTTGGACACTATTTTGGATATTCTATTTTAACTAGCGTTCAAACCTGGAAAGTTCGATTGATTTTAACTAGATGCGCTCCGAAACGCGTTCTCTTTTGCACGCGGATTCAGATATGATATTACGGGGACAAAACATTACAAAAATAAGAAAATGCTGCCACCGGTCACCCCTTGACACTGTTTCAGGTATCAAGATAATCGATACCAACATCTCAACTCTGCAAGACCACTACACCCCGATTGAGTCTAGATCTTATTTGAGATGACGATATCTGCATGTCGTGACTCACTGTTGGGATAGGCGCTTGCTGTGACACACACCGCGGCTTTCACGGCTCCTCCCGCATTTTTGACCTGTTGTGCAACAGCTTACTTTATACAGCATTTGCAACGACATTTAACGTCCTTTCCCACCACCTCCCCCACCTTCTCACGTCGGCATTTCCGTCTTTGTGTGACCTGGGATCTGAAAAGAGCGAGTGCATAACACTTGGTGTTCGCATCGTCAACAGCCGCATTGTTTCTTGCAGGGCAACATTCTGTGTGTCACGTTTCTTTCCCAGCTGGTGGTACAGAAAGAAGAGAGTCTGACCTCCAATCTAGATTGCCTCACCTACCACGATCCGACCATGTCCAGCCAAGACCAGAAGCAGCTCATCAGCTCGGGGTCGGCCTTTGAGGCGCAGATTGGCTACTCGCGTGCGGTCGTCTGCGGCGACTGGGTTTTTGTTTCGGGGTGCACGGGGTACGACTATGCGACCGGCCAGCTCAAGGCCGGTGTCGCCGACCAGGCCGACCAGGCCCTGCACAATATAGCGGCTGCGCTCGCCGACGTGAAGCCGGACGACGAGGGACAATACGGCGTGCCGACCATGGCCGATGTGGTGCGCGTGCGGTACATCTTGCCGGACCGGGCGCTCTTTCCGGCGACATGGCCCGTGCTGCAAAAGTGGTTTGGCGGACCGCAAGGCGCGCGGCCTGCAGCGACCATGATCCAGGCCGGGTTGTTGGAGGAGGCGATGCTCATTGAGATTGAGGTGACGGCACGGCGGCCATGGAAGACGGCGGCGGCGCAGGGCGGCGATCATATGCCGCCGTCTTAGACAGTTGAAGGCATCAGTACTTACTTACTTGACTGTGCAGAATGGAACAAACAGAGCTCGAAGACAAAATTGCAGGTGGTTTTCTGTATTACTACTCAGGAATCTAAAGTAATGTCATACGTAACAAGGTCTCTTGGCTAAATCGGAAACAAGGATGGTAAAACAAATAAGACAAAATAAAAGACGCCTTTAATATCATACAGAAATGCCAGCCAGCCTTCCTCCTACAAAAGAAGAGCGACCAGACCGCCACCAACAAAGGCTGAGGCCATGGTGATGTAGCTGGATATCGAAAACAGCGACATGCCGCTGATGCCGTGACCGGACGTGCAGCCGCCGGCAACGCGCGAGCCGATGGCCATGGTGAAGCCGCCCAGGGCAGCCGTCGCCGGCGAGATGGCACTGGACGCGGCGACTGACGACGGCGACACGCCAAATTGGGGCGCGAGCAGCGCAAACGCCCAGGCGCCGGCGTAGATGGCGAGCGAAAGGGTAATGGAGTTGACGGCAGGGATCTTCTTGGGCGCCGCCGCATCGTCGTTCTTCGTCTTGTCGGAGGAGGACGACGTCGCATAGTACAGCAGCCAGTCGCCGACGTCCTCGTAGACAGTCGAGACGCCCAGCAAGGACTTGCGCGCGGCGACGGAGAACAGCTGCACGAGTCCAATGATCAGGCCGCCGACGACGGGTGAGATCTTGGCGTCCGGGCCGGGGCCGTAGGTGGCCAGGGAGGCACCGACAATGGCGGCGAACGTGACCTCGAGGCCCACGAGAGCCGTGGCCGTGGAGACGCCAGCCAAGGCCTGGATGGTAACGGGCGGCGACGGCGTGGGCTTCTCGGTCTTGGCCAAGCGGGCCTTCTTTGCGCTGTCGATCCGTGGCCGCAGAATGGCCGCCCAGACTGTGCCGCCGAGGAGCCCACCGCCGAGGGCATAGTATCCGGAGCGGATGCCCAGGGCCACCTGGGCCAGCACAGTGCCGGGGCACGCGCCGGACAAGGCCATGCCGGCACCGAGCGCCAGACCACCGACCACATTGCCGTCGTAGGGCGCGAACCAGCCGCGGTCGGCGTATGAGCGTGGAGAGAACTTGGTGTAGTTGATCTTCTGGGCCGTTGTCGTGATAATGGCGCTGGCGGCCGTGGCTGTCAGGAAAGCCTGGAGCATGTGGCAGTTCTCCCACTTGAGCTGGTCGAGGATGACGGCGGGCAGATAGACACCGGACGCGACAAAGGCGGCGCCAAAGGCGGCGCCAGTCACGGCAGTGGCAGCGGCCATTTTGCGCGTGTGTGAGAAAGTTGCAAGAAAGTTGTGGTCCGCGTCTGGCTCAACAGTCAAACCAATGTTATGATGTCACCCAAAGTAGGAAAAAAAGAGCTGGATGTGCCTTCCGAGAAACGGTAAAATAGAAACTGGGTACGAGGTAAGGCCACAGCAAGGCGGAATATAATAAAAGCGCAACAGCCTAACAAGAAAACAAAAAAAAAAAAAAAAGTCAAAATAGTAAGATACGAACTGGGATGAATCTTGGGGGGCTTTTCAAGCGCGAAGAGGCTTTGGCTATTTGAATGCCTCTCGTCGTTTTACGGGGGAACACTCTCAGTATCGTGGTGTGTGTGGTTGTGTGTGTCGACTAATTAGAGCCTTGCTCTGTCCGATCCACCAGGACGGCGAGGTGCCAAAGAAGGCAGGGGTCATTGTAGAGGGAAAGGGACGTGCGCGAAGGGATCAAGCCTAATGGTATCTGACAAGGGCACGTCATCTCCAGACGCAGAAGTTGCCCGCCGAAAGGAGAGACGAAAGGAAAGCCGGCGTCGACAAGAAAAGGCGTGAAAGCATTGTGTGAAGCACAGGCAGGCAGGCCACGAGCGGAAAAGAGCTAGCAGTAAAATATTTTGGCGCGGAACGATCCTGTTTCGGGACTGGCACGAGTCTCTCTGCCCTTCTTTTTTTGTTCTTCTCCCGTTTGTCTTGGTCGCTGGACGGACTCGACCCCCGCCCACGAGTACCTCACACGCTTGCCACCCTGCTTTCGTTGGCTGTCTGTCCCTTGCTAGAATTGCGCGATCCGGATCCGCGATTGCTGGCCTAGCCTCGAGGCAAAGGCGGCGAAACTGGCGAGTCTGGACGGGCGATGGAGGCCAAACGACGGTTATCGGTGCCGGAGGAGAGATGGCGTTAACTGTGCAATTACGCAAGGAGACAGCCGGCAGCGACGATCCAGGAGGCATCACACAGACCAGCACTGTTGAAAAAGGAACTGTTCTGCAGGTCAGACTCCGTCAGAGGGTGGAAAGAGCAGTCAAAAGGAATCCCTTGCCTTCACAGACAGGCTGGAGTCTGTTGTCGGTGTGTAGCCTTCTCGGCAGGCACTGACAGGTGGCCAGGCGTGGCCCACCGACGATTATCCCGTCGCCACTACGCAGTCTCTGCCGGGCACGTTCCTAGTGCGCTTCATACTCTTGCGTGTATTTGTGGTCGTTTGTGCAAGGGTGGTGTTCGGCGACCATCCGGGATTAGCGGGGAACGTACGAAGAGGACGTTTCGGCGTATGGCGCTACCCTTGCTTTGGGATATGTTATCTCGTTTTGTATTTCCGCCGTGTCGCAGTGAAAAATGACACATAGCATATAAGCGGATGGATTTAACGACGAGGATTAGACCAAAAGGAAGTCCATCCCATGTTTCATGGTGGCGGCAGTAGTCAAGCAAACGCGCGGCTGGATCCCTCGCCAGATTGGAGATGTAAAAGACAATGAAGAGTCACATCCAACAAACCAACGGGCACCGATATCCGAAATGCACAAAGTCTTGTTCCTGGAGGTAATTACCAGGTGCACAACCCGGCCCAGTCCGTCTACTGCATAAGTTTTGGGAAAGGCTGAGGCGAGACAAAATGAGACGAGAAACGATAGCACCAAGCCAGGGGTCTCAAAACACGCAAAGCCCATCTAACATGAACGGCCGAGTCTCAGTCCATTGTGTGCCATATGCCTGTCAAGCGGAAGCAGCGCATAAATCAATGACAAAGACCACTGCTGCCAAAGCCCAGTGCCTGTCGTGTCGGCGAGGTCGTGCTTGTACTCCGCTCTCGGAAACGATATCCTAGCGCATGCAGTCTGTTCCAACGGCGTATGATTAAGAAGGGCCAAAGTGGCCGTTACAACATAAAAGCCGTTCGTATCGCGCGGTGATCAGATCGAAGAGAGCAGCGCCACGTCTGTGGCATCTCGCCTTGACGACGGCATCGGCGAGCAGATCCCAGCAGCTCCCAGTCCGGTTTCAGCCTTGCCGATTCACATCAATTGGACGCCCAGGCCCATCAAAATGCCACAGCGGACACCTTTGTGTCTTGCATCAAACGAAGATGGTTGACACTGGGTGTTGAGATTGCTGGACCAAAACTCTCGCCCTACAACGACGCACCTTGTCTATTACGAAGCAAAACCGACCCGGCACGGAGGTGTGCCTGCGATAATGCGGAGACGGCCACAATGTCGATGATGACAAACCCAGCATGCCCGGACGGCTTTGAGTCGGCGGAATGGAGCGTCGCGATTCTATCATTTTGTGTTCCATTCGCTGGATTTGCCCGCAAATCGATTGCCTGTGGTCCCGTGTTTCGGCCTCCGAATGCACTCGCGTTTGTCTTGCGTCGGACTACGTCGTATCTTTGCTTTGCAATGAACCTGGCGCCCAATAGCACGCCGTCAGCCGTCTCGTCGCTTTTGTAACAGGGTTTGTGAAGGCTTTGCCGAGGTTGATGATAATTGCTGTTGGGCAACAAATGCGGGGAACAATGTTCGGCCCGCTGTTCGACGGTGCGTCAGCGGCCGTCGTTGCCCAGCCTTGTGCCATTGGCCCGGCTCAAAGCTCTGTAAGCTTTGCTTCGCAGTAATACAGTAATACGGCATTGGAAGCATTCGGTCTGACCCCCATGGCAACAGGCAGTCATCGATGGCTTGTCTACAGCATCAAGTGTCAAACAAAATAACCCCTAGATTGGAAAGAGCCTTTTTAAACCCACCTGCCTCGCGAACTTCGCGTCGTCTCCATTGCTCTTTCCATAGTCAACATACTCCCTCTGCTTCCCAAAACTCTCCCAAATCGCCCAAATCGCCCAGAATGCCTCTTTCCCTCATTATCGAGAAGGTCGATGGCAAGCCCGGCCAGGTGCACTACCCGTAGGTGCTCCCCCCCTCCTCCTGATTCTCGGCCTGTTTTCAGTGGTCAATTATACTCATTGCTTCCACTCAGTCTCAAGCTCAAGGAGGTATCCAAGCCCACGCCGGGTCCCGGTGAGTTGTTGGTGCGCATCCGTGCCGCCGCCCTGAACCACCGTGATGTGTTCATCCGTCAGAATCTGTACCCCGGCATCTCGTTTGAGAACCCGCTGTTTGCCGATGGCTGTGGCGTCGTCGAGGCGGTCGGTTCTGGCTGCAAGCGCGCCGAGGTCGCCCAGGTCGGCGCCGCCGTCGTGATGGCCCCCTGCCGCGGCTGGACGTCGGACCCTGATGGCCCGGAGGAGTACAACAAATTCTCCGCCCTGGGCGGCGCTGTGGGCGTCGATGCCGGCATGGGTACCGAGTACCTGAGCGTGCCCGAGGACGAGCTCGAGCTGGCCCCCGCGCACCTGTCGCCTGCCGAGGTCGCTGCGATGCCGCTGGTCGGCTTGACGGCCTGGCGCGCGCTGGTCACCAAGAGCAACGTTGTCAGCACGGCGCAGCCTGCGGGCGGCCGCAACGTGCTGGTCACGGGCATCGGCGGTGGCGTCGCCATTGCCGCGACGCAGCTGGCCATGGCCCACGGTTGCCGCGTGTACGTGACGTCGGGCGACCCGGCCAAGCTGCAGCGTGCACAGAACGAGCTGGGCGTGGCCGGCGGTGTGAACTACAAGGACGCCGACTGGGACAAGCAGCTGCTCAAGCTGCTGCCCACGGAGCGCCCGCAATTCGATGCCATCATTGACGGCGCTGGCGGCGACATTATCAAGCGCGCAGTGCGTCTGCTGCGGCCCGGCGGCGTCGTGTCGTCGTACGGCATGACGGTGAGCCCCAAGATGGACTGGCTGATGTCGGCAGTGCTGCGCAACATTGAGCTCAAGGGCTCGACAATGGGCTCGCGCGACGAGTTCCGCGCCATGGTGGCATTTGTGCGCGAGCACAAGATCCGGCCCGTTGTCAGCCGCATCGTGTATGGTGGCCTGTCAGAGGCCAACCTGCCGGCCATTGACGGTCTCTTTGACGACATCAAGGAGGGGCGGCAGTTTGGCAAGGTGGTGTTGTCGTTTGACCAGGAGGCCTCGACCTCGGGACGAGACTCGCCGTCCAAGCTGTAGAGCGACTTGCACACGTGAAACGGCACCAATGTATATGCTGAAGGAAAGAAGAAAGAATGTATAAACAGGATGCCTTTGAAATGATTCTCGCATAGTATAAAATTTATAAACGACCTAAATAAAAAGTGAGGAGAAAACGTATACCGTAAGACACCACAGGAATATATGCAAAACACCGCGTGGCAAAAGGTTCTGCCAGGGGAGGGAAACAAAGTCGAAGACAAATGAAAAATGAAAAAAAAAGACGCTCATGATCTGTCCATGCCCTCTCAATCCTCGTCGGCCGGCTCGACCTCCTTGGTCTTCCGCTTCTTCTTCTTCCGCTTCTCGTCGCCCTCCTCTGGTGGCACAAAGTCGCGCTCGCGCTCGCGCTTCTTCTCCTTTTTCCGCTCCTGCGCCTGCTCTTGCCGCTCCGTCTCCGCCGCCCGCTGCTTGGCCTGCTTGCTGAGGAAGTACTCGCCCGACTCGATCTGCAGGTCCACCTTGCTCTTCTCCGGCGCCGGCGGGAACGCCGTGTACGTCTTCTTGGCCTTGTCCGTGACGTGGTGCGGCACGCGCCGCTTGCTCAGCACGCGCTTCTTGAAGTTGGGCAGGAACCGGTCCCAGCTCTCGTTGGCCAGTGCGGGGTCCTTGGCCAGCTCGCGCTTGATCATGAGCTCCTTGATCATGTAGATGGGGTGGATGTTGTTCATGCAGTCTTCCACCACGCGCCGCACCTCCTTGAGGCCCTTGTAGGGCCCCATGACGGACACCGTGCCGCCCTGCACCAGAATGTAGGTTTCCGTCAAGATCTCGAGCGCCTTGAGCGTCGAGCCGTGCGGGCCCAGGATCCGCTGCCGCCGCTTCACGAACCGCTCCTTGTTGCGCACGAGGCTGCGGATTTTGATAATGTCGGCCGCCACGCCGTCCTCGAGGATGCGCAGCGCCTGGGGCGCGGGTACAGACCGCGACAGCAGGCGGATCAGGTCGCGCGCATTCAGGATCGCCGCCGGGTCGTAGGTGCGGCGGGTGGTCTTGACCGTCATGGTACCCGTGACCAAGTCGAGTTCGCAGGCAATGCCGCGCGCCTGCAGTGCTCGCGTGATGCCCGCCCAGGCCTCCCGCAGGTACACTTCGCGGTACTTGGGGAAGAGGACGGCAAACGACGACTCCTCGAGAAAGCTGCCCGCCTTGTTGTCCTCGGGCTTGAAGGCATCCTCCTTCCACTTGTCAATGTCATCCGTGTCCCACGGCTTGTCCTTGTTCTGGGTCGACGGCATTTTCAGAGGCAGGTAACGAGAGTCGGCGGAGAGTCGGTAGATATGTATAGGGATATGTATAGGTGGGAAATATTGGCCGGAGTAATGGGGAGACTCGACGTTGGCGAGCTTGGGCCTTGGGTGTCAACAGACTAGACGGTGAACTGTCGCAACTTGCGGTTGGAGATGGTATTAAAATGCTGATACGAAGATGAAAGGTCGCTGGGCAAACCAAAAAAAAAGAGTATCGATAACGATTAGAGGGACCTGTTCCGCCTTTTTTCCTATTCTTTTTTGGCGCTTTCCCTTTTTAGGAAGACTGCAATTCGTCCAATGAGAGGCATATCTGCTTATACAGTATTTATATAGTGTTAAGACAGTGTGCACACGGTATGAAAATTTTCGAGACAGCCTGACAGGTTTCTGATAGCATCGATCTTCTCCCAGGTCCACCGATAAGCCGTATTAAGGCAGAAGACATCGGCGATTCTAGAGGCTCTTTTATCGATAATGATTATCTAGGCGTTCCTAGCAACATGTTGTCTGAAGGCCCTTTTTAAATCTATTCTTTTCGAGTGCGCACTTTGACTGAACGCATACGCTACGAATGCAACGTATCACTCTGCCGAATGTATGTCATATGTGCGGCTTGACGGGCAGGGCAAGTGAAAGAGTACTCTCTGCACGGAGGGAGAAGCCGCTTGACGTCCACACCGGGTGGAGCGCCCTGCAGGGGATCCCATGCGCTGTGATTGAGCCGATGGGCCGCCGATAGACAATTCCTTTCACTTTTGAAAGACCAATGGGTCGTGCCAGCATACCGTATCGGACTGCGATTGTCTACCGAGCTGCCCACGGATGAAAACGTGGTCACCCCGGTCACATTTTTTCGCATTAGTTCTGGACGTATCTCGCCTCTGTAGTCGCCTCTCAAGTTGCCTCATGTTTCTGCACCGTATCTTATCATGTACCTTCAAGGAAGCTCCTTCCTTCCTCGCATCGGCATTGGCCCCGTCATCTCTCCGTAGCGAGTCACGTACGCTCTCGCTGCTGACTGTCCGGCGCATTTACCTCCCTGGAACTAGCAGTTGCGACCGCTAAACATCGAAAAAGGTGCTAACCCGCAAGCACGCGGGCGCTCTGGGCAACTTGGCCGTGTGCCTGGACAGAGGCCGCATTTCTTTATTTTCAGCGCTATTGGGTACTCGGTACACCACTGCCTTATCATTTCCCACCCACACCAGCTCCACTTTTCCATCCCCCCGACTAAAAAAATAGTTAAAAAAAATCTAATCCACATTGTGTAATCTCATATCGGCTCGAGCGATAAAGGTTTTTCATGGGCCTCCCTTATCATCTGGCCGCCGTCCACCACCACCTTCGCAATAACACCCCCCCTTTAGATGCGCAACTGGTTCCTTATCCTCTCGCATGCCCGTTGATCACGAAAAATCCGATAAAATACAGCATCGCAAGTACCAACGACACTACGACAACATACATTTCAACAGAAAATACATACATTTAAAGCACAATGGCGACCATGGCGAACCACGATCGCGAGACATCGCTTCCAATATGCCAGAACTGCTCGACGTCGACAACGCCGCTATGGCGACGCGACGAGATGGGCTCCGTGCTGTGCAATGCCTGCGGTCTCTTCCTCAAGCTGCACGGCCGCCCGCGACCGATATCCCTCAAGACCGATGTGATCAAGAGCCGGAACCGCGTCAAGACGTCGATGCGCCCGGACATGCTGAAGAAAAAGGTTGGTGCTTTTTGTTGTTTTAGTTGACTATTTTCCGAGGGGCGACATCGTCGGATAAGGGATCGAGATATCGCGCCTCAGTGCAAACTGGCGGGGCAGACTCGAGGCGCATCTGCGCGCGCTGTCTTTCGCACCGCACGACGATTGTTTTGTCTTTGATTTTTTGGTGCTTTCTATATGCTCATACGCGATTTCTTTCTCCCACAAACAGAATAATGCCGCTGCTGCAGCCGCTGCAGCCGCCGCCGCCGCCGCGACCATGGTCGGCGATCCGAACGGCGTCGTCGACCTCCAGAGCCATGCCTATGCCGCCACTGCCGCCCTCTCGCGACGCACACCCCAGAAGGGCGCTAACGGCCACCACCTTGACACCGACTCGCCCATGTCCGGCGCCGGCACCCCCAGCATATACAACGCCCATCCCTCCTCCTCCTACCCCATCCTCGACGACGGCAACTACCAGGGCCAACACCTGCAGGCGTTTGCCACGGCCGGCGACGGGTCCGGCCAGCACGACGCGAACGGCGACGGCGGCCCCCAGACGTCGGATCAACTGGCCGCGACAAATTCCAGCTTGAAGACGCGGGTCGCCGAGCTCGAGGTCATCAACGACTTTATCACGCGACGCCTAGGCCACTACGAACCTGTGTACGGCAGCGGTGTCGGCCAAGACGGCCAGGACGGCCAGGACGGTGCTCAGCAGGGCGACGAGACGCAGCTGCGGTCGCAAATCGAGCTCTTGACGCAGTCGGAGCGGCAACTGCGCGCCGATCTGGAGGAGGGCCACCGCCGCGAGAATATGATGAAGCGCCGCCTCGACGAGCTCGAGCAGGAGCTCAAGGAGGCCAAGGATGCCCTCGGTGTCTACGAGGGCGACCGCGCAAAACGGCCACGCCTTGGCGAGGCCTCCACGTCCCTGTCGGGAACGGCAGCCGACGCGTTGACTGCTGCTGCTGCTGTTGCTGCCGATGCCGATGCCGGCGATCCATCTGAGGCTGCGGCGCCGACGGCGGACGGTGTGACCGCCGCTGCGACTGCCGCTGCTGTGGCTGCTGCCGTTACTGCCGCGGCATCCACGGAAGCGGCGGCCGAGACTACCACACCGGCCATCGCCGACGAGGCCAAGCCGGAGCCTGTCGCGGCGGACACCAACGATGCCGGCGCATTAGATGCTGAGGCCGCCTCTACGGCGCTTGCTGCACTGACGGCCGCCACGGCAGACAATGCGCTGGAGAACGCGTCGGCACAAGATGTGGCCGCTGCTGCTGCTGCGGTCGCTGCTGTGGCCAGCGATGCGGCGCGGAACGCCACTGAAGGTCCCACGTCGCCGAAGCCATAGGGGGCGGGGGTCGTACTAGAAAACCGCACGCAACAACAAAGCTACTTCTAGCCTGCCCCTATGATTTGCAATACTCGTTTGCTCCCCGTCTTACGTCCTGCACACATTGTGTCTTTGTCTGCTTTCTTTTCGCTGTCTGTCTTTTCAACTTGCTTTTTGATTCCCTTGATAAATAACGACGAATGCTTTTATTTCTTTTAGCAACACACGAAACATCTCATAATCGATCAACAAACTTGGGTGTTGCGACAAAAAAGCACGACGGGGGAGCGGCAGCCGTACTATCTCTCCCACTCTGTCCTTCTGTTTCCTACCTCTGTTCCCTTTTTTTATTTTTATTTTTATTTTTTGGCTTTTCAGTCTCATTTGTATTATACACATACCTGTCCTGGAGGGGCGGTTTCCAATAATGTTCTTTATTTTTTGGTCATGCGCTGTTGGTGTTTTTAGGTTGCCTCATACGACCCGTTTTCATTTTGTTTTTATAACTGTCGTTTTTTTTTTTTAATATGTTTTCTTGGAACGTTTCCTATTTACCACAAGCTGGAAAGTGCACAAAAAGGAGTGGTGTTTATTTATTGTGTTGACTTGTTGCATGTTCTTTACAACATATTTTGAAAAGGAGGGAATAGAAAAAAAGGTTAGGTTTACTTCAAAAAGGGGAGATGGTTTTGTCTGCTTTGTATCGTATGCACCGTGTAGCTTTTGGTTTCCTCTTATACCACCTTAAACGAAATGTTTATTCTCGGACTCAAAAGGTTTCAGTAATATTTCTCAATGAATAGGCGAGGGTATCGTATGTTGTATCCTTGGGCATATCATCTAAAGTCCGCGGCTGTTTGTTTCCTCATAAATGCGCCAGCAAATACAGTACCAGAAATAAAAATACATGCTGTAATATCGGTTTCCCTCCTCCGCCAAAAATCATGTCCCATTATCCACCAAGTCTCTCTATCTCTCGGAAGATATTTATTGTAAGAGTCAGAGCCCACGACACTAGTCCAATCAGCTCGAAGGCACCCAGTGCCCTGAGCAGGCCCTGACTGGATGCGGTGTTAAAAAAGACCATGGCTTCGAACCCGAGTGCCGTACTCGCCGACTTGAATATGATAAAGAACAAGTCGGTAAGAATGAGTCGGATACGCGCCTGTGGGGGACGCAGGCCCAGCGGCTTGCCCGTATAGTCATCAAAGGTAATGTATCCAATGTATGGGATGGCCACGACGTCAACGACGATCGCGACGATAATCTGGTTTCGTTCTTGCTGCATGTTCGCCAGCCACACACTGTTAAAGTCCGTACTTGTCCGGTCGCCTTCGCCGAATAAACGCCCGAGCCGCTCGCGCTTGAAGATGGTGATGGCGATGATAAGAGCAACCAGGGATGTGGACAAAACCACCAGACGGCAGGCGAGCGGTCCTAGTGGGTGGTGCAGCAGCGTCTGCCAGATTCGCACATAAAACGCTTTGTCCGAGTACTTGGATCGGTGGTTGTTGTGGTGGAAGTGCCCGTCACCGTCGCCAACCTTGGGCGGCAGGTGAACGTTGTAGCCAAAGTCAGGGTTCAGCCGGGCCATCTCCTCATCGCCTATGACTTCCGACTTCTCATTCGGCGAGTGTGGGTAGCGCGACGACTCGATGAAGCTGCGCCATTGTGTCTCAGGGTTGTACCACCACGCATGTCTGGTCCTTGTCGTTGACGACTGTTTCTGTGGTGTCGGTATGGCGTGTGGCGACGCGCCCGAAGCCGAGGCCGATGGTGTGGCTGCGGTCGAGGCGGGCCGTAAAGTTGCTGCCGCCGCTGTTGGTGGGGTCAAGGACGCAGCCTCCGCCGCGATGACATCTGCTGCGAGCTCTTCTCTCGCTACCTGGATCGTCCCATCGCTGTGAATCCTCTCCACCCTTGGCTGCCTCATATTGTCTATGTAGGGCTCGTCTGCGTCCTCACTCTGGCCGTAATTTATAGGGCCATTGACGACGTGAAACTGAGGCACGATAACTGGTTCCGAAGACCGAAGATGGTCCCATTTACGGCCTTCTTTGCTCTGGAACAGATGAGACAAGCGATGCCCTATGCCGCGGTCATGGTTCTCTTCTTTGCCTGTTATCGCCTTGCCCGCCGTGTCTGCTGTGTGTGCCGCGCCGTCTACCGCCCGGTTGCCGCCTGCAGCGGCTCCGCTCATCACCGGGTTGTCGTCATTCCGCTCACGGTCATTGTTTTCGTCAATATGGTCCCGGGCCGCCCCGCTGCGTTTATGTCGTGGGTCGGACGGCGCGTGGTTGTGCTGTGGATGAAGAGACTCCGGCGGCCGCTGGATGACCCAAGCTAAACAAGGAAAGCGAATATACCACGCGTCAGCCTTCTCCAAATCATGTCTTGTTTTTTTTCCGCCCGAGCGCGTACTGGCTCCGACTGAAGGCTGCAGGGATCATAACAAGTACGACAGAAACTTACGAGGAATGGTCCTCACGGTCCCTGGAGCCATTGGCAGACGAGGCGACCGATCCACAGACCGGGACGCCAGGAACGTTAAATGCTGAGAGCTCGAAGCCGATATCGCCAGATGGATCGCCGCTGGTGGTCAGGTATGACGAATTGTGAAAGATGGCGATGATGATGCGTGCGCGGCGAAAGAAAGAGGTTGGCGGCTCGCCTCGTGTTAGCCGAGGGCACACGTCCTCGTAAACAAACGACGTCAACGGACAGGCCAAATGAGACAGCTAGGGCAAAGGTGTGCTGTGCGACGTAGAGCGCCGTGCGGACGGCGCGAAAATCGTATGCACGATCAAAGACAAATCTGGGGTAACAAAGAAGGAAAAGGACGAGGAGAAAGGAACGACGGCGACAGAAGCCTAGCCTTCCGAAACTGGGTGAATTTCTCGCAGCCAAGTAAGAACTGCCTTTGCAAAGCACTTTCCTTTTTTGATGGTTTTTTTGGCAGCATGCGCCTACCCTGTCATGATAATTTATTCAGTCCAGCGGGCGGGTCTGTCACCTGGAGAGGTCGTTGCACAGGAGAACTGGCTCCGGTTAGGCCTACATGCCGAGCTTGGCACGATAAACTGTGGGCTGTAATATGGCCTAGCGCCACAGAGCTGGCCAGGCCCGTGCTAGGTTGCATGGTGCACAAACTGCTGCGATAGTCAGAGAAGATGGCCTAAAACCTAGCGCATGGTGGATCTCGATTGCGGCGACAGGCGAGGAAAAAGCAACTGCAGCCTGTGCCTGGACAGTATTACTGGTGTAGATGCGTGGCAAGACAAAATTCTAGAATGCGGTCTTACATGATGACTGGCTGATTCAACGAAGATCTCTTACAAAAGCGGCCAAAATAGAAAAGCGATGCAAGTACTTCGTACGACACATATGATTACTGTAAAATGCTGACTGGTGCCCTAAGCCAGGATTAAGCAATACCTAAGAGGAAGCTACTCGGACTTAATAGTGCTGGGAGGGCTCGGAGGGTTGCAAAAGGATTACCACCACAGAGAGGGGGCCCCGCAGCAAGCTCAAGGATGCCCCAAATGGACCACTCACAGGCCGCAGCTAGCCAACATGTCGTCATGCTTTGGGCCTGGAACGCGGTCGCGGCCAGACGGCGAGTGGCATGCGGAGCGTGCTGGGAAGATGACGCCGGACAGGTCAGGCCAACTTTATTCCCAAACCAAGCTTCAACCTCTTATATCGATTATGAGAAAATTTTCGACGCGCAACAAGAAATCAAACAACGACTAATTGGGCCAACAGAACGAGAGACCAACCATAGAAGAGCGCGGAACGGAACGAGGATCAGCTTTCTGTGAAGCCAAAAGACCAAAAAAAGCGTAAAAGCAGGTTACATTTGCCGTCTTTTTCGTCGTCTCGACCAACCTTTCGCCCTACCTTGAGAGAGGGCACGGAGCGAAGTGGTGTCAATTGGGGTCCGTTTGAGCTCGATCCGGCCGCCATTGTCGAACCGGGAGTGCGGACAAGCAAACGACGAGCTTCCACAATTGGTAGCATTGGCAGGACTTGGCCTTGGTCGTCCTACCCAGCAAGATACACGGCTCCCGCCTTGGCCCAAGCCTCCGACACCGCGACACTACCCCAGGCGCAACCCCAGGCGCAACCCCAGACGCCGCTACAATGCGCCTCTTCCTCCTTCCAATCTCTACGCGGCGCACGCTGCTCTATTGCGAGCGCCTGACCGAGCCGCTCCCTCACCAGATGTCCCTCATGGACAAGGTCCAAAACCGGGCCGCCAAGATGTGGTCCGGCTGGGAGAAGAAGCCACCGGGCAGCCTGATGCACCGCATTGTGTCCTCGGGCAACGCCGGTCTGCGACGCATTGCCTTTGAGGAGTGGGGGCTCAAGTCGGTGCCGCCTCTCTCGGCACGGAAGCGGATGGAAGAAGCGGCCGCTCGGGCGATCGAGGAGGACAAGGAGAACAAGAAGAATACGGATGCGGACGGGGTGGGTACAAAGGACACCAAAACGGCCGTCGCCAAAGGCTTCGACTCAAAATCGGTCGACGTTGTCTATCCGTCGTCCGTCATCCCCTCTACGTCTGTGGAGGCGCTGCTGACCAGGCTGGGCACCGAGCGCGAGGATCTGCACCGGAAGCGGCTGATCTGGTGCTTTGTCGGCATGCCCATCACGGCGCCGTTTGTCCTCGTCCCTGTCATCCCCAATATTCCCTTTTTTACCTGGCCTACCGCGCGTGGTCGCACTGGCGGGCGCTCTCCGGCAGCAAACACATCCAGCACCTGCTGGCGAACAAGGGCCTCGTCTATACGTCATCGCCGATTCTCGATGCTATCTACGACAAGGAGAAATCCGTTATGGGAGAGACAAAGCCAGTTGGAACGCAGATACGCCGCGAGGCCGACAGCAACGGCAGTGCTGTGAGCCACGACGAAGCAGAACCGGAACGACTGCTCCTGTCAAACCCGAGCGGCAGCAAAGGCATTGCGGACGCGTTCAATGCGCCGTCCCTCGAGCTCGAGCTAGAGCGGGCCATTTGGCAGGTAGAGACAGCCCTAGCGAAGGAGCGCGGGGTGAAGAGGAAGAATGAGGAGCAGACGAAGCAACAAGGACCGGATGCACACGCAAATGTTGGGACCGAGACAGCAGAACGACAGACAATACCAGAGAAGCAACACCCATCACCAGAACAGTGGGCCGGGCCACCAACTGCACCAGCAAAGGGAAAGGACAAGGCCAACTGATTCGAGACGGCATTGGAGGAAGTGAGGGGAGCGAGGGCGCAGAAGGCCGGGGATGTGCGTTGAGACAAAAACGAGGCGCAATTTCCGTGGGGACCACGATATGGACTACATGATACTATTTTTATTTTGCGTCTTGGACGGGCTGCGTTGTCGTTTTATACATAGACTGGATCGGAGAGCGGACACATGAGGGACATAGACTCCTCTCGACAAACTTGCACATACACACGATATACTCACCTACATATACAACATACACACCGTACAACAATGGCAGACGACGTGACACGAAATCATACCCGGCCGGACCGGGAGGACTGGGAGCGCCGGCACTCTTGCAGTTGGAGGTGGATCGGCGGTCGGTAGCTCAACTTGACCGACCGGTCGGGTCTATGGTTGAGCGCTTTTTACGGAGTACAATGCCTACCTCGTTTTCGTTTTTGTCAATTTTGGACGCCGTCCGGGCCACTTTCTGTAACAGTGGGCCCGTCTACTCGGTACAAAGTATCCAGTTATCTTTATGGAGGGAGAGAAGGACATCGAGCGAGGCGGAAGGAATTTCATGATACGGGGCAATTGCAATGGAGTAATTACAACATATTCTGCTTCTAACCACCACCGGTCGACCGCGTAGCCTCTCCCGTTAAACACCCTGGCTCTGGACCAGAAATCCGAAGCACGACGTTCTTGAAATTGGACTATCTAGGCGCGGTACGGAGTTCAACTAAACCAATATCGGTAATCTGTCTGTGTAGACAACATACCGTACATTCGTACGAGCCACAGAGCTAGCATTTTCACTATACTGCGCAAGTCCCGACTCTTCCGCTCGCCGATCCCGATCTCCAGCAAAACGCAACACTAACACGGACATTCTCGGTTTGAGCGACTCGCTTAAAAATCCGTTACGGCCCTCGGGGACGCATCAAATACGACTTTGCAAACAGGCCTCCTTCGGGGTGTGAAGGAGCTGGTGTGCACACAAAGTCGGCCCAAGTCATTTTTTTCATCGATTTGGCAGTACTCGAGAGTGCGGCCGGTGCGTCGTGCATTGGTCCTTTCAATTGTCACTTGTGCCATCAGCCTTGCAAGAGCCACGATTTAAGGAATATGGAACCGCACCTGATTCGCTTAACTGCTTAACAGTTAAAGGCAAGAGACTCGTGCCTTCCTCGACTGTAGCATCGATGCTGTACGGTTTATGTCTTCATGTTTGGCTTTTCGTTCTTGGCAGGTACATTGGGCACCTCCGTTAACAGCAGAAGAGGCGCCATAAGCCTGAAAGTGTCCGAACGTTGGAAAGGGCAAGAGCAGATCAAATGATTAATCAAGCTATTTTGGCCGCCGGGGCCGAAAGTTGGCGGCCCAAGCTCTGAAACCCACCACCTGAGCAATAACCAGAACAACAAGTATAAAAACAACCGTCTTTCGGTGACAAATGCTGCTGGCAAAGACTTGAGGACCCGACGCGAAGGCTGTTTTCGGACGTAACAAAAGAATACCTGGCCATAACATGAACTTCAGAGACATGGGCATCGCATCTTCCGTGACCTTTGTGCCCAGCGGAAGGAGAATATCCCAAATCAGGGTCGCTTCTACTGATCATTCTCGAATCAGCCGTATTCTATCGCTGTCAAACTGAGCAGGAAAACAGTGAATCACATGGAAATTTCTTACGTCGGTCCCGGCCACGGTGTTGTGCGATCCTGCGCTAGTCCTATTTTCTCGCCCGCTGCGGAGTAACATATATCACCGTACGACATGCGGCGTGCTACAACTAGACCGGCTTCAGGCAGTGTCTTTCGTAGGCCCACACTTTTCCTCCATCCCGGCCTGAACGCCCCTTTCAACCACGCTGGCCTGGCCTGGCGCTTTACGCCGCATCTGTGCTCCTTCCCCTCAAATTCCTTGCACTGGCTTGAGCACCTCTCGGGGCCTCTCCTCCACTAAAACCCCTTTCCCCCATCGCGGCTGCCTTGGCTGGTGGACAGAGTATTACGTCGTAATTCCTCGTACTGAGGCGCTCGTCGTGTGCTTTGTTCCTATTTGCAAGAACAGGTCGTGCGCTTAGCAGCGCAAGATACTTTGTGCAAGTACTTGATTTCGCGGAGAACGCAAACATCATTTCCGGACTTGTGCCTCGAGGTAATCTGTTTTTGTCATAACTCGCATCGTTCTTTCCCCGTCCAAAAGGTCCAACCCGTTTCACGCCACCACGAGGCAGGAACTTTTTGCACTTGTATTGCAGCAGCATACGTCGCAAAGAGACGGAAGGAGCCAACGAACTAGCACCGGCGTTGACTTTTCGTCTCCCTTCTCCATCGTCGATGCCCCGCCGCGATTCTGTCTTTTGCCCTTCTTCTTGCTCACTAGCTTCATTCAATCCGCTGCTCTGTGCACTTCGTCATTCTTTTCCTCTCCGTCATTCTTCTTTCTTCTGCTTTCAGGCACATCCCTGTTTCGATATCCAGGGTTCTCTTAAGACACTCAACTGGTGTTCCTGTTATCTCTCCTCCCCTCACCCTCCTGTCCTTCGTCGGAACACTTGAAGTTGCACCCATCGACACCTTCACAGTCGGCATTTTGCCGACCTTGTTGCCTTGACTATTTGCGCAGTGTCTATCTCCGCCCCTTTTGCGTCCTTCGTCCAGATTCGACACCCACTTCATCACCCACGGCGAGTCAGCACTTGTCCCACCTGTCGCGTTTCCACGGTGTATTGCTCTCCTTGCAGCCAGCGTCCAGCTTGCAGCACGTGTCGCAAGAGGTACCTTTCCTCGCCTGCTACTGCTCCGAGACGTCTGCGACGCACCGGTTTCGACCCGGCAACGGGGTACCAAGAAAAGGCCGTACTCGTCCGTACCCATCCGCACAGAGCAACATCCAAACGACGGCTGCAACATCGACTCCCGCGTACCATCTCGTGGCCATTGTAGGACGACGACTGCTTTCGTCCGAGACAATCGACGTTTCGTTTCTTCCCCACATCTCATTCGTACCAGCAACGTATTGACGGCTTCCCTTCTATCAAATCATTCGTACAACCGCCCATCACCAAAGCTCCTTACCAACGACATCGACCTAGAGTTTGGATCACGTCGGCACTATGGACATCGATTCGCCCATGGAAGACGGTGCGCAGTCGCAGCAGGGGCAGCACGCGCCGTCATCGCCCTCCAGACAGGGCTTTGCTGCGACTGAAGCGACCAACCAACAGGGCGCACAGTCGGCACAGGACCAGTCTTCGAACCAGTCGGGAGCCAACCATCTCAGCTTCAGAAGGTAAGAATTGCATTCTTTGTCTCGTCTTGTTATGAGGGTTCTAGAGTGTTATGGTCATCCGTTCCGGTACCCAACTTTTGTAAAACGTCGCAGTGCGCGAAGACGTCTTTTGGCTATGGCCTCGCGGTCGTGGTCATCACTGCAGGTCTTGGGTGTCGAGCCTGCATCTGCATGATGAGGAGGGTGACAAAGCTCGAAATCAGATGGAAACAAATGGTGGTAAAGAGAAATGACCATTTTCTAACACGGTTTCTTCCGCAGGCAACGAGCATCGAGAGCATGTGAGGTTCGTTTTCCCCGGATTTTTCCTTTCTTCGACTCTTTTTCTTTTCTTCTCTTTCGCTCCAATCCCGGACTTCATCACACTATTATATTGCGGCCCGTTGCGAGCCGGCTTGGAGCTGCCCTCCTTCCCGTCGGTTATTGATGACCTCCGTCTGAGCCGAGGCAACTTCTTTTACGATCCTCCTGCAGTCTCACACTCCAAACTCCGATGCCTCTCATTCGCTACCACAACCCCTTCTCTCCGCAAGCACGCGCCTCCTACCCCCCTTCACTCCTCCCCGTATTTCGGGATCGTCCTTGTTATCCTGACTTATGCTCAAATGCTTGCAATTTGGCCCCTTGGCATAACCTCTTGACATTTCCTCATGACGTTTGACTACTTCCCAAATTAGAAGTTTTATGCTGACGATACCTCGTGACAGACATGCCATGCGAGAAAGGTATGAATACCGTACGGCAGATACGCCACAACACTCCTTACGTCCAGTGCACTCCCGAGGCACATATCAGATCCACATAGGCCTTGACGCCAATGAGGGGTTGCAGATGGCAACTCGGAGCTTGACCTGGGCCCTCGATCCGTTTCCATTCCTCCGTCTTTTATCAACACTCTTGTGATGCAAGAACGTCTTGATCTTGAAGAAATCCTAACATTGTGACATCATATAGGTTCGATGTGATGCCGCTAGTCTCGGTATCCCTTGCACAAACTGTGTCGCGTTCAACATCGAGTGCAGAATTCCAGCTCCGAAACGCAAGAAGGCAGCCACTCAAGCGACCCCATCAACGGGTAGATCAGCGTCAAAGGACTCAGACAGGTGTGTTTATAAAGCGCTTTCTGCATAGAGCGATACCTGTAGCACGTTTGATGTGTCTTGTAAGAGTATCCTATTCTGACAATGTCCATTTAGCGAGCGCGGCGACCCGACCGACGACAGATCGCCGCAGGCAAGTAGTGTTGCAGCATCCAATGCATCGGGAATTACACCGACCACCAACGCCACTATTGGGAACTTCCGTCCGCCGGCCATTTACCACACCGCTGAAGGCACCCCGTCGAGTGCCGTGACGGAGCTTCAAGCGAAGCAGCAAGAAGCCGATAACAGCACATACGTCAACATTCTTATGAAGCCCCGGTTCACGAGAGCGCCCATCACGGAGGCCGGCCGTGTTGCCTATCTCGGCGAGTCGTCCAACTTGACCTTGCTGGTACACGACCAGGCTGGCTCGACCGATGTCGTCCACTACCCGCTGCCTGAGAATGTGCGCGGTTCGCGTGCACGTCTCACCGAGTTAGACAATGTTGAGATTGATATTTTGCACCAACGGGGCGCATTCTTGCTCCCTCCACGCGACCTGTGCGACGAGCTGATTGATGCCTACTTCAAGTGGGTGCACCCGATCGTTCCGGCCATCAACCGTACACGCTTTATGCGCCAGTATCGCGACACAAACAACCCCCCCTCACTCCTGCTGCTCCAAGCCGTCCTCCTCGCCGGCTCACGCGTCTGCAAGAATCCGAAACTTATGGATGCCAACGGCTCCACGACACCGGCCGCCCTGACGTTTTACAAGCGCGCCAAAGCTCTCTACGACGCCAACTACGAAGACGACCGTGTTACCATTGTGCAATCGCTACTTCTGATGGGCTGGTACTGGGAAGGTCCGGAAGACGTCACCAAGAACGTTTTCTACTGGAGCCGCGTCGCCACCATTGTGGCGCAGGGCTCTGGTATGCACCGAAGTGTGGAAGACTCGCAACTGAGCACGACCGACAAGCGCTTATGGAAGCGTATTTGGTGGACGCTCTTTACGCGCGATCGCTCGGTTGCTGTTGCTCTGGGCCGCCCCGTGCACATCAACCTGGAAGACTCGGACGTCGAGATGCTCGTCGAAGAGGACTTTAACGAAGACGAGCCGGATCAGCCGAGCGAGTACAAAACGGACCCCCTCCAAGCTCATTTCTTCATGCAGTACGTCAAGCTGTGTGAGATTATGGGGTTGGTGCTCTCCCAGCAATATTCGGTTGCCTCCAAGGGCCGTCAGAAGAGCCCCATGGACCTAGCGCACAGTGACATGGCGCTGGCCGACTGGCTGCAGAACTGTCCGCCGATTGTGTGCTGGAATTCTGCCAGTCGCAACTTCTGGTCGGGCCTCTTGTTCTCGACCTACTACACCACGCTCTGTCTCCTGCATCGTGCCTATATGCCCCCCGGGTCTTCCAGTCGCTTTGGTGATGAGTCTGCTATGTACCCATCTCGCACGATCGCGTTCCAGGCCGCAAACAACATTTCTCATATCATCGACTACATGAACAGCTCTGATCAGTTGCGGTTCTGCCCAGCATTTATCGTCTACAGTCTTTTCTCTGCCCTCATCATGCACGTCTACCAGATGCGGTCGCCCATCCCGTCGATTCAGATGGTCACACAAGACAACCTGCAGATCTGCATGAACGGCCTGAAGGAGGTGTCCAAAGTGTGGCTCGTCGGCAAAATGGTCTATGCACTCTTCGAGTCCATCCTGGGCAACAGAACGTACGAAGACCGCCTTAGACGAGCTGCCGGTCAGAGGCATCATAAGATGCAACAGGTCTTCACGGGCCTCGAGCAGCAAGCTGCCGCTCAGCAACAGTCTCAGCAACAGCCCAACAGGCAGGCTCAGCAGCAGGTTCAGCAGCAGGCTCAGCAGCAGCAGCAGCAGGCCCAACAACAACAACAGGCTCAGCAGCAACAACAATATGATCTGTCGAAGCGCAAGTACGACGACATGGCCATCGACTTCAGCGTTAACACGCCACAGCCGCAGGAGTCCTATGAGCGGTCCAGACCACAGACGCCAAGTCTTGCGAATGCAAAGGCTGAGTCGGGTACGGGCACCGCGATGCCACCTCCATCAGCGATCACGTCGCCGCCCACAAAGCAAGCTGGCGACGCGTTCATGGGTGGAAACGGGCCGTCCAATGCAGCCGGTGGTACGGCATCCCGGCCACAGACGCGTCCGCACACGCCATTTAACCCCTCTTACTCGGTCCCAACGACCCCGCCAGACCTGTACCTGGTCACGCGCAACTCGCCGATTTTGTCGCAATCTGTCTGGGAAAACTTCCAACCAGACCAGCTCTTCCCTGACGGCACCGGCTTCTCGACCATGTTCCCGCCGACCATGTCCCCGGGTGGCACGACACAGACACTGGACCCCAACATGATCAACTCTGGTATGCCTCAGACACAGCAGCAGCAGCCTCAGCAGAGTCCTTTTGTCCAACATGCCGCCCCTGTCTCCACTGCTGATGCCAGCAACAACGGCGGTATTGGTGGCACCAGTGCAAGCCCCATGCAAAACCCGAGCATGCTGGCACCGGGCATACCTGGTTTCCAACAAGGTAATGGCGGTCAACAACAGCAGGGCTGGAACGCTAAGACAGATGCTGCAATGCACGACGGCCAAAGCCCGAGCGATAGCTGGAGTACGGGTTCCGTCGGTGGGCAGCCCGTGCCGTCGACTCTCAATGTTGAAGATTGGTATGTCGTTTCCCGTATCGTTTCGTTCTCCTTTGTTTCTTTCCCTTTCCAAAGTACTAACCAAGCGTTCAATTTAGGTTCCAATTCTTTGGCATCAACGGTGACGCCAGCGCGATGAACCTAGATCTTTCGTCTCTTACATAATATTGAACGGGAACGAAACGCCGCCGATGTTTTATGGGAGTTTACGACCTCATTTTTTCTGATTAGAAGATTGATATTTAAGATGTTGGGAGAGAGGAAATCCGGAGTGTTTTATGGGTAATATGATTAAACATGGAGCATGAACTGGGGGTTTTACGTATGGAAGTATTGTATATTGGTTTTGAGTGGTTTTACTCTTCTGTCTTTTTTATGTGTCGAGTATAATGATACAATTCACGATGGTATTCTCAAGAAAAGCATTATCAACTTGGTTATTAAAGAAAATGTTTAAATCATATAACGGGGGTGAATCACCACACCGATCTATCTAATCATTCGCATATTCTTATACAAATTACAGCGAACAAATTTGATTAAAAGCTGTTTTCTTCTTCTATGACAAAGGCTTTGGTCAAGACACGTAAAATGTATTAAATATCCAAATAAATAAAAAATAGAATTTATATGTCAACCCCAGTCTGATATTAGAAAAATATAAAAATTTCAACAAGACAACGCAAATATGCCCATTACGAAAACCATTTGTGCTTGGCCTTGCTAAGCAAGGTACGCAAATATGCCTGAAAACTAAAATGCCAAACGAGATGCAGTGATCCTAAACCATTGTTACAAAAATCATTGCTACGTCAGATTATGGCAAGAGCATCACTTTGGAGCCGACAGAGCGTGACGGCGCATGCTTCGATACCGGCTCCTGTTTCTTCTCGGTCGTCTCATCCTCGGGCTTCTCAACCAGAGATACTTGCTCAAACTCGGCCTGTGCTTCCTTGGGCGGCTCAGGCGGTGGCGGGCTAGTCTCTTTGGCATCCTGGCCCTGCACATTCTCGCTGGTTCCATTGGTCGTCACATCGGCTGTCGAGTCATCTGGTGAGGAGAACAGCACCTCTCTCGGCGCAATGTCCTTGGGCGGGACATCTTTGGGCGGGAGGTCCTTGGGCGGCGGCCGGATGGGCCGCTCCTCGTCAAGGTTGCGGACGATGAGATCGGGAGGGAAATCGTGAAGCGAGTCGTGGCCGCTCACGGATCGACCGGAAGCCGAAGTAAATGTAGCTGGCGTCTGCACGGACGGCGTGGCCGGCAGCACCTTGTCGTTGGTCTCGCTCGTGCCGGTCATAAAGGACGAGACCGACATGCGCAGGCCACGCTCCGACGATGCGTCGGACGTTGTGCTGCTCATTGTGTTGCGGTTGCCCCGGCGGGCGCTGCCAAGCAAACTCCAGCTGCTGCTGCCACCGACGGCGGGGCTGGTCATCCCGCTGCCGTTACTGCCGCTGCTGCTGCCGTTGTTGGTTGCACTGCCGCTGCTCGCGGTACTGGGAGCGCCTGACATCCGGCCCCAGCCGGTGTTTTTGCGCTTTTCGCCAGCCCAGGATGCCCAGCTGCTCATGTAGGCAGTCGCCCGTGCGCCGGCAGCCTGGACGGTCTGCTGTGCTTTGGACAGGTCGACTCCGCCCACGCCGACAACTCCGTGCTTGGCTTCGCCGTTCGGGTAACTGCCGCCTTTGAGGCCAGGGTGGTCACCGTTGCTGTTGGCTTGGGCCTTTTCCGACTGCTGCTGTTGCCGCGCCTCTTCGGCCCGTCGCCGTTGTGACTCGCGGAGCGTCTCCATATCCGCGTACAGCTTGTTGAAAAGAGTGGACGCCTTCTCGCGACCAGCTGCAATGTTGCGCCCGAGCACCTCTCTGCCTTGGGCAAAACGCTCGTCCAGATGGAGGTCCTGCACCTGCTGGGCAATGCGGCGCTGCACGTCGTCTATTGACAATCCGCCCGCACAGGGATGCTTTGGCTCCACAAATTCAAAGATGTGGGAGTCTGTATTCGTGCTCCAGAGCTTGTAGTTCTCGGTGTGGGACCAGTACTCCACAAACTCGACGCCAAAGTCGGTAGAAGGATCACCCTCAATGTGTGGCAGGGGTGGTGCCGGCACACGTCCTGTATGGCTGTTGGGGGTGGTCGTATAGTTGTGGTACTTGACGGAGGAGATGAGAGACAGCAGGTATTCTTCAAACTGGAGTCGGATAAACTCCTCGCTGCCGACATAGCCCATCGTCTTGGGCCGGCCGGGGTTGGCTTCGTCCCAGGTGTCGTTTACTTCCTGTGTGATGAAATCAATCCAGCGGCGATCGGACACAGAGAGCTGCAGAGCAGCGCGGAGGGAGGTTGACGTGATGTTGACAGTTTTGTCGTCGAGGTTGATGAGAATGTCCGAGTAGCGGTCACGCTGTTGCAGGAGTAGCGAGTTGGTGCTGCCGACAACGTAGGACTTTGTGCCAACGTCGGCCAATACGTCAAGCTGCTGGAGGGGTGTATATGGGCCAAACAAGCTTCCCTTTCCAAAGATCTGCAGCGGGAGGCCCATGTAGGTCAACAAGGAGCTGCGGTCGCTTGTCCGGAGGGTTGTTGGCTTTGTAAGCTTCTCAGAGTAGCTGTTCAGTTCGGGGCCGGCACAGTCTTGCAGGTTGCGAAGGAGCCCAGGGATCAGAGAGACGAGAGAGAACTGAATCATGCAGAGGTGTTCGCAGCGAGAGCCGAAAAAGAGCATCTGGGCAGGTTAGCGGGACACACGGAAACAAAAAAACGATGTATGAAAGAAAAGGGCATACCTTGGGCTGTAGCAGGCAGCACTTGAACAAGACAAGCGTCTGCCAACGGAACTCGTGAACCAGCTCGCGCAAGCTCATACCGAGGTACTGGTCCCGGTCCTCGTCGTCGCTTGGCAACTGCGGCGACCGACTACCACTTGCACTGCTCTTGAGACCACCGCCACCCAGGGCACCACGAGACTTCTCCTCCGCCAGCGACTCCTGGAACCGGCGCAAAATGTCCACATCGGTGAACTCGCGCTGGTCGAACCAGGCCTTTGTGACGATACTCAGTCGCTCCTTGAGCATGCCAAAGAACTGGGGGCTGTCGGCAATGACCACAACAGCCTTCTGGACAGTCGAACGGGTGACTTCGGCGGAACGGTTGCGCAGTTGGGCGGCATCGATTTGCCGCGTGCAGGAAATGCCAAAGAGGGACGTGGCAGGAGTACTGGGACTTGAGGATGTGTCAGGGGTGGCGGGCTTCAAGAGCGTAAAGTAGGAGAAGTCTTCGGTCGAGGCATGGGCGCCGTCGCTGAGGGCCATGAACGGCAGCAAGGGCCAGTCGTACTGGACGGCGGGATCTTCTGCGGACAGGGGTACGCCAAACCACATCTCAACCTCCGGACCACGGGCATGGTGGAAGTCGACGACGCAGAGCAGCGGGGTGAAGCCCGGCGCCAACGATGCGGGCGATCGTGGTGCTGCAGATGCGCTCGGGGTCAGAGGCGGTAAATACGTGCTCAGAGCTGCTGCACCCGTCGCGTCGATTGGCGTTACAGAGGGCTGCAGATGGTTCGCTGATGTTGTCGCTGTCGTTGTCGGCTGTGGCACTGGCGAAGCTGCTTCGTCTGTAGATATTGCTGCATCTCCGGGCGCAGCCACAGCTGCAGGTGCGGGTGCATCCGTTGCAACATCCACGCCGGACTCAACGCCTCCCGTGTGGTCGTCCGCCTCCGGCGGCATTGGTGCTGACGTCGTGTCCATAATGTGTCCTGGCCCCCAAGACCTCGTCTTGCTGTTCCACTACCCAGTACCGTGCAAACGCTTGAGACGTCTACCCAGTACGATGGAGTCTAGACTTTGATTGTAGCTTGGTCGAGGCTTTTGCTCTCTTTCGACGAGATCGGAGACGGCCGAGTCTAAGCTGGGAGGGCAAATGCCGATTCAGGGGAAACGGCCCTGGGCAGTTGCGGATTGCACCTGACCCGTAGGCTGTCTACTTATTCGCGTCGTCGAAGGAAAAGCCAGCAATCGTGAGCCCGCAGCGTCGGTAAGTCGAGAGGCAAAATCGAATTGTCGAGGAGGCCGAAAAGGAAACGCGTCAAAGTTGGAGGGACAGATGGACGAAAAAAAAGAGGGGAGGGAAGGTCATGAAAAGTGGGAGCTGCTATTGCACGCACACCTGTACCTTGACTACTGCGTCTCCAATGCGACGTGGTGTTGTCCGACAGGGTGGAAATGCAAAAGCACCCTTTCCATGAAGACGCTGGGCGAGGCAGATGTGAAGCCAAGAAGGAGAGAAGGAAAAGGGAGTGAAGAGCACGAATGGGGAGAAACCCAAACACACACCCAAAAGGCGGTGTTCAAGTCGTTCGCTCCTTCTTCGTCTTTTGCTTTAACCTGTGTTGAGCTTCTCCGTACGGAAACGGAATACAGCAAACTGGAGTCCCCATAAAATACGGTGCGTAGGGCGGGCATTTTCTCACCATAAGGGTCAAGAGCCACCTCCCACTGGCTCACGGCTTTTGACTATAAGCGCTGTTTTCCTGTTAATTCGTACAATCAACCCAGGCACCTTCCGCTCTCTGTTCCGCAGGCCACAATTACAGCAATTGGTATGCACTAAAACCTTCTGATTCTGTACTTTTTTCCAAGTGCCGCTTTCTTGTCGCGCGATGCGACCGGAAACTGTCAACAACAGTCTCCTAGTCCCAGCAAGACAAAATAGCGACAGGCTATACCAAGCATAGACGATCCCTTATTTTACTCTGATATAACGTTGCTAAGACTTGAGGTAAAATCTTAATAGGAGGAATATGGTGAACAAAAAGGCATGGGGTTTTCCGGCGTAAGATCGGCATGGCTGCTCTGTATCTTACAAGGACAGAATTTCACCCCCGAAAATCGTTTGACAGATATGTAGCAGATATCGATTTAGCAAAAATTTAAAATAAAAAAAGCCATGACAAAAGGGGGAGGGAAAAGATCAGATGAAGATCATGTACCAAAGAAAGGACAGCGTGGAAAGGGAAACTTGCTGGGGGAGGCGCGAAAGATAAGAGCGCCAAGACGGCGCATATTATGTGACGGAGGGCCAGGTGTGCGAATGCGATCCTGTGGAGTTGCAAAAGAAACCGGAATCAACAAAAGCATTGTCGAGAAGATCCATTGTTGGTGCGGAGCAAAGAAGAGATCGGGGACACGACACCAAACAATTCGCTGTGGGCGCATTGGGCATACACAGCAAATGCAACTCTACGCAGTCACCACGCATGCACTTCTATGGAATGATATTGGCGACGGCACATGAGAGTTTAGGCCATGGAGACAAAGGATGCATCTGATACGGGTGCCAGCGTGTCTTGCATAAGTAGCTGCCCGTCATCCATCCTCCTTCCGACAAGGCAGAGGTAGAGTAGCCAGATCAATGAGCACTATCGCCAGCTATAGCAGGTGGCTGAACAAAGTAGGGTGCACGGCGATGGGTTGTATAACTACGTTGTTGCGATCATGTGGGCTTGAATTAGATGTGTGAAATGGCAAATATTCCGTTACCGTGACAAAGCAAGATCGAGAAGAGGAGACAAGCTGTCCTAGCCCCGTGTCCAAGGAAGCGCACAAAAAGTAGCAAGTAGTAGGATAGGCATATTGAGAGCGAAACATGAATGCAAAAAGAAAACAAAGGCCGTAAAACATAGAAGCTCGCATTACACTCGCATTACTCCAGTACTTTCGTGGCGCTGTCGTAGCGCCGCCCTCCCAGGCACTGTGGTGGGTTTTGATTGCGTCCGCTGTCATGGCCAACTGGGTGCGCTTTACCGTTCGTTGCTCCTGGTCTTCGGCATCTGTCTCAGTCTCTTTGTTCTGTTGTTTTGTGCCCTCGCATCCTCCTCCAGCAAGTATACCAGACCGGCCTCGTAATACACCAATGCCTCATCGCCTCGATGCGGCCGCACAGAGTACAATATCTTGGCCTTTAAGAAGGCAATGCCATTGACACAGCAAAACAACAAGACATCAACAAAAAGTCGTTTGTCCAACCAAAAACCCACCGCTTACCAGTCCGTGTTCCAAAGGGACAGTGATAAAGAATGACAAAGACAAAAATAAAAAGGAAGGAGTCCCCAAGGGTGTGTGCGCTTGAATGGGTATCGGGGTCGCATCAGCCTTTATTGGGCAGCGACGAACTCGCCCTCGGCCTGAGCGGCGCCTGCGTCGGGTTCGACGTTGTGGTAATCCAGGATCTCCGAGTACATCATAATCTTCCACGTGTCGACAGGAAGATCGGCGTCGTTGAAGCTCCAGTCGAACTTCTCGTCGGCGACCGGCTCGTCGGTGGGGTCGTGGTACGGCGCCAGGTACTCGTGGGCAAGGGCCTCGGTAGCCGTTATTCTCTTCTTGGGGTCAAACACCAGCATCCGCTCGAGCATATCAATGGCTGAACACCTGTCAGTACAAAGGGAAATTTCGTTCGAGAGGGGGGGGAAAGGGGTCAAACTCACCCGAATCATCGGCGTTGGTAAACTTGTTCCGCAGGGGCAGGCGTTCCCGCTTCGGCAGAGACTTGACAAACCGCAACGTATTCTCGCTAGCAATCGTGTTGATGACGTCGTCTGGGGGGGTGCCCAGGAGCTCGGTGATGATGGAGAACTGGTTGACGTGGTCCTTGCCGGGGAAGAGGGGCTTACCCTCCAGCATCTCAGCAAAGATGCAGCCAGCGCTCCAGATGTCGACCTCGACGTCGTACTTTTGCCATGTGAGCATGATCTCGGGGGCTCTGTAGTAGCGTGTTGAGACGTAGCCGGTCATCTGGGGGTCCTGGATGCGGGCCAGGCCGAAGTCGCAAATCTTCAGGTCGCAGTTCTCGTTCACCAGAATGTTGCTGGGCTTGAGATCTCGGTGCACAACACCGGCGGAGTGGACATATTTCAGTCCACGCTAGATGTGGGAATCCGTTAGCTATGTGAGGCACGCCCCCATTCGACTTTCCTTTGTAGCCATTGGAACGTACCATGATCTGGTAGAGGAAGTACTGGATGAACTGCTTCTCTAGTGGCCGCGAGGTGAGCAGCCGGTGCAAATCTGTGCCGAGAAGTTCCGTGACAAAATAGCTGCGCAATACGTGTGAGAAGCAAAACAATGTCGAAAAGAGAGGAGCGAAAGGCGGCCCAAAGAACGTACATGTCCTCAAGAGGAGAGATAAAAATGTCGGAAAGAGAGATGACGTTCTCGTGCCGTAAGTGCTTGAGCAGCTTGAGCTCACGGTAGGTCCGCTTGGCGAGGACAGGCGTACTGAACGGCTTCATGATCTTCTTGATGGCGACATTTTGGTTTGTGAGTTGATCGCGGGCAGAGCTGTAGTGGGGTCGTACAAGTTAGCAACTTGCTCAAAAGGCGTTCAGGCCGGGGTGGACAGTTTGCCAGTTTGCCGGCAAAAACACGAAGCGCAAAAAAAAAAAAAAAAAAAAAAAAAAAAAAAAAAAAAAAAAAAAAACAATACCAAACGAGGCCGAAAGCGCCCATGCCGACAGGTTGGAGATCGGAGTATCTAAAAAGGAGAGACGAGAGCGCACAGTTAGCTACGGCAAGGAACACAAAAGGCGCCAATGACGTCCGCACCGAGCGCAGAGCATGGACCGCGGGGGAAGCACATCACAAAGAAGGACGGCGGGAGCGGGAGTGCGGCGGTGCAATTCTTTACCTAGACGTGATCTCAAACGTCGTTCCAAAAATCTGGGTGCGAATGAACTCGGCCATGATGTCGGTTTGCTGCCGCGGGGAATGATGACGATAAAAAACGAGTTCTCAAGAGTAGGGAGAAAGTCAATGAGACGAGGAGCTTTCTCGGGCGGGGCTTCCGTTGTGAAGAGGACGGTTGGGTACGCTCGACAGCAAAATAGCGAATGTCAATGGAGAGACAAGGGAATGGAGTGGAGCAGAAGCGAAAGCGAGAAGACAAGAGTCGAATTCTAGGGAGAGGAAAGAAAGAGAGGATGAAGAAGGAAGAAACCCGATTTCGAGTCCGTCAGAAAGCCAGAAAAGGACGAATAGGTTCAAGCCAGTAAACACGCGGTGCAGGGCCGTGACAATGGCTTGGTTTCTTGGGCTGAGCTGGCCTGAGGTCACAGTTGCTTCTGGGGATGTTGCTGAGAACGGACTGTCTCAGGTCTTTATTGGGAGGACGAGTTTGTGGGGTTTGGTGTTTTGAAGGCGTGTCGTTAAGATTACAGCCGGGTGGTCGAATAGTTTGGCCAGCTGGGGCTGCTGTATCGTGCGCGGGGTCGAAGGAAGATGCTGCTTGTTCGCTTTGTGGAGAGCAAAGGGAAGCTGTGCAAAAGATGCGAATAAGGTACACGAGGGAGCGAAAAGAGGGATGTCCGTTTTGGAGATCGACAATTAGGGAGATGCGTTCTTCTCGGCTCGATTTTGGCCTTTTCTGTTTCGGAAGTTGCGACGAAGAACGAAGACTGGGCCGCTGACAGTGGGAAGGTGCGCAAATTGAGACCTAAAAGTAGCTTTGCTCGACTGTGTCGCGCCTGCTGTTTCTGGTCGATATCTTCGCCTATGAGCTTAGCTTCGCCGATTCGTTTTATTTTTGACAATGTCGCCTGCGCTATTGCTTAGTGGCGCTACTGGAGGGGGGGCGACGGGCGGTGGAAAAGGGGCGCCTGGGGCGATGGACAGCGAAGGCTCGGGGCTTGGGAGAGGGATGCTGTTTGTCTTGGACTTGTACAAATGCGATTGGACAATCTGAAGGGCAAGCGACGATGAGAGAACAACGAAAAGCGCTGATGGACGAGGAAGCGATGCAAAAAGGGAGGGCGACGGTTGTTTTTTAAACTAAATGAAGCAAATCCAGGAAAGGTAAAATAACGGAATTGCAGGGGAATTAACCGCCTTTTCTTCGGGTCGCTCTCCGTTTTTCTGCGTGCTTCCACGCCGTCGTGTCGTTGCGCCGGAAGGGGTTACAGGCTATAGTATAGGGATCGAGATCCAAAGCGACAATCAGCAACAAGGCCAATGTGTTGTCTGTCCCGCGTTTTCTCGATGCAAAGCGGACGGCGGTAGCAGGCCCTAAACTGAGAAAGTGGAGCAGCTCTCCACTGTGGGTGAGGAGGGGTCCCTGGACTGCACCTCGCCCGAGGAAGAAAAAACGAGAGCTTCAGGGCCCACGGCAGAATACTAGTCAACGCCTGCCTCACTAGTCTTGCATGTCTTCTCATGTTACTCGGCGGGACAAAGCCTCACGATCTCGTGGTGTACGGAGTGCTCTTCCACCAGGTCCGACTCAGGTCGAGCTTCTGTTCGGCTCTCATACATCGTGTAGGAGCCACCTTCTTCCGTTTTGGTTTTTGTGTCCCCTTTCCTAAATGTGTGGTGCACTACTGGCAAAGCTCCCCGAAAGTGCGAATTTAATGCTCCCTTAGCTACCTTTCGGCGATATAGTTGCTGCAAGCAAATATGCCGAGGGCGACCGCGCCGCGGCGCCCATGCCCTTTGGGCGGTCGATAAGTGGAATTCAACGGATAGAAAATAGCTAATATCTACAGAAGGAAAGGAGCAGTGTCTCCGGTCAACCCCACCTGTCTCGCCTGTATTTTTGCCTTTGAAAGCCATCGCTGTCATAGCCGTTTCTTAGTGCTCCAGTGCCTTTGTTTATTAGAAGCTTTTAATTCAGTATTCCTAAATATACTGCTAATAATGAACCAAACTTCATAAATAACTAATATTACTGGGTTGAGATCTCTGCCGTTCAATCTTCCCTCACCGTCAGAAATGTTTCTCGGCGCTTCCACGTAGCGGTAATGGCAACATATTGGGCTCGATTGACTACTACATATAGCGCACGTTGTAAGCTTTGCGTGCAGCGGTGTCTGAGCCTGGAAGGTGCCAACCCTACGCGTAGCATCTCTCACTGGTTTCTCTATCTTTTCAGCCAACCCACAGCAGAAAATCCCCTCCCTTGTCCAAATGACGTCAGTGAGACTGATCCATCGTGAGCACAGACGGCAGCCGCCAAACTCTATTCGTTCTTCTCTCCTGTTCCAGAGCCACTGGATCCGGCTCAACGCAACGCACCATCCCCTGGTAGTGCTACACCACGACACTTCACGCCTTGGTATCGTCATGTTTTCCCGCCCACCTCAAAGGGATGTTCCTGGACCGCCTTCGTGCATCCCGAAGACAAATATGCATTGATGACGCCGACGTTTTCCTTTCATTTCTTCAACACCACGAGGACACTCGGGATCCAACCTCCCACACGGCATTTTCGCGGTATTATCGGATACATTGGTGTTCGGCCAGGCCGTGTATTCTGCATAGTATGCACATATCGCTCGGTCGTAGGAGACGTGGAAGACAGCACACGGTCTCGCTTCACTGCAAACTAATGCCAGTCTGACAAGTGCTCCCGTATTAACCCACAAAAGTAGAAAATAGAAATAAGAAAATAAAAATAAATCAATCTGTGACAGGCACGCGAAAGGGACCGCCCGGGGCACCCACCTCTAGTGAGCAGATCAAAGGACAGTCGCGTCATTGAGCACAACAGGGTCCCTGGAGCCTGGCTCCCTGGTTCAATGGTACCTTGTTTTCGGCTACCTTTCAAAGACGGTTTAGATCCAACATCGTATGAGGATATGCGCAAACAACGTCGGATCGTTCCTTGTGGCGTCTTGTCGTGTGGCGCTTTCCGATCTTGTGGACAAATAGGAGCGACAATAGAGAGGAAGCGTAGGTCTGCCGCTGATGCTGTACGTTCAAAGACATTGAAAAATGTGTATGTTCTAGTTTCATTTCTAAACAACAGTTTTTGTTGGCTGACGCCATGAGCGCAGAGCTCAGTGCTACCTACACTGCTGTACGCTTCTGCGACTCAACAAATTTGATACGGCCGTCTCTCTTGCTGCTCGTCCTTTCCGCGTAGAAAATGCGAAAACTTCACAAAGGTCTATTTCTCCCGCTTTGTTCCACTTTCTTCTTTCGTCTTCTGTGTTTTATTTTTTTTCTTTCTATTTGTGAGATGCAAGTCGTACTGCTCCCGTTCTGGCCACGAGCCACGCTCACAATCACACCACAGCAGAAACGGCTGGGTGGGTGAGTTATGTAACCTCACCGGCTCCAAACCATGCACAATGACATCATCGAGTCCGATTCCTACAGCGCTATTCCCCTCCAATGTCATGGAATGCCAACACAGCAAACACAAGCGCGCCGAGACCACCTCCAGGATGTATGGACACCGACAGCCACGATACCTCTCCTCCTCGCATACAGAGTAATTTACGCAGCAGCTTGAATAGGAATGGCCAAGCATGTCTAGGCCCTCAGCTCCTCCGCCCCTCCTCCTCTCCCGTGCAGGCAATCCCGCCCGCAAAAATGTGTGGCCCGTATTCCCGACAACGGTTTTCTTCTCGGTTGTTTCTTTTTTTTTTTTTTTTTTTTTTTTTTTTTTGTTTTATCTTTCGACCAAAACGCTTCACTAGTCTTCTGTAATTGTGCATTTTGATCATGAGACCACGTCACGGAACGCCACAAATGGTAACAGAAGAAAAGAGAGAAAGAGAGAGATGGATGCAACCCCACTACCTGGGGTGAAACTCGTACAAGCATGCCCACAAAGTGAAAGGCAGGACAGGGATTCTGTACAAGAGAACGTCATGAACGAGATGACAAAGGTATCAGGGTATGATAAGGTGGCATTCGGCTTAATGTCACATAATGGACATTGCCGTTAGTACAGGCTATGAACTAGGAGGGACGCATTTAGTGACGAGCATTCGATCGTATGCAATAAACAAAAGACACCAAAAACCGTAAGATTAAAACGAGAACGAAAAACAGGGCCCAATACGTTAAAAGAAACGAAAACACAAATATAGCCAGTCCCTGTGTCTTGTTATCGTGCTGACGTAAAACTCAACGAGCTTATAGCTCACCCTCGGCCACGCCACCGCTCGTCTCGGGCTGCAGAGGCTCGACATTCCAAATCTCCTCGGCGTACTCGTTGATGCAACGATCGCTGCTGAAGAAACCCATGCGTGCCACGCTCGTGATGCACTTGGTGATCCAGAGCTCTTGGTCAGCATACGACTTGTCGACAAGCTCCTGGGTCTCCAGGTAGCTGTGGAAGTCATCCGAGACAAGGTAGAAATCGCCGTGCTCGCGAACGGCAGCGACCATGCCCGAAAAGTCCTGCGGGTTGCCAAAGGTGCCGTTCTGGATGGCCTGGAAGACCTTGTCGAGGCTAGGGTCGATTTTGTGGTCCTGGCCGTAGGTGTGGTGGTGGCGCAGATCATCAACGTCCTCGGCAAGGTTGCCGAACAGGAAGATGTTCTCCTCGCCGATCTCGCGGGTGATTTCGATCTAAAATACGTGTCAGAAGTTTTTGTAAAAGTGGACAATAACAAAGTGTGGGGGGTGTTATCGCGTGTATGCTTACGTTGGCACCATCGCAAGTTCCGATAATCAGACCGCCGTTCAAGACAAACTTCATGTTGCTTGTGCCCGAAGCCCTGGGGATACCGGTTAGTTTTGGAAGGGTTATTTGGGTTATTTGGTAGCCCACGAATGCAAAAGGGGTACGTACTCTGTTCCGGCTGTGGAAATGTGCTCGCTGATGTCCGAGGCCGGGATGATGATCTCAGCCTTGCTGACATTGTAGTCTTCAAGGAAAATCACCTTGAGTGCGTCGCCGATCTCCGGGTCGTTGTTGACTACGGTGCCCACGCTGTTGATGAGGTGGATGATCTGCT